CAACTCTGTGGCCAACTCTGTTATCCTGCATTCTAAGGGACCGAGAACGCATGTAAGCCCGGCTCTGTGAGCGTGCCAAGCCCTTTGTGAGTGTCTCAGGAACACTCGGTGTGGTCCCTCCTGCCACTTTCCCTCTGGCAGGAGTGTTTCCAGAAAACTGCAGCAGCCGAGGGCAGGAGTCCTGCCCGCCACCCAAACCGTACTCGCATGGTTTCGTCGCACAGATGTCCACATTTAAATGGTTTTGCAGTTGCAGTTGGCTCGAGCCAATGAAGTTGCCGGTCGTTTTATGAATTTAATTAAAGAATTACGCAAAAATCCCCTCGGAAATAAATATGGCACAGGGCTTACAACCAGTAAAATCACACACAATGCTCACACTCTGGCTGCTGTCTAACTTTAAGGGCATTTAATTATGGCTGTCTTCTATATTTGGAATTTATTTTTGCGATTTCTCTCGACACATTAACCTAATTGGCTTCCCACTCGGCTGCCTTCCCGGCTAATAAATTGTTTTGGGATTACACGGATACTTAAAATTGTATCTCAGCGTTTTCATCTTCGGCACAACAGCATTCCGAGTTTACCATTTCGGCTCTCGGAAAAGGTAGGCAACTGTGAGCAACCTAAGAACCTAATCCTTTGAAATGTTTTTTTAATGTGTGGGTGGGTGGGTGGCGCTGTCTGGGATGGTGCACTGCCTCCACCTTGTCTCCAAATGGGATTAAATGTTTTTCGGGCGGGAACCGAAGTTTTGGGTCGTCGTCGTCGGGCTATTAACACCTTGGCTTATTGTTAATTAGGCCCGCTTGCTAACTGATATAATCCTTGGAGCCTCGTCCCGTGGGCCAAACTTGATTTGTCAACTCGGTTAATTACTGGTTTCGAGAGCGACTGCTAAGACATTAATGGCATTAATGGCATTAATTAACTGATGGCTCCGGGGCTCAGCCCATTCAGACACTCAACGACTGTCGGCTGGAGAGCCAACTGATGGCGTTTGAGCTGAGCCAATGGCTAATTACAGCTGATTAAATGGCCTGGATGGGAACTGGTGCCAGTCTTAAAGTCTATGCTCAGTGTGCTAGACCAGTGCAATTAGACTAGACCTTCTGCGGCATTAAAATGGTGTTTTAATATCCGTTCGCTTTGCCCTCGCATCTTAAATACCTGCACACTCCACTTACAAGATTTTTTCGCTCCTGCCGAAAACCCAGCCACCACTTATTCGGCGGTAAGAGGATATGACAGTCCCAAAGTGCTCCAAGCCATGAGCCGAGCGAAAACAGAATGTCATAAAAATACACACTTGTGCGGCCATATATGCACAAAGGAGCCCACTACACATGGGGAGTATGTGTGTAATCCAGGAGCCGGGCTGCCATAAGACAGGTCCAAAAGACTAGGTTCCAAAAGCCAGATTCCAGACCCTGGCATAATGGAGGCAAGGACGCGTCGGAGCAGACGAAATAAAATCACATTTCGGAGCCAGAGCATTTATGATCCATTATGCTCTCAACTAAGACCCCAATGCTTTGTTTTCGCCCATAAAAAATGGCAGGGAGTGGCTGGGGCGGCTGGGGGCATTGGCCACAAGGTCAGAACTTGGCGATGGATACATTCACGAGCCATTCATCGGATGGCGGCCATGAGATGGCGTCTGAGCAGATCACAGGAATAGAACTGGATTTTAAAGAACTGTCAGCCGGAACTACCTATCTTTAAAATAAAAGTATCTTTAAAGTATTTTCCCCTGACTGGTCGGAGTACTTCGAGTGTAACCGGGCCCAGACCGACATTCCGGTGCAAATATTCAGCATTTTGTCACAGGGCATTGTGGGTTAGGCAAATAAAATAAAATAAAATAGAATGGCTCGGGTGCAGCATGTGAGTTTGATCGAATTGCAGTCACTCGGCGACACGGGTGTGTGGGTTTATTGTTGACACATTTTGAGACGTACCTTGCGATATGGATATCAAGTGCGAATGCCATGGCTCGCCACTAGAGAAAGTACAAAACACGTCGAAGGAGGTGAAGGAGGTGAAAGTTGGGGGCAAGTGCGATGATAATACGCTCCCTGCTGCATCAGGGGCGTGACACTTGAGCACAAAAACGCTTAAGTGGTTCACTGTCTGTGGAGCCGCCCATCAACCGCCCACTTTGACGTTGATTGTTGAGCGATAAGAGAGTTGGCCTAATGACACTTGCCCCGCCACTCTTGGCCCGCTCGGGATGTCCTTCAGCTGACATCCTTCAGCTGACGTCGCCTGAGTGGAGGCCATCAATGCAGCGGATCAGACCGACTATATGCATATAGATGCCCGAAGCCTTAAAGCGTGCTGTGCCGCAGACAATCGCATTAATCATTTAATTGTGACCGCAAAAGCCCTACCATATTAACAATCAATTAATGCGATGCGAATAGGTTTTTTCTGCGCACAGTTTTTGCACTTTCTGCTCTCGAAATGGGCACTATATGTTATTGATATTGTTTAATCCGATTTGAAAGGGACTGCAGCGGTGGGGGCCCTGCCTTTGATTTAATGCAGCTTTGAATGGATAAAAAACACAAATATTATAAATTAAAAGGCCGTGCAAATCAGTGGTTTCTATTGTTATTACTTTGCATGGGTGCTCCATTCATCCGCATTTTGTCGCACAATTATTCAAGTGCCACGGCCACTAATTGTCCATTCTGCCTACGGTTGAGCGGACTTAAAAACACCGATTGCATTGACAAAAAGTGTCAAAACCATTTCATGGCCCATTTAACAGGCGTGTACAACAAGTGAAAAGCGTGGAACATAAAGCCAAATCCGGATCCAGCAAATGAGCAACAAATAATAAAGCACTTAAATGTGTGGACATTGGACCCAATATTCACCATCCATTCAGGTGAAGGAGCTAACTAGCCGAAAAACAAGGGGAATTATAGTTGAAGTGCAGTGAACAACTCGGCTTTAATGACGTGCATATTTGCTGATTTTAATTTAATCACTAATTACACGAATGCAAGATTGCATTTATGAGGCCACCGCAGTGTTAATTCCGTTCAAAATAGTTGCAAATAATTAAATTGAACTTCGTAGTTCAGCACTAAACATACACTTGTATATGCGCCTCATTATGCAGCGAATTAATAATTGATATCAAAATGTGCAATTTCACGTTGTTTTCCACATCAAAGAACATGTAGGCGCACCGCGGCATCCACTTTATGTTTTATGTTTCAGTTAGCTATAGTTTATGAAACGAGCATTAGGCAGATAATTATGTGGGCTCGCGCTTTAATCCACATGGCTTCCCTAGTTACCTAGTTACTTGTCAATCCAGGTGACCCGTGCCAGTTAATTCGACCTATCCGCTCCAAATCCCATCAGTCAAACTTTTCTAGCCCCACACCAACAAACCGATTCCCGCTTAGGCATTTCAAATTCAAGTATTTAGACTGTATAGATTTTGGCGCAGGTAGCCATTATGTTCATCCGCGGAGATGTGCCACGAACTTCCCGGGGCAAGGTTCCCCAGATCCCCAGCTCCATGACTCCCTTCGTGGCGGCAGTGAAGCGCGGACCGTACACCATGACCAATCCGGTCTACAACACCCACAATCCCAACCTGGTGGGCTTGGATGGCCAGGTGGAGGACGCCCGGCCCAAGCACACCTTCAATGTGAAGAAGCAGGAGCTGGAGAACAACTACCGACACCACCAGCGCCTGATCCCCGTGCCCACTTCGCGACGGACGATGCCCCAGACCCGATCCCACATGGTGATGAACGAGCAGCGGGAGCTGTACCGCCAGCACCGCGATCGGATGTCCAACATCAAGGGCAAGGTCAACACCTACCTGCCGCCCCCGAAGGTGCAGATCGAGGGCAATGGCATGGAGCTGTCCTACATGGAGATGCTGACCGCCCTCTACAAGAAGAGCAACAACACGCTGCGGACCTTCACCAAGTCGCCGGAGCGACTGGCGGCCGGCAGGTGGCGGAATGCCAACTTGGCCCGGGAGAAGGAGCGCCGGCAGCTGGAGAAGAACAAGGAGTTCCACAAGGGAGGCGGGCTTTTTGACCCGGACGCGGGCAAGTCGAAGCGCTACAAGCCCAAGTCCTCGGAATCCTTCAGCTGCGAGATTCCCATGCACGTGCTCCATCGCTACGAGAACTTGATGGACCAGTGCGACGTGGGCGTTCTGTGCAAGCTGCTGCGTCCGCAGATCTACCTGGACATCGAGGTGCGGGAAGCCCGCATCCAGGGCAGGCTGGTCATCCAGCTTTTCACCGAGGCCTGTCCCCAGGTGGTGCTGGAGTTCATGAGGGTCTGCACCCAGAACAAGAGCAGCGCCATCGTATTCACCCGTGCGCTGGCGCCCATTTGGATGGAGGGACGACTGGCCATGGATCCGCAGAGGAGCACCGAGCTGACTAACATCGAGCACGACTTCGAGGTGCTGAACCACGGAGTGGATGCCGGAATCCTCTCCTTTCCCAGTCGCTATGTCAGGGGAAACGCCCGGACTGCCGTCAACTTCACCGTCAGCTTCAAGCCCCTGTCCATTCTGAATGGCAGGAGGATCGCCTTCGGGAAGGTTCGCAAGGGCATGCAGCTCCTGGAGAGGATTCAGGGGGCCATCGGACACCTGCCCATGAACCACAAGATGATCTCGCTGACGGACTGTGGAGTGCTCTGAAGAGTGCAAAATTTCCAGTAGATAGTTGGGGTCTACTTAGGAATTGCCCAAGAAACTTAATGAGGATCAGTGGCTAGGCGGGCGTTTGTAATCTAAGTCACTTTAAAGCTGCTGTCAGAAACAAATAAATGCTTAATTCGTATAGATCCCTTTTGCAATTGGTGTTAGCCAGATACAGATACAGATACACTTACGAGCTTAGCCCATATGAGCCGGATCGATCACAGTCCCTTTCGGAGTACTGTCATCTCAACATAGAACTGCCCCTTCAGAGCAGGATACATACATATTTCAGTGTTCAGTTTGGATCAGTCGAAGCAACAAGGCTTATATCACATTCCTAAAATTCAGAAAGTTTGCGCTCCTTAACTTCTTTGCGAGATCTACTCATTCGGCGCCAGGTAATCCTCGACATGATTGCGGTTCGTGATGGATTGAACAGCCCCCGGCTGCAGGGCGGAGGGGAGGAGGTGGAAGGGAGCCAGTCGCCGTTTCCGGACAAGTACCAGATGAGGAACACGCGGGTGCTGCGAGTGTCGAAGGCTCGGGTCAGCGAGGTGCCCATGGAGGTACTGGAGGCGGCCCAACAGGAGATGGTCAACGTCGTGAGCTTGGATGGCAACACGCTGCGCGAGATGCCCAAGGATCTGCACCTGCTCTCGGAGCACCTCACCCAGTTGATCCTGACCAAGAACCAGATCTCCTTTGTACCCACCAACATTTCGCAGTACGCCAAGCTGACGGACTTGAATCTCTCCAGCAATCTGCTGTGCGACTTGCCCATGGAGTTGGGCGGACTGCGGCAGCTGCGGAGTCTGGACATATCCCACAATCGCTTCCACCAGTTGCCACGCTGCATCTACGAGCTGGAGAGCCTGGAGTCCTTGTCGGCCCACGACAACCAGATCCGTGCCATCGATGCCAGTGACTTTGGCCTAGGCGGAATGCGGGAACTGCATAGCTTGGACTTGGGCAACAACGACATCCAAATAGTGCCGCCGACCATGGGCAGAATGCGGAATCTCAGGAACCTGGAGCTCTGCGGCAATCCCTTCCGCCAGCCCCGCCACCAGATTCTATCGATGGGCACTGAGGCGGTGCTCAGCTACTTGCGCACCCGCATTCCCATATAAATCAGACATGTTTTATGCCCTTTAACAAATTGCAGAGTATTGTTTAATAAACTGACAGCTGTGCGGTGTAGCCCCTAAGTCCGTAGTTTTGCTGAAAAGATGGAATGCAATTGGAGGTCGTTCTTCGTGGGCTTCTGCCACCTGGGTGTGCTGGGTGTAATGATAGTAGGCTCTGATTCCTGCGTCATTACCAAAACAAGTCAAAACCTTGGCTGGAATAAGCACACTCTATACTGACAACTCGTAACCTTTTAGAAACTCAGAAAATCGAAAATGTCCAAAACTTCGAGGATTTCTACAACTGAAAATCTGCGCCGAACCACGACGCAAGTGGTAAAGAAGGCGGTCACGTAAGTTGGAACCAGAAATGCGCCACAGCTCCTGACCAATCCCACATAGTCGCAGTCGCTCCTACGATGGGGATGCCTTCGTCAACCTCTTCGCCCATCGCGGAGCCCGGGACATCATGATCCTGGACAGTCACGGAGTGCCGCTGCGATCCACTTGCAGCCAGAGACGCACCTTTCTGTTCGTCTCCAACCTGAAGCCACTGCTCTTCATGGCCCGCAACGTGGTCAGGGATCTGGACCCCTCGAACGACATAACGTTCATGCGCATCCGCTCCAACATGGGCGAGATCCACATGACCCTGGGCTCGGACTTCATTTTGATCATCGTGCAGAAGCTGAGAAGGTTCAGGAGCAGCTCCATGCCATAAAACATTTCCGGTCGCTGTGCGTGTGCGTGTGCGAAGTTCATTGATCTGTATACATACATATTTCCACCTGAATTAAATTGCTTGCAATTGCGGCAAATGCGCAGAGGTCGCGCTGGCCTGGGCGGGAAATTCGGAAATTTAGGAAAAGCCCAGCGAAGGCAGAGCAAGCTAATCCGTTTATGCAGCGCCTGCAATCCGGCAACCGCATCAAAGCGGCAATTAGTGCAGCCTTCGATGCGCCACTTGCATCGAGGTTTGGAATTCAACGACCTCTCAATTGGGTCCGCCACATGCATTAATCTTCCCGGGCACCGGGTCCTTGATCCCTGGCCTTTGGCCTTCCGAAAGCCACGATGCAGCTTCATTAAAACCCAATCAAGCGGCTGTCAGTCCGCCAAAAACCCCACTCGATGGCAACAGATTACCGGAAAAATTAAGGGATAATGGCAATTACACGTTGGCGGGCTCACAACGTGACTTCCGGGAACGTAATACATAAGTATTTTAGTTCTATGAATCCAGTGGGATTCCGGATCTGAAAAATTACATAAAATTCCACAGATTTCTGTGGGTCAGTTTACCCCATCAAACATGTTGATACACTCGGTGCGATGAATACATTCAATCAAATTCACGCATGCAACTTTATTTGCATGCCCTGTTTAGATTTGCCTGCCGATTCCTACAATAAAAGTCACGATTTCCCAGGGGAACGAGACGCCAAACTCCCACAATGAAATCTGGTGCTTTGAGCCCATTGTTCGGCGAATAATTCGGCATTGTTTTAGTTTCCAATTGCGCGTGTTTATCCTACCTGTTGTTGCAACAGGGATGTGGCACTTGTCCGGGGGCTCACGAATGTCGAATGCATTTTGGCGGTGTTCAAGCTGGCAGGATACATGTGCTGCCCAGTTGGTTCCGGGCTGTTTCGCTACTCACTATGGCTGGTCGCAGTAGATAGATGGGCCCTTTATGAATGTGTTTTTGAAACGGGATAATCCCCTATCGCATTACTGGTCCTGCTGAAAGGCCGCAATCAGCCGTTGCATCAAAGGAGTTGAAGAGTCGATTGCGAAATCGCCCGACGTGATTAAGTGACCAAACAGCGGAGCGTTCGACACATGTTGACATTTAATTTATTCGATGCGAGTCGATTCGTTTCGATCGGAGTCGAATGCGGAATGCGTTGACTTTCAATGAATATTCGAGGGTTATTAATAATGTAAAAGCCAGAATTTACATGCCAGCCACTCCAGTGAAGTGTGAGCGACTGCAAATGCGACTGCCGTTTTAATTGCCAGCCTTATTTAAAGGTACTTCGATTTAAGCCGCGAAATGTCCCTTCTCCAGTGCAGCCATCCGACCTGCCCGAGGATCCGAAACCGGATCCCCAGCCGAACCGAATCAGAGACCAAGTGCTCCGCCGTCTGGAACGCGGCGGATCGTGAAATTGCATGCAAGCGAATATAAGGCTAAAAGGCTAAGGGCCATTTGGCCAGACGACTACCAAAAAGGCCTTCGGCGAACGGAAAAGCGATTTTCACTCCCATTAGGGGGAGTTCAGGCCACATGGGCTGCCGTTTATCTGCGGACCACCAAAGCCGATTACCGACTGTATTTATTTAAGTGCACACGGGCACAATGCAAACAGCAAAAGCAATTATTAAACAATAATAAATCCAGCCTAACAGCTCCGCAATTCCATAGAAGTATAAACATTGCATCTGGCTCCACAAATGATCTGGCTAGGGAACTCCATCAGAGGTTCCCCCGAGTTCCGAGTTCCGTGTTCCTGCTGACCAGCACCAGCACATGACTGATGGTGCTCCCTGTTGCGGACATCCATCTTGGCAGCCAATCCAGCAATCCGACATGTGCTGCCCTTAATTAGTGCCATTTGAGTCCTTTTGGGACGGATTAAAACGCTGCCGAATGCTGCCAACTGCCAAATGAGTGGCTCATTCCCCGCATTTGGGCATTTAATGAATTAAATTCGCATGTGACACTGATTGCCCGGCTGCTGCCATTCGTCAGCCGGAATCAAATCAATCTGCAGTGCGCCGCGCATAATGCACAAATTAAAGAGTTATAATTCTGGACGCAGCCATGCAGTCGGCAATTAACAAATTATTTATATTGACAGCTCGAAACACTGTCCGCCGGAATAAAACTATTTGCATTGTTTGCGGCGAGAGTGTGGGTGCCCGTGCCCGTGCCCGTGCCCGAGTGCCATTGTTCCGGCGAACAAAGGACCGGTGGCTTAAAGGAATTTTCCATTTTAATTACTTTCCAATTAAGCCTCAATTAAATGTGCTGCTCGAGACCTTGGAGGCTACCACCAATCGAAAGCAGCGGCATCGTCATTAGGATCTCTGCGCAGGAGATCTGAAGTGCAGCCTGCAATCTGCAATCTGCAATCTGCCGACTTAATTAACGAAAGCATATGTCGGGAATTAAAATCGAAGGCTCTCAGCCAGGAAAGCGGTGAGGAGGAAAACGACTTCCGATTCAGGCATTAATTAACCTTAACTTTCGGCTCTTGCCTCAGCGATCTGCGCACACAAAGTCTGGCAAAGACAGTTCAACATCGGAAAAGCGCCCAGGGGAATGCTTTAATTGCGTGCCCTGGCTTAAAGAGAAAACAGCTCGTCGGAGGGGTGGAAACCTGCCGCCATGGTGGAAACCTGCCGCCAGGGGCTCGGAAAAGTCTGCTTATTTCGTACCCGAAAACTAACATGGCCGATCCCCGGAGCCAAAGATAACTTTGCACAATGTGTTTTCGTTGCGGTGGACGATTTTCCTAGCCAGCCAGTTTTCCTGACAGCGCACTGGAAAATGTTGAATAATTACATCAGGAAAATAATTTAAGCCGTCTCGTTTGTGGGGCAGAATGCCTGTGCTGAAGACCCGAGTGTAAGTGCATGTTAACCAGAAGCTTCCTAAACGATTTTGTTGCGCCGGACTCGAGAAGTCATTAGCCCATAAATGCCGCAATATCTGCAGATCCAACTCCTTCGGCAGCTTGCCATTGCCACAACAAGTGGAAGGCCAGCAAATGTAGCTGGTAATTTCTTGGAACAGTTTCTTGGGACAGATGCATTGCGATTCCTTGGCAAATGTTTGGGGACTTTGGGGACTTTGGGGAGTGGCTGTGTGTGCGCCACGGCGCGCTCCTTTCACTTTTGGGGGCAAATACTTCATAACAAGTTTGGTGCAACTTTTAAAACATTTACGCCATTTTCACGTGTACGTGACCACGCATGGCAAACGCAAAGTTTAGCCCGAGAAAACCCGAAAACCCGTACATCCAGAATGTGTGTGTTCCTGGGGGATTTACTCTATGGCTGCGGGGGCTCTTTAATTGCAGCCAAGCGGGCGATTATTCCGGCAAGTTTTTTAGCTGCGAGTGCGAATAAAATTACAAATGCCCCGCACGTACTTATTAAATTCCGTTTGCACCGTTTTGGCTGCACAACTTTTGTATCCGCCCCAAATACGTGGATGTTGCCCGAGTTGTGTGCCTTTTGAGCGAATGGCTTCGCTTGTGGGAGAAAGCATTTTGCATGCCAATCAAAGCCGCACTGCCACTCATCGCGCTGTTTATTTTTGGGCACATCCGCCGCAAGTTCTTGGAACGAGCCCGATTATGAAGAGGTAATACAGGTATAATAAAATTCGGTTGCATGGAGACGCGCCACAAAGAAGTGCTTGAATCCAGTTTCGATTGGCGAACGGAGCGTATGGAGTAGGGCATTGAAAACATTCGCATTGATGGGAATAATGGCATGCCGAGTTTTAAATTTAATTACAGATATTATGGCTATTGTCATTCTTGCATGTGCCCATTAAACAGCTTTATGTGGCTGCAAATTATTCATGCCTCACAATCCCATCTCGCACGGCAACATCTTGACTTGACTGTGGCAAGTCACTTATTATTTAAAAGTAAACACATCTCGACACAACCGAGTGGCACACACACCGTGTTTGCCCTCATGAAAAGCACTTCATAATTAATTTGCCTTTTCTTGCCTTGATTACGCATACGACACGTTGGCGGCAGATGGAGCTCAAGTTGGCAGCCACATCTGCTGGATATCATCCGGATATTAATTAACGCATCTCCAGGTGCTCGACTCAATCAATGACGAGTTAGTTAAGCGATGCGATTTGACAATGTGTAGCAACCTGGCAGATCTGGGCTCCTGCCCAGTCAATTTCGGCCCACAACTGCCCAGCCAGAGTCCACATTGGCCGCAATCTCGATTGAGCACTTGCCTCGCCCACCCACCCAACTGGTGGGCGTGGCAATCAGTCAGCGGGTGGCTGCTGTGGCAACTTGTCAAACGAATCAGCTCGCAGCCATGTGCAGAGTGCAGCGTGCAGAGTGGCCTCAAAGAAAGTCTTATAAATAAGCCAGCGGGCTGGCAAGGACCTGGAAAAAGTGGATACTTGGCCAGCAAATTTGCATGTGAAATGCTGCCATGCACACCCACTTTCTAGCATGTCAGCATTGGCTCACGATCAGGACCTCAGCCGGAGCAACTTTTCCAGTTGTTTTCCAGCGCAGTGTGAATGTGCATGAAATGCATCGTCAGGATGGCTTCAACTTTATTTCGTTTTCCCTCTCCGCCGGGCGTTGCGCTTTCGTGCATTAACACGCACGCATAGAGGACCAAACACAGACCCAAACTCACACTCACACACACATACACACGCATCCTTTGGAAGGACAAAACGCACTGTGAATGTGGAATTGGTGTCCCTTCCCTTGCCGGCACCGCTTTCCGCATCCTGCGTCCGTTCTGCTCCTGTGGCATTGTTTTTAAAGCCCAGCCACTCGGGTGTCCTTTTGGGGGCTGCCCCAATACACTGCTCAAAACAGAACGCCATATTAACATGTCTACTTTAATGCCTCCCTTCTCCACTGCAAATTAAATGGCAGCTTGAAAGCGGTTACTGGGATAATTAGGACGATGTTGAATCTAATTAAGATCTTATGGCAGATGGGCTTGTTCTCATTTTCCGCAGTGCATAAAATAGCCTGGTCGCCAGTTCACCGTGCAGCGGTTGCATATTTCTTCGCTCGGAGGAGGGTGCGTGGCGAGTTGTTAGACTCATCCTGGCCAAATCCAGTGGCGAGTAGCTGCAGTAACTTCGGCGGCGGCTTACGCCGGATGCACCGAGCTGCATTCGAGTTGCATTTGCGGTGGCGCCTAATGATATGCAATAGAGCGCCACTAATGGCAGTTACTTGAGTGTAAATTCGAAAGCGGATTGCGGCGCTCTAATCCGGCAGCCAAATTATTTATTCAGCATTTGTCTCTGGCGATGTCATCGAATGGAGTTCACGGATCCGCGTTTGCACCATCCTGATGACTCTGTCGGGACTTTGCCGCCACAGGACTTCATTCCTGAAATTTGGCATGGAAATTCCGTTTATTTTAATGGCGTTCGCCCGTGAAGCGGGTTGTTTCCAGTTTCCAGAAACCAGTTACCCGTTACCAGTTACCAGTTACCAGTTAGCAGTTACCATTTACCAGGCGGATGTGCCATTTATTGCCATTTTCGTTGTGCATTTTAAAACAATTACGCGGTTTTGCATTTGCGTCTGGCTTTGGTATCCTTTTTCATCAGTACCTCTCGGCTTTGTTTCTCCCCTGGATTTTGGGTCCTGCACTTGCAACTCTTCGATTACGCTAGACTTAACAATGGGAGGAATTAAGCGAATTTCCCCTTTCATTACTTGGGAATGGAAATTGGTTTTTTAACTGGGACGCACACATGGAGTCGCAATACCACTCACTAACCGCATCCTAATTGATTCAGCCAAAGTTGGGGATTTATTGCCGTCCGCCCAGCGATTTGTTAATGGAAAACCTGTACTCCATGTGCCCACGGCGCACTGGGAACCTAGGACCTGGGACCTCTGACCCCGGACCTGGGACACATTGGCGTACTTAGTCTAGACCATTGGGTGAGCTTAGTGTTTTGCCGTTCGGTTATATATCATGCGGTGATTTGTGGACTTAGCATAAAACCGAACGGCCCGGCGACATCCCGACTCTCTGGCGACTTTGGACGGGCACGATAAATCAAGGCGCAGATCCGGGAGCTCGGCGTATAGTATATAGTATAGTGGATATAGTATGCGTGGCGAAACTTAATAAGAGATGCGACAACAAACAAATGATTCAGATAGACAGACGGCGGGCGGCAGTCGGGTGGGTGGGGAGCTGGGGGCGCTGGGGGCGGGAAATGGGATTGTGGAAAGCGGAAAAATCTTTAAAGCAATGCCGCTGCACAGGACATTTTTCACCGAGCCATGGATTCGCAGACGGATCGCCAAAGGGGAGAACAAGTGTTTTGATTTATCGCCAACAATGGCAGGGCGGACGGGGATTCGCATCCAATTATACTGCTAACTTTCATTATGTCACTCTGCTATTTCGGGACCGGATGTGCGGCCATATTGGGCCATTGTTGCGCCACTGTCTATGCAGAGCACTGTGTTTAGTAGTGGCACCCTGCGGTTTCGGTGACAGGACTCATCTCCATCCTGCCGCCTGCCGTTCCCTCGGAGGACTCCGTCTGATAAATCGTCAGCGCCGCTTCCCTTTCACATGCTCTGACTTCATTATGGCGTAACAAATCGTCGGCATTTTGCATTCCTCGCTGCGGAAACGGAAGTGGAAGTGGAAGCCATCCCCGAAAGAAACTGCGAACTGGGCCTTTGTGTGGCCTTTAGACAATACCATCTCAGTTTTTCACATGTCCTGATTGCTCAACATTGTCAAGGGGAGCCATTTCGCTCTTGGGGCATACTTTGAGGCATTCGCCTACACTTTGATAGCTCCTAAGGAGATTCCAGGCCATATAATGTTCGTGTCCTTTCTTGCAGCTCTGCCATGGATCTAAAGACTGGCTCTCTCCTGGTAGCGCCCGCCGTGAAAAACTCGAGCTGCTCGCATCCGCGCTACTCCGGCCACAACTTCATCGCCCACATTGGGATTGCGGAGACCATCGAGGCGGTGCTCATCCTGGTCCTCACACTGGGCGTCATCGGGGCCAACTGCCTGGTCATCTTCGTCATCAACAACCGCCGCTATGCGGCCTACATACACCAACAGGTGGGAGGATTGGCCGGACGGCTGAGTCACTGCAGGCACTTTGCAGGCCTAACACCTTGTACATCTTGTGTCTCCCCATGTAGCCCCGTTATCTGCTCACCTCGCTGGCCCTGAATGACCTGACAATTGGCCTGCTAATTACGCCATTCGGCCTAATGCCGGCATTGTTCCACTGCTGGCCGTACGGAGAGATCTTCTGTCAGATACAGGTGAGTGGGTCGAGATTCGAGATTGGGTCACCACCAGGCCCACAAGTGGGGCGGAAGTGCGATAATTTGTTGTGGAATAGCCGTCTCCCGTTGGCGGCTGTGGCCACTGCGGTCAATTAACTCTCTTCACAATGCACGGTAATTACTGGACATAAACGGCGGTGATGGAAACGGACAATCCCGATTAACGGGCGGAACAATGTGTAATGCTAGTATTAACATGGTCGAGAGTGTGTAGGACTCTGTGGTAAGGGTCACAGTTCCGATGCACGAAGCAGAAGGAGTGTCCAGTGGAAAGTTATCCCAGCAATATGGTTGGCCAGCTAGTGGGCACATGGAAAAGCCATTGTTTTGTGGCAAGTGGCATTAATTATCAGGACAGAGGGCAACGTGGCAAGGATGAGCAACAGAAACTATTAGTTTATCATTTGCAAAAGCCATGAATCCATCACAAATATTGTTGCATGCTCTTACACAGGCTTAAAAGGGTTGGGTTTTTAAACATTATATTAAAATTCAGATGAAACACACGCAACTATTTGAGATAACATTTTTCATACCAGGTCTTTTCTAACACAAGTTGTGGTGTTTTTCTATTGCCCCCTTAGGAATATTGGTAAAACATGCACGCATTTCCCGCATAACTCACTGATATTATACACATATAGTGCTGACTGCCAATAATTTCATTACAAGTTTTTCGATTCGCCTCGACGAGCGGAAAAGTTTGGCGAAAAGCCATAATACATAATACAAATAATAAACTTCTAAACGAGCAGTAACGCATTTTTCACATTTTCCGCGTTTTCCAGGCCCTGCTCCGTGGAGCGCTTTCCCAGCAGAGCGCCGTCATCCTGGTTTGCATGGCAGTCGATAGATACATGTGTGCCCTGCATCCGCGGCGCTACTACCAGCACTCCAGCAAGAAGGTAAGATTCCACGTCCAATCGCATCGCATCACATCGCATCGCATCGATGTGGACTTCTATTTTGGGTTGCTCGGATAAGGCACGCTCCTCCGCGATCCTTATCCTGTTGTTCTGGCGCTCGCGGCAGGACAATAAAACAATAAACAAAGCTCCGGCGTAATGACAAGAAATCACGCGCCAATAAAATCGACTATAACAATGGGAAGAGCACCACACAGCAACTACACAATATGGTCGGCGAGCCAATTATGCAAGCATAAATAAGGATAATGGGCTTTAAGCAGCTTGACAGTCATTAAACAGGCAAAAAAATAAAAATAAAATGGGTGGCCAGCGCCAAAGAGCAAGTGCAAAACAAAGCATCATGGAGAATGAAAAAGCAAAGTTGGCAAAAACCAACGAAACCGAAAAAAAACGAGAGCCAAGTCCAATAGACATTCGAAAAGTGTATAAAATGGGAATAAAAAGGGGAGGAAAGTTGGCCTAGAGATTTTTTACGCGCAATGACTTCGGCGCAGGGCGACGACCACAGCAAAGTCCTTTTCCCAGGACGAAGGCAGGCAAATGAAGCGGCACCTCCCACGGAAACCGCAGCCAGGACCAAAGAGCAGCAAACGAGCTCTCAAACCAACTCTGTTTCCCATTCCCCGGCTTCGTAATTTATGGCTCCCTGACTGTAAACAAACGAAAACTAGGAGGCCAGGAGTCGTCCAAGGACACCGAAGCCCGAATGTCCTTGTTCCAAATGGGATGTATTCTCAAATACGTTCAAATGGGCGAATCTGGGGAATCATATCTCCAAAATAATCAAGCTTACAAAATACTAACAGATTTATCTTCGCAGCTGACATACGCTGATTTCAAAACCGTTTTGATTTCTTGATTCAAATTGATCAAATTGAAATATTTTCCAAAAAGTTTGTTAAAAATTTATGTTTTAGGCTTGAATACAGGTCGATAGGGAATTTTATTACGAATTTAAGGAGGTATCACATTCCACGTTTGGATAATTATTTCAATTGATATTGAAAAAAAAACGGATTATTTTTTACCAAAAAATTAAATTTTCGCATTTTTGATAAGGGGTACCATCATCATTTTTATGCGAAAAAGGGCAAAAAATTAATGTTTCTAGGCTTGAATACAGATCGATAGGGAATTTCATTACGAATTTAACGAGGTATCACATTCCACGTTTGGAGTATTATTTCAATTGATATTGGAAAAAAACCGATTATTTTTTACCAAAAAATCAAATTTTCGCATTTTTGATAAGGGGTACCATCATCATTTTTTGCGAAAAAGGGCAAAAAATTAATGTTTCTAGACTTGAATACAGATCGATTGGGAATTTCATTACGAATTTAACGAGGTATCACATTCCACGTTTGGAGTATTATTTCAATTGATATTGGAAAAAAACTAATTATTTTTTACCAAAAAATCAAATTTTCGCATTTTCATCATTTTTTGCGAAAAAGGGCAAAAAATTAATGTTTCTAGGCTTGAATACAGATCGATAGGGAATTTCATTACGAATTTAACGAGGTATCACATTCCATGTTTGGAGTATTATTTCAATTGATATTGGAAAAAAACTAATTATTTTTTACCAAAAAATCAAATTTTCGCATTTTTGATAAGGGGTACCATCATCATTTTTTGCGAAAAAGGGCAAAAAATTAATGTTTCTAGGCTTGAATACAGATCGATAGGGAATTTCATTACGAATTTAACGAGGTATCACATTCCACGTTTGGAGTATTATTTCAATTGATATTGGAAAAAAACCGATTATTTTTTACCAAAAAATCAAATTTTCGCATTTTTGATAAGGGGTACCATCATAATTTTTTGCGAAAAAGGGCAAAAAATTAATGTTTCTAGGCTTGAATACAGATCGATAGGGAATTTCATTACGAATTTAACGAGGTATCACATTCTACGTTTGGAGTATTATTTCAATTGATATTGGAAAAAAACCGATTATTTTTTACCAAAAAATCAAATTTTCGCATTTTTGATAAGGGGTACCATCATCATTTTTTGCGAAAAAGGGCAAAAAATTAATGTTTCTAGGCTTGAATACAGATCGATAGGGAATTTCATTACGAATTTAACGAGGTATCACATTCCATGTTTGGAGTATTATTTCAATTGATATTGGAAAAAAACTAATTATTTTTTACCAAAAAATCAAATTTTCGCATTTTTGATAAGGGGTACCATCATCATTTTTTGCGAAAAAGGGCAAAAAATTAATGTTTCTAGGCTTGAATACAGATCGATAGGGAATTTCATTACGAATTTAACGAGGTATCACATTCCACGTTTGGAGTATTATTTCAATTGATATTGGATAAAAACTAATTATTTTTTACCAAAAAATCAAATTTTCGCATTTTTGATAAGGGGTACCATCATCATTTTTTGCGAAAAAGGGCAAAAAATTAATGTTTCTAGGCTTGAATACAGATCGATAGGGAATTTCATTACGAATTTAACGAGGTATCACATTCCATGTTTGGAGTATTATTTCAATTGATATTGGAAAAAAACTAATTATTTTTTACCAAAAAATCAAATTTTCGCATTTTTGATAAGGGGTACCATCATCATTTTTTGCGAAAAAGGGCAAAAAATTAATGTTTCTAGGCTTGAATACAGATCGATAGGGAATTTCATTACGAATTTAACGAGGTATCACATTCCATGTTTGGAGTATTATTTCAATTGATATTGGAAAAAAACTAATTATTTTTTACCAAAAAATCAAATTTTCGCATTTTTGATAAGGGGTACCATCATCATTTTTTGCGAAAAAGGGCAAAAAATTAATGTTTCTAGGCTTGAATACAGATCGATAGGGAATTTCATTACGAATTTAACGAGGTATCACATTCCACGTTTGGAGTATTATTTCAATTGATATTGGATAAAAACTAATTATTTTTTACCAAAAAATCAAATTTTCGCATTTTTGATAAGGGGTACCATCATCATTTTTTGCGAAAAAGGGCAAAAAATTAATGTTTCTAGGCTTGAATACAGATCGATAGGGAATTTCATTACGAATTTAACGAGGTATCACATTCCACGTTTGGAGTATTATTTCAATTGATATTGGAAAAAAACCGATTATTTTTTACCAAAAAATCAAATTTTCGCATTTTTGATAAGGGGTACCATCATCATTTTTTGCGAAAAAGGGCAAAAAATTAATGTTTCTAGGCTTGAATACAGATCGATAGGGAATTTCATTACGAATTTAACGAGGTATCACATTCTACGTTTGGAGTATTATTTCAATTGATATTGGAAAAAAACCGATTATTTTTTACCAAAAAATCAAATTTTCGCATTTTTGATAAGGGGTACCATCATCATTTTTTGCGAAAAAGGGCAAAAAATTAATGTTTCTAGGCTTGAATACAGATCGATAGGGAATTTCATTACGAATTTAACGAGGTATCACATTCCATGTTTGGAGTATTATTTCAATTGATATTGGAAAAAAACTAATTATTTTTTACCAAAAAATCAAATTTTCGCATTTTTGATAAGGGGTACCATCATCATTTTTTGCGAAAAAGGGCAAAAAATTAATGTTTCTAGGCTTGAATACAGATCGATAGGGAATTTCATTACGAATTTAACGAGGTATCACATTCCACGTTTGGAGTATTATTTCAATTGATATTGGAAAAAAACCGATTATTTTTTACCAAAAAATCAAATTTTCGCATTTTTGATCATCACCATTTTTTGCGAAAAGGGGCAAAAAATTAATGTTTCTAGGCTTGAATACAGATCGATAGGGAATTTCATTACGAATTTAACGAGGTATCACATTCTACGTTTGGAGTATTATTTCAATTGATATTGGAAAAAAAACCGATTATTTTTTACCAAAAAATCAAATTTTCGCATTTTTGATAAGGGGTACCATCATCATTTTTTGCGAAAAAGGGCAAAAAATTAATGTTTCTAGGCTTGAATACAGATCGATAGGGAATTTCATTACGAATTTAACGAGGTATCACATTCCACGTTTGGAGTATTATTTCAATTGATATTGGAAAAAAACTAATTATTTTTTACCAAAAAATCAAATTTTCGCATTTTTGATAAGGGGTACCATCATCATTTTTTGCGAAAAAGGGCAAAAAATTAATGTTTCTAGGCTTGAATACAGATCGATAGGGAATTTCATTACGAATTTAACGAGGTATCACATTCCATGTTTGGAGTATTATTTCAATTGATATTGGAAAAAAACTAATTATTTTTTACCAAAAAATCAAATTTTCGCATTTTTGATAAGGGGTACCATCATCATTTTTTGCGAAAAAGGGCAAAAAATTAATGTTTCTAGGCTTGAATACAGATCGATAGGGAATTTCATTACGAATTTAACGAGGTATCACATTCCACGTTTGGAGTATTATTTCAATTGATATTGGAAAAAAAACCGATTTTTTTTACCAAAAAATCAAATTTTCGCATTTTTGATAAGGGGTACCATCATCATTTTTTGCGAAAAAGGGCAAAAAATTAATGTTTCTAGGCTTGAATACAGATCGATAGGGAATTTCATTACGAATTTAACGAGGTATCACATTCTACGTTTGGAGTATTATTTCAATTGATATTGGAAAAAAACCGATTATTTTTTACCAAAAAATCAAATTTTCGCATTTTTGATAAGGGGTACCATCATCATTTTTTGCGAAAAAGGGCAAAAAATTAATGTTTCTAGGCTTGAATACAGATCGATAGGGAATTTCATTACGAATTTAACGAGGTATCACATTCCATGTTTGGAGTATTATTTCAATTGATATTGGAAAAAAACTAATTATTTTTTACCAAAAAATCAAATTTTCGCATTTTTGATAAGGGGTACCATCATCATTTTTTGCGAAAAAGGGCAAAAAATTAATGTTTCTAGGCTTGAATACAGATCGATAGGGAATTTCATTACGAATTTAACGAGGTATCACATTCTACGTTTGGAGTATTATTTCAATTGATATTGGAAAAAAACCGATTATTTTTTACCAAAAAATCAAATTTTCGCATTTTTGATAAGGGGTACCATCATCATTTTTTGCGAAAAAGGGCAAAAAATTAATGTTTCTAGGCTTGAATACAGATCGATAGGGAATTTCATTACGAATTTAACGAGGTATCACATTCCACGTTTGGAGTATTATTTCAATTGATATTGGATAAAAACTAATTATTTTTTACCAAAAAATCAAATTTTCGCATTTTTGATAAGGGGTACCATCATCATTTTTTGCGAAAAAGGGCAAAAAATTAATGTTTCTAGGCTTGAATACAGATCGATAGGGAATTTCATTACGAATTTAACGAGGTATCACATTCCACGTTTGGAGTATTATTTCAATTGATATTGGATAAAAACTAATTATTTTTTACCAAAAAATCAAATTTTCGCATTTTTGATAAGGGGTACCATCATCATTTTTTGCGAAAAAGGGCAAAAAATTAATGTTTCTAGGCTTGAATACAGATCGATAGGGAATTTCATTACGAATTTAACGAGGTATCACATTCCACGTTTGGAGTATTATTTCAATTGATATTGGAAAAAAACCGATTATTTTTTACCAAAAAATCAAATTTTCGCATTTTTGATAAGGGGTACCATCATCATTTTTTGCGAAAAAGGGCAAAAAATTAATGTTTCTAGGCTTGAATACAGATCGATAGGGAATTTCATTACGAATTTAACGAGGTATCACATTCCACGTTTGGAGTATTATTTCAATTGATATTGGATAAAAACTAATTATTTTTTACCAAAAAATCAAATTTTCGCATTTTTGATAAGGGGTACCATCATCATTTTTTGCGAAAAAGGGCAAAAAATTAATGTTTCTAGGCTTGAATACAGATCGATAGGGAATTTCATTACGAATTTAACGAGGTATCACATTCCACGTTTGGAGTATTATTTCAATTGATATTGGATAAAAACTAATTATTTTTTACCAAAAAATCAAATTTTCGCATTTTTGATAAGGGGTACCATCATCATTTTTTGCGAAAAAGGGCAAAAAATTAATGTTTCTAGGCTTGAATACAGATCGATAGGGAATTTCATTACGAATTTAACGAGGTATCACATTCCACGTTTGGAGTATTATTTCAATTGATATTGGAAAAAAACCGATTATTTTTTACCAAAAAATCAAATTTTCGCATTTTTGATAAGGGGTACCATCATCATTTTTTGCGAAAAAGGGCAAAAAATTAATGTTTCTAGGCTTGAATACAGATCGATAGGGAATTTCATTACGAATTTAACGAGGTATCACATTCCACGTTTGGAGTATTATTTCAATTGATATTGGAAAAAAACTAATTATTTTTTACCAAAAAATCAAATTTTCGCATTTTTGATAAGGGGTACCATCATCATTTTTTGCGAAAAAGGGCAAAAAATTAATGTTTCTAGGCTTGAATACAGATCGATAGGGAATTTCATTACGAATTTAACGAGGTATCACATTCCACGTTTGGAGTATTATTTCAATTGATATTGGAAAAAAACCGATTATTTTTTACCAAAAAATCAAATTTTCGCATTTTTGATAAGGGGTACCATCATCATTTTTTGCGAAAAAGGGCAAAAAATTAATGTTTCTAGGCTTGAATACAGATCGATAGGGAATTTCATTACGAATTTAACGAGGTATCACATTCTACGTTTGGAGTATTATTTCAATTGATATTGGAAAAAAACCGATTATTTTTTACCAAAAAATCAAATTTTCGCATTTTTGATAAGGGGTACCATCATCATTTTTTGCGAAAAAGGGCAAAAAATTAATGTTTCTAGGCTTGAATACAGATCGATAGGGAATTTCATTACGAATTTAACGAGGTATCACATTCCATGTCTGGAGTATTATTTCAATTGATATTGGAAAAAAACTAATTATTTTTTACCAAAAAATCAAATTTTCGCATTTTTGATAAGGGGTACCATCATCATTTTTTGCGAAAAAGGGCAAAAAATTAATGTTTCTAGGCTTGAATACAGATCGATAGGGAATTTCATTACGAATTTAACGAGGTATCACATTCTACGTTTGGAGTATTATTTCAATTGATATTGGAAAAAAACCGATTATTTTTTACCAAAAAATCAAATTTTCGCATTTTTGATAAGGGGTACCATCATCATTTTTTGCGAAAAAGGGCAAAAAATTAATGTTTCTAGGCTTGAATACAGATCGATAGGGAATTTCATTACGAATTTAACGAGGTATCACATTCCATGTTTGGAGTATTATTTCAATTGATATTGGAAAAAACTAATTATTTTTTACCAAAAAATCAAATTTTCGCATTTTTGATAAGGGGTACCATCATCATTTTTTGCGAAAAAGGGCAAAAAATTAATGTTTCTAGGATTGAATACAGATCGATAGGGAATTTCATTACGAATTTAACGAGGTATCACATTCCATGTTTGGAGTATTATTTCAATTGATATTGGAAAAAAACTAATTATTTTTTACCAAAAAATCAAATTTTCGCATTTTTGATAAGGGGTACCATCACGAATTAACGAATTTAATGAGGTATCACGTTTGGAGAATTATTTCAATTGATATTAGAAAAATATTGATATTGATATTACCAAAAAAAATCAAATTGAAATATTTCGCAAAAGCTCGATATTGTCGCAACAAAAAATGTCGCAAAGATAAATTAACTCTAGTTTTGTGAAGCTAATAAACATATCTAACTACCCCTATCTATGTCCGACAGATTTTCGGAAATCCAGATTTTAACAAATTTTCGCATTTTTTATAAGGGGCACAGGGTCGAGCCAAATAAAGCGTTAAAAAACGGAAAAGTACCAATAGTGGAAAATATTTGTAAATAACATTGCGGCGCAATTTTTGTTCTACGAAAATCGGCGCCATTTCGGTTTTATACGCCATCTGGCCACCAAAATGGGGCCAAGAGGCGAATTTGGCGCACTGCCACGCCCCATTTGTAAAAAATGATGGGCGCTCTGTCGAAAATTAATAAATGGATGCTGAATGCAAAATACTTTGGATGCAAAAAACCAATGCACGGCGGAACTTGGTAATGGCATCGGGAACTTTTGATTTTGTTTTTGCTTACTTTCAAAAGTGCCATAAATTCAAAGGCAGTCTTAAAAAATTCTCGCAATCTCTATTTTTAGTGAATTTAACAGCTTGACTCAAAACACGTTCTCTACTTCAGTCACAATTTGAAGTAAATGCGCATGAAAATTCAATTATTTTGTTATCTGCGATATTTGCTGACTATCCTTACAACTTCAGCATCGCTAGGATGTGCTTTACGAAAAGCTCCTGCCATGCAGCTATCCTGCAAAAATATTTATATTTAAAAAATTGTACCTAACTGAGATCCCTCCCTTGTTTGTTTCGTTCGGCAAAAGTTTTAAATGTGATAGCGAAAATTAAATTAATCACAGCCATGGACCGTTTCAAAGAGACGCGAACAAAAGTTGTGCTTTCCTTTTTTTCAGGACTTTTTGGCACTTGGGATGGGGCTATTTTCATTTTTTCAGGTGGACAGGTGGGCAGGAGGACAACATTTTCCCATTCAGAATGTCAGAATGCTGCATTTAGTAACTCAGCCAGTCAGTGCCATTGTGGCAGCACTTTTCCATTTCCAAAATGCTGAAGAATCGCTTTCCCTCTGTGGTCTGCACCCTTCACCCAGTGATTTTGGCATAATCAAAAGTTTGTCATTTCATTTTTGGCCTCTTGAACTCCCTTGCTGAATATCAGACAAAATGTGCAGCGAAGCAAGTGGAATTTTAGCAAATTAGAAAGTTGAGCAGGGAGCTTTCGGATTTAGCTGCTTGCCTTAGTATGATACAAGCCACTTCTGGCCAAATAAACACTTAATATGGATTACCCAACCTGCTACACCTACACCTAAATGCCAATTCAGTTTTATATGGCCCATAATTGATTTGGTCTGAAATGCAGGGAATACGTGCCTGCAGCCTCTTCGCCAGTCGTAAATCAGACCGCACCTGGCGGAAATGTGCTCCACTAATTGTGTATTCATTTTGCAGGGCTGCGTGGCCATACTGAGCTTAACCTGGATTATCAGCCTGACGGTGTTTGGCTTTCTGGTGCTGCCCAAAGGTGAGCTGCCCAAGATTGGCCCGCCATCAATGTGCTCTCGAACACGTCAAACCATAAACTATATGCGCAGGTTACTACTTCAACAATACGGGTCTAATGGCCTGCGAGCCCTTCTACAGCAAGCCATCCTACAGGATACTGTCCACGTGCGCCCTCTACTTTCCCACGACGATGGTGCTGATGTACTGCTACGGCTCCAGCTTCCACATGAGCCGCTTCCGGCTAAACGACCCGACCATGCCCCTCACGGCCGCCGCCCACCACCCACATCCGCACCCACACCCCACCGCCGCCCAGCAGCTGCAGATGCACCAGCAGCACCAGCACCACCAGCAGGCGGGCATGCACTCGCATCTCTACCACGGCCACTCGCACCACCCCAACCACCCGAGCCATCCGAACCATCCGAACCACCACGGCCACCCACACCACCACGGACCGCCCGTTATGGGCCATCTCAGCATGGCCATGAGCATGGGACTGGCCGGCATGCCGAACATGACAAACAAGATTACCAAAAAGGTAAGTCAGCTGAACCGGGTGAACTGGGGAAGTCAGGTGGCCAGGTGGACAGCTGGCCGAAGGAGGCGGGCTACACAACAGTTTGCACAGGCGAGAGTGAGTTGGGGATTAAGTTAGCAGTAAATAGAATTTTCTCGGCATCGCCAAACAAATTGTTAAGACCATCAGTATGCCGGCTCAGAACTTAAAGAACTGTTAACAGCTTTTAGTATTTGTGAACTAGGTACTCAATATTGGTACCAGCTAATTCAATTAAATTCCAGAAGTTAGGCGAACTACTCTAAAACTCATTTAAAAAAGAACTCGAGCTGTGAAAATAAAAATGTTTCCACAAGCCAATTTTACATTTTAGCAAAACAGAAAGCAGCAGCAGTAGCAGCTCAAAGTGTAGGGAGAGGTCAACTGACTTCCTAATCAACAGGAATAACAATTTCACTTAGGAAGTATCTACACAAAATTGAATCAACAAATTGTAATACTAGAGCCCCTCTAATCGAATTGCCGCAAATACTCCCACAGATTGTTCCCATCCAGGAGAAGAACTCCAGCGGTTCCACCTCGCGCTCGATGGCCGCCATTTCGCTGGGCTTCATAGTGATGGTCACTCCGTGGACGATTCAGGAGATAGTCACCGCCTGCACGGGATCCAAGGCAAGTGTCCTGCACAATGGATTTTGGTGTGGCCGCTTTGTGCGCTGCGTACAACGCGGCGCATACGTAATGAGGCCACGTGTGGCTCATCAGTTGTGATTTTGTGACATTTTGTGCTATGTCCGTCCACAGTTGCCGCCGTTCCTCGATTTCCTGGTCACCTGGACGGCGCTGAGCAATAGTCTGTGGAACCCGTTCATGTACTGGCTGCTGAACTCCGACTTCCGCCGCCTGAGTCGCCAGCTGATGCCGAACAAAGTGAGTATTTAGTGTTTGGGAGGAACGATGATGAATCTCCTCTCTGATCTGGAGCGATGTTCACTGTCTGTTTCAGCAGCAAATCTGTCATAAGCCCTGATTGATTGATTCGCTTATCCCTATTGCAAGCACCACGTGCACACTTTCACTGACCTCCCCGAATCCCAAGCCCAAATATGGGTATTTCCCCAAGTTTATCCTGCAGCTCTCAAATTTTCCGGCTGCACAGCGCAAACTTTGCAAAAACAGGAGGTTCAGAGGGAGCAGGGAACAGGGAACGGGAGGTACCTCCCGAAAAACCCCATAAATCCGTAACCGAAGGTGTAAGCTGCAGAAATCTGGCAGACTGGCTCCGGCAAAGTAAACAATCAACAGACGCAGCAGCAACAATAGCAGGTCCTGCAAAGTGATTTTGAATTATGAAAGAGCAAATCTAAAACGGCATTTACATCCCCATGTAGCCCCACAAACCCCTTCTCCATCCCCATCCCATAGCTCCCGATTCCATTCTGGTAAACGCAGTCAAGTTGCATGATTTACTTCCGGAGAGCCGGGGTCAGTCTGTGGAATATTTATGGCCCAACCTTGTGCTGCGCCGGAATAAATGCGCATTTAAAATCCTTATTAATTTTTGTGCGAGTCGGAATTTATGGTGCCTCCCTGCCGTTTCAGTGCTTCCCCAACGAGGATACACCCGAGCACAAATCAGGCTGTTGTCACATCAATGCTAACGATTTCGAAATCACAACGCTTCCGATTCCCCCGGAGCCGCCGTCATCCCGTCCTCCGGGTGGAGCACTAGGAGCAGGAGGTCCATCCACTGGAGGGGGAGCCAGTTCTGGCGGCGGAGTGGCCAGTTCCATTAGCGGCTCCGTCCTCGGGATCTGCGCCCGTTCGCGGACAAACAGCCTCAGCCGCAGTGCCTCCCAGTACATCCGAGGGACCATGGGCGGCGGAGTCCACAATCACCAGGCGACGGAGGCCTTCTCCACCACGCGGCCAGACATCGAGGGCCTCTCCGAGAAGTACTGGGGCGAGATCCTGGAGAGAACCGTCAGCTCGGGCAACCTGAACGCCATGCAGAAGCACCTGCCGCCCCACCTGCCCTACACCCACCACCTGGTCCACCAGCTCCACCAGCCGCAGCAGCACCACCAGCAGCAGACCACCTCCTTCAGCAAGGCCAGCGATCTGCAGCTGAACCTGAACCTCAGCCAGGCGGCCACGGCTGCCGAGCTGGGCAAGTTCTCCAACTCGGAGCCGAAGCTGTGCGAGCACCTCTTCCACGACGTGAACTGCGCCAAGAGCAAGGCCGCCAACGGGGATGGGGAGTCCTCCGGCAAGCTGGCCTGCGGCCGCAGCATTCCGGACATCTAGTACGCCGAGGACGTGATCCTGGCCAAGAACCAACTGCTGGCCAGGCAGGCCAAGTGCTCGCACCATCCGCTGCACCAGCAGGCCAAGACGCGGCTCCATTCCCACACGGGCAGCCTGCGCTTCAGCCGGATTCGCGCCGCCTGCCACAGTCCGCCGCCGGAGAAGTCCGGCTTTCCAATGGCCGAGTACCGCAAGTAGGATCACAGAGCGCATTGGGGTCAGGGGTGCCACGAAACGGGATTCCAGGATTGCGGGATTCCAGGGCTCCCCAGTATATGGTATAACCATGCAGAGAATAGGGAGTGAGAGCGAGCGAGTATCTATAAGATTCCATAGGTGTATGTGCGTGTGAGTGTCTATATAATACCGCATGATCAAGCCATAATATGTGTGTTTTCTATTAGGCTTAAGATCTGGAGGTCCTACGGTCGGGTTTTCAATTTCAAGTCTCTGAGATTCGCTTGTAGAAAGCGGTTTTTTGGATTGCACCCTTAAGAAAGCATTAAAAAAGATAGCACCCATCCTCAAATTTTCCACTTCCTCTAAAACAATCTGTAAACTTCCAAGTCCTATTAGCCAGACTGCTCCTTTCTTTAGAATACCTGATCTGGGGGATCGGAATTAGCCGAAATAAGCAGAAGTTAACCATAGTAAGTGTTCATTCAATGTTTGTGATACCCTAAGTTTCCCAGCCCAACTTACCCACGAGTATTATACTCTTATAATATAATCCTAGTTGTTGTGTGTGTGCATCGGCTAATTAAACATAGGCTAGATGGAAAAACAGAGATATCAGACTTTCCTCTAAGAACCCGCTCGACATTCGGAACCCCTTCCCTAAATTCTCCACCTCTTAAGGATTAAGGATCTATGTACGTAGTCTCTGATATTGGCGGACCTTAATGCGTTGTGGTTAATCATAGTTGTAGTTCCATAGCCGAGTCGTATACCAAATTACTCACTGTTCGACGAATCAAAATCAAATCCTAACTTTGTGATTGTCAAGAATTTAAGTCGGTTGGTGTGGACATTACTGTTAAATCATTTTTAATTTGTAGCTAAGTAATTGACTAGTTAAAGCCAAATAAATTTACAGTTTAAGTAAGTCTAACTTTAGTTAAATAAACGCGAGGTGTGTAACGGATATATTTCATAGGCAAAGCATTCAAATCGCAATAAATAAATATCACTAAAGCGATTTGCATAAACTCTTGTTTTCCTTGGTTCTAGCTCACTCAAAAGGTAATTTCAAGGCAATTACGCCGAAAGCCCCCAAAAAGGAAGCCAACAAATGGATCCCAAAACGTAACTGCCATCCCATAACTGAATCCCAATTACACAAAAACCCCGACAAATTTCGACCGAAACGTTGCTAAATAAATTAAAAATTATTTAAATTTGATTTTTATTGTGCCACGGAGCCCCCAAAACCCCAATCCCCAATCCCCAAGCCACCAGATGACAACAAGGCCCAAATGCAAATTAATATCGCACACTGCGCTTAGATTTCCATTTGGCCTCGCAGGACTAAGGAAAAAAATGCAAGATAAACGGACGAGAAAGTTTGAAAACTAATTTTCGCAAAACAATTTTCAGAGGCCGCGTTCTCCTCCCTTTTCCCGTCTTGGCCCCCAAAGGGCAATGCTTTCCTTGGGCAATTTGAATCTCAAACTAAATCTGAATCTGAATGTGGATGCGGATGCGGATGCGAATGCGAATGCGGATTCTTTGCGTTTCTCCCGTGCCCAAAAAATTACACGCTCCGCTGCATTTTGGAACAATAATCGCCGGTGTTTGGCGTCTGACCGACCACGCCTACAGCGCCTACAGCGCCCCCTGCCGAAATCCAATCCCCGAAAACCATGAGCATTCTGGGTGCAGGAATTCACGCCCCAGCTCCGGAAAACTTTTCGCATGAAAGTCAACTTTCCTTTTTCCCTCTTGATTTCCATTTGTGTGCCATCTGAGTTTTCTGTATAATTCGACGCCTGCCGCAATTGGATGGAGCGCCATTTGCTCTACCACGGTTTTTGCCTAATTTGATTAACACTAATTGGGGTTCATCTAATTGCGGATGGCCAGGATATCATGTGCTGCAGCGGAACAGTTTCCGGTCTTCAAATACGATTTATGGCGCCAATTAAATGCGGGAGTTATATGAAAATCGCACGAAATAGGAGCTATGATCACCGAGATATTCAGTGAGATATACAAGTTCGCGAGCTTGATTGACCAATCAACTATATTTTTGCAGTCTGCCAAAATTATAATTATTCTCGTGCCTATGCTTGCATAAAGATGTACGATTTGAGTTGTTCTGGGCAATGAATTGGAACCCAAGCAAGACCAACTGAATGCAATGCGTGTAGCTTTTCCGAGTATATGTATGCGAGTCTATATGAAATATGATGGGCAAACTAATGAGAGGCCATCATCAAACAAACCGAAATATTCCCCAATTATAATTTACTGCAATAAAACATGATACTGACTACCAGAACCGCGTGATAACTACTTAAGCGCCACTTACACAACTTACACCACAACAACTTCCTTTACAAAGTGGTACTGAGACAGAAAACATTATATTCCCGATCATTTCAAAATCGATTTAAGCATATTATCACGGGCCTATACCTTGTTTATGAAGATTATATTAAACCAGAAGTGGAGTATCCTTCGAGCAACTCAAGCAATATCCTCCACATAGGTGAAATAAACATTCGTGGCAAACTGGGGCTTCAAATCGAATAACCAATCCAGTAAGAGTAGGTACTCTCCAGATGGAAGTGGAACAGGAACTTCAATGCGATGGAAGTCGCTTACCATCTGTAAGCCCTGAAATATCCAACAATATTCCGAAAATCTACATGAAAATACCCTACATTTTTAATCTTACCTCGTACGGACAGGTGTGGTTGACCGTGGATACGTTCCTGATAAAGTTCCAAATGATTTTGGCGAACGGCTGGTTTCGCCTTCGCATAAAAAGGCAGGCGTCGAGTGTGTAATCAAACAAAAAGGGCTTATACCCATTGGCCCTCTTCATCATCTTTGCGTGGACGTGTATTTTCTTGGCTGGCTCTATGAACGTGGCATTTATGTTCAAGCTGGTCTTGGTTCGGGAATAGGCCTTCAGGCGGCAGTAATGGATAACCACCCACGATTCGTTATAGGACTTGCACACTGCATTCGTCATTTTAGCAAGGTTCGCCTCCTGGGGGAATTTTTCAATACTTTAGCTTCATTATTTGTAGCCTGTTATTGGATCTCTTACCCCGCAGACCAAAAAGCTAAATATTACCGAAACAGCAAAAATGGCTATCCTCTGATCCATCGCTGTTTACCAATCCCTTGAAACTGACAATGTACAGCTTCACGTGGTTCATTATATACAAATTTTCGTTGAAACTCTTTCAGCAAATATTGTAAAGAGATCTAGCATAGTCACTCAACTGGAAAATCAAATAATGATTACATCACACAACATTATACCAGTTGTATTATGTTGATGACCCCGTGTGGACTTGGCAGACCTAGAAGCAAACACAACTTTTATTTTCATAGGACGTACCACATGTAAAATGCGTTCGATACCAATATTATCTGAAACTGAGTTGTGAAGTCAGTTGGTGAATAGTTGCAAATTCAAAATTAATTTTTGTTTTTCTGTTTTATTCAAATTCCTGTGTCGATACGATTTCCGTATATTTGTGTATAGATACTTATCATCAGTTGTGAAGGTCAGGGAACTCCATACTCCACCTTCAGTGTTTTGAGCTGGTCGGCAACAAATCCTCAACATAAGTGAAATATACATTCGTAGCGAACTGCGGTTTACCATCGAACAACCAGTCTATCAAAAGTAAATAGTCTCCAGATGGCAGTGGAACAGGAATTTCAGCATAGTGGAAATCGCTCAACATCTGCAAGCCCTGAAAGATCGAATATCATTTAGACGATGAATGGATTCCCCACCTTAAATTCAATTTTCTTGGCGGGCTCACCGTGCTCACCGTATAGGGACACGTGTGGTTAACCGTGGATACATTCCTGATCATGTTCCAGATTATCTTAGCCACTGGGTGGTTCCGCCTTCTCATGAATTCGCAGGCGTCGAGCGTGAAGTCAACCAAAAAGGGCTTGTAGCCATTGGCCTTCTTCATCGCCTTTACATGAACTGATATATTTTTGGCTGGCTCTATGAACGTGGCATTTATGTTCAAGCTGGTCTTGGTTCGGGAATAGGCCTTCAGGCGGCAGTAATGGAAAACCACCCACGATTGGTTATAGGACTTGCACACTGCATTTGTCATTTTGAAAGAGGACGCCTCCTGATGGAATTTTTGGATTTTATGAAATTTCGATTGGGTTCTAAAATCCGATTTCTTACTCCGCAGCCTAGATAGAAAACTAATAACGAAACTGCAAGGATTAAAACCTTGTGATCCATGGCTCCAGGTCGACCAACCGTGGTTAACTGACGTAACTCGGGTCTTCATTTCGAAAATGTGTTCAATTTTTTATCAAATTGCATTGATGGCTAGGTAACGAATTACATTATCATTAAAAATCGATTTAAAACACTTAATAAAGATATATTAAACTATCGAATACGCTTTGAAATATTATTACTGATCAAAATCTCGAACCCTCTTGACATTCTCGACAGTAAATATTCCCCTACAAATGTGAAATATACATTCGTGGCAAACTGCGACTTCAAATCGAATAACCAATCCAGTAAGAGTAGGAAACAGCAAAAATGACTATCCCCCATGATCCTTGGCTCGTTACCCATCCGTCAAAACTGACAATGTACATATACTTAATTAAATGCAAATTTAAGTTGAAACCCTTTTAGCAAATATTGTAAAGAGATCTAGTCATAAAAGTCCTGTGTCGATACGATTTCCGTATATTTGTGTATAGATACTTATCATCAGTTGTGAAGGTCAGGGAACTCCATACTCCACCTTCAGTGTTTTGAGCTGGACGGCAACAAATCCTCAATATAAGTGAAATATACATTCGTAGCGAACTGCGGCTTACGATCGAACAACCAGTCCATCAAAATTAAATAGTCTCCAGATGGCAGTGGAAGTGGAATATCAACATTGTGGAAATCGCTCAACATCTGCAAGCCCTGAAAGATCGTAAATCATTTAGATGATAATTGGATTCCCCACCTTAATTGCAATTTTCTTGGCGGGCTCACCGTATAAGGACACGTGTGGTTAACCGTGGATACATTCCTGATCATGTTCCAGATTATCTTAGCCACTGGGTGGTTCCGCCTTCTCAGGAATTCGCAGGCGTCGACCGTGAAGTCAACCAAAAAGGGCTTGTAGCCATTGGCCTTCTTCATCGCCTTTACATGAACTGATATATTATTGGCCGGCTCTATGAGCGTAAGATTTATATTCAAGCTGGTCTTGGTTCGCGAATAGGCCTTCAGGCGGCAGTAATGGACAACCACCCACGATTGGTTATAGGACTTGCACACTGCATTTGTCATTTTGAGAGAGGGCGCCTCCTGATGGAATTATTGGATTTTATGAAATTTCGATTGGGTTCTAAAATCCGATTTCTTACTCCGCAGCCTAGATAGAAAACTAATAACGAAACTGCAAAAATGAAAACCTTGTGATCCATCTCTCTAGGTCGACCAACCGTGGTTAACTGACGTAACTCGGGTCTTCATTTCGAAAATATGTTCATTTTTTTATCAAATTGCATTGATGGCTAGGTAACGAATTACATTATCATTAAATATCGATTTAAAACACTTAATAAAGATATATTCAACTATCGAATACGCTTTGAAATATTATTACTGATCAAAATCTCGAACCCTCTTGACATTCTCGACAGTAAATATTCCCCTACAAATGTGAAATATACATTCGTGGCAAACTGCGACTTCAAATCGAATAACCAATCCAGTAAGAGTAGGAAACAGCAAAAATGACTATCCCCCATGATCCTTGGCTCGTTACCCATCCGTCAAAACTGACAATGTAAATATACTTAATTAAATGCAAATTTTAGTTGAAACCCTTTTAGCAAATATTGTAAAGAGATCTAGTCATAAAAGTCCTGTTACGGTTTCCGTATATTTTTGTATAGCTACTTATCATCAGTTGTGAAGGTCAGGGAACTCCATACTCCACCTTCAGTGTTTTGAGCTGGACGGCAACAAATCCTCAACATAAGTGAAATATACATTCGTAGCGAACTGCGGCTTACGATCGAACAACCAGTCCATCAAAACTAAATAGTCTCCAGATGGCAGTGGAAGTGGAATATCAACATTGTGGAAATCGCTCAACATCTGCAAGCCCTGAAAGATCGTAAATCATTTAGATGATAATTGGATTCCCCACCTTAAATGCAATTTTCTTGGCGTGCTCACCGTATAGGGACACGTGTGGTTAACCGTGGATACATTCCTGATCATGTTCCAGATTATCTTAGCCACTGGGTGGTTCCGCCTTCTCATGAATTCGCAGGCGTCGAGCGTGAAGTCAAACAAAAAGGGCTTGTAGCCATTGGCCTTCTTCATCGACTTTACATGAACTGATATATTATTGGCCGGCTCTGTGAACGTAAGATTTAAATTCAAGCTGGTCTTGGTTCGGGAATAGGCCTTCAGGCGGCAGTAATGGAAAACCACCCACGATTGGTTATAGGACTTGCACACTGCATTTGTCATTTTGAGAGAAGGCGCCTCCTGATGGAATTTTTGGATTTTATGAAATTTCGATTGGGTTCTAAAATCCGAATTCTTACTCCGCAGCCTAGATAGAATAATAATAATAACGAAACTGCAAAAATGAAAACCTTGTGATCCATCTCTCTAGGTCGACCAACCGTGGTTAACTGACGTAACTCGGGTCTTCATTTCGAAAATATGTTCAATTTTTGATGAAATTGGATTGATGGCTAGGTAACGAATTACATTATCATTAAATACCCATTTAAAACACTTAATAAAGATATATTTATAACACAAAATTCAACTATCGAATACGCTTTGAAATATTATTGCTGATCAAAATCTCGAACCCTCTTGACATTCTCGACAGTAAATATTCCCCTACAAATGTGAAATATACATTCGTGGCAAACTGCGACTTCAAATCGAATAACCAATCCAGTAAGAGTAGGAAACAGCAAAAATGACTATCCCCCATGATCCTTGGCTCGTTACCCATCCGTCAAAACTGACAATGTAAATATACTTAATTAAATGCAAATTTTAGTTGAAACCCTTTTAGCAAATATTGTAAAGAGATCTAGTCATAAAAGTCCTGTGTCGATACGATTTCCGTATATTTGTGTATAGCTACTTAACATCAGTTGTGAAAGTCAGGGAACTCCATACTCCACCTTCAGTGTTTTGAGCTGGTCGGCAACAAATCCTCAACATAAGTGAAATATACATTTGTAGCGAACTGTGGTTTACGATCGAACAACCAGTCTATCAAAAGTAAATAGTCTCCAGATGGCAGTGGAACAGGAATTTCAGCATAGTGGAAATCGCTCAACATCTGCAAGCCCTGAAAGATCGAATATCATTTAGACGATGAATGGATTCCCCACCTTAAATGGAATTTTCTTGGCGGGCTCACCGTATAGGGACACGTGTGGTTAACCGTGGATACATTCCTGATCATGTTCCAGATTATCTTAGCCACTGGGTGGTTCCGCCTTCTCATGAATTCGCAGGCGTCGAGCGTGAAGTCAACCAAAAAGGGCTTGTAGCCATTGGCCTTCTTCATTGCCTTTACATGAACTAATATATTATTGGCCGGCTCTATGACCGTAAGATTTAAATTCAAGCTGGTCTTGGTTCGGGAATAGGCCTTCAGGCGGCAGTAATGGAAAACCACCCACGATTGGTTATAGGACTTGCACACTGCATTTGTCATTTTGAGAGAAGACGCCTCCTGATGGAATTTTTGGATTTTATGAAATTTTAATTGAGGCCTATAAGCCGATTACTTACTCCGCAGCCTAGATAGGCAACTAATAACGAAACTGCAAGGATTAAAACCTTGTGATCCATGGCTCCAGGTCGACCAACCGTGGTTAACTGACGTAACTCGGGTCTTCATTTCGAAAATGTGTTCAATTTTTGATAAATTTGCATTGATGGCTAGGTAACGAATTACATTATCATTAAATACCCATTTAAAACACTTACTAAATATATATTAATAACACCAAATTCAACCAGCCAATACGCTTTGAAAAACTATTAGTGATCGAAATCTCGAACCCTCTTGACATTCTCGACAGTAAATATTCCCCTACAAATGTGAAATATACATTCGTGGCAAACTGCGACTTCAAATCGAATAACCAATCCAGTAAGAGTAGGAAACAGCAAAAATGACTATCCCCCATGATCCTTGGCTCGTTACCCATCCGTCAAAACTGACAATGTACATATACTTAATTAAATGCAAATTTTAGTTGAAACCCTTTTAGAAAATATTCTAAAGAGTAAAAGTATAAAAGTCCTGTGTCGATACGATTTCCGTATATTTGTGTATAGCTACTTAACATCAGTTGTGAAAGTCAGGGAACTCCATACTCCACCTTCAGTGTTTTGAGTTAGTCGGCAAAAAATCCTCAACATAAGTGAAATATACATTCGTAGCGAACTGCGGTTTACCATCGAACAACCAGTCTATCAAAAGTAAATAGTCTCCAGATGGCAGTGGAACAGGAATTTCAGCATTGTGGAAATCGCTCAACATCTGCAAGCCCTGAAAGATCGTAAATCATTTAGACGATGATGGATTCCCCACCTTAAATGCAATTTTCTTGGCGGGCTCACCGTATATGGACACGTGTGGTTAACCGTGGATACATTCCTGATCATGTTCCAGATTATCTTAGCCACTGGGTGGTTCCGCCTTCTCATGAATTCGCAGGCGTCGAGCGTGAAGTCAAACAAAAAGGGCTTGTAGCCATTGGCCTTCTTCATCGACTTTACATGAACTGATATATTATTGGCCGGCTCTGTGAACGTAAGATTTAAATTCAAGCTGGTCTTGGTTCGGGAATAGGCCTTCAGGCGGCAGTAATGGAAAACCACCCACGATTGGTTATAGGACTTGCACACTGCATTTGTCATTTTGAGAGAAGGCGCCTCCTGATGGAATTTTTGGATTTTATGAAATTTTAATTGGGTCCTATAAGCCGATTTCTTACTCCGCAGCCTAGATAGGCAACTAATAACGAAACTGCAAAGATTAAAACCTTGTGATCCATGGCTCCAGGTCGACCAACCGTGGTTAACTGACGTAACTCGGGTCTTCATTTCGAAAATGTGTTCCATTTTTGATCAAATTGCATTGATGGCTAGGTAACGAATGCGTTTATTACATTGTCATTAAATATCGATTAAAAACAGTTAATAAATATATATTAATAACACCAAATTCAACCTGCCAATACGCCTTGAAAAACTATTGCTGACATTCTCGACAGTAAATATTCCCCTACAAAGGTGAAATATACATTCGTAGCAAACTGCGGCCTCAAATCGAATAACCAATCCAAGAAGAGTAGGTACTCTCCAGGTGAAAGTGGAACGAAGAGGAACTTCAATGCATTCGTCATTTTAGCAAACGGAGCTTCCTAGGGAATGATAAGCTTGAATTATAATAAAATTCGGTAATCTGAGTAGTAATTCCTCTTACACTGCAGACCAGGAAAGCAACTATTTCAAAACAACAAGAAGTACAATCCCTTGTTCCATGGTTTCTTATCGAGCACCCGTAGAGGACTGACGATGTTTAGGTGCATTTGCTTCATCTATTCGATTTTAAACGGCGCCATTAGGCTTTATTTTAATTATAGATCATTATTCCTAGCGCTTAACTCACCCAAGCATGACAAAACAAATGCACATCAAAGAAAATTGATATGTAATCTTAGATCTGTTGGAAGCTCAGTAGTCAGGTATTGACATATGTATACTTTGCTTATAAGCGAGACTTTCCTGTTTTGAGGGGAGCTCATACATAAAACACCCTTGCCGAACCAACAACATCGAGAACTGATCTACATATATTCATGTTGCCACAGCCAAAATGAATGTGTGCAAGCCCAAGGAAGTGGGTCCCGATGGACTTTTTGTCCGGAAGCGCTTTACGCGGCATCCGGTGGTGATCTCGGCAAAGCGGTTTGCAGCCATTAAGGGACGTTCTCGCCAGGATGAGAAACATGCCCAATTGGAGGCCGTCGAGGAGGAGCGCAGGTACCGGCAGTACCTGAAGGACGGCAACGAGCTCTTGTGTAGTCTGTTCACGGATCCCAATGCTCCCAAGGTCAAGAAATCGGCAAGGGCTCAGAGCAAGGAAGCCATGGCGGCAGTAAAGGACGTGGACACAAAGTTGGCAGACGAGCGGCTGCGCAAGCAGAGGATCCTGCGGGCCAACCGGCTACTGGATCAACTGAAGCCTGGACCCCGCGCTCTACACCAGGCTCTTCTGTACAGCGAAATGATTCATCAGAGGAAGTACAATGAGGCCCTTAACGAGGAGATAGCGGAGGCGGCCCGTGCCCAGGAACGGGCCGATGAGGAGTTGTGTCCTGCTGCCCTAGTGCCCTTTGGCCACGCCACCGAGGAGGAGGAGGTGGCCAAGCAGACCGCCAAGAACATGGAACATGCCCAGCTCATGCGAGAGGACATCGCGCAGCGGGAGAAGATCAGGGAGGCCGAGCGGGAGCAACGGGTCTTCGAGGAGCAAGTGGATCGGGCGCAGTACAAGTGTCTGCAGGACAAGGAGGAGAAGGCGCTAAAGGAGAAGAAGGCCCGGAAAATAGCCTTCAATCGAAAGGCTTACAAGGATGCCATCCAGGAGAAGGCGGAGATTGCAGAGCGTAAGTACTGCGGACTAAAACTAGATATATCACATAGCACCATATGAGATATATTATTCCTTTCCGGCAGATGAGCGTATTTGCGACGCCATTGACGACCGGCGCAACTGCGTCTACATCGTGGCTAGTCGCAATCTGGACAGTCGCTATGGAAACCACGTGAAGCAGCTTCGGCAAAAGTGTCAGGAGGAGAGGGAGCTACAGGCACTCCGCGTCGCCCAGGCGCAGCAGGTGCTTCAAAAGAAGCTGGAAGATCGGCAGATACACGCGGAGGACCGCCACGCTTTTGAGACGCAGGTGGACGAGAACCGCCGCCAGTGCGAAAGGGAGGTACTGGCCAAGGAGCGCCGGGCGTATCAGAAATTGGAGCGAGAGCAGGACGCCGAGAAGCTCCGCCGCCAGCAAGAGCTGCAGCGCTTCCATGTGGCGCGCCGCTTGAAGAACGCTGAGGCGAATCGCTTCTTCGATGCCTCTCAGAAGCGTAAGAGGGACAAGGTGAAGGAGGAGCTGCGCAACGTTCTCTTTGGCCAGCGGGAGGAGTTCCTCGAGAAGCGCCGTGCCGAACTGATGAACCTGGCCGCCTGCAATGAGGATCCATACTTGGAGGACGACAAGAAGTTCTTTGAGCAGGCGGTCGAGATCATGGAGGAGTCCAGGAAGGTGGGCCGGCCCCTGTACCCAATTGCCACCGCCGTGGATCTCTACGAGCGGCAGAACCAGCTGGACATGCGACCGGAGGGCAGAATAGTGAAGAGGAGCCGTCTCAGGGACTACTGCTGGCCTGGATTCTTTTCCAAGGCGGAGCTGGCCTACCGCAAGTACGAGCAGCGCGAGATGTGCCGCGAAGAGCAGGTGGCCGATCGCCACCAGATCTACTGCAACTCCGTGAAGATCAAGAAGCTGGCCGAGGTGGAGAAACCATACACTCCCTGTGTCGCCTCCTGTCCCATCAATTGCTTCCACCGCAGGGGAATGCCCGCCACGGACAGCAGGGATTCCTTTGACTATGCCCGTCATGTTTGCTATACGGATCCTCCAACGGTGGCCGCTTGTCCTGGTCCCATGCAGGTCATCCACAACGATCCGCTGGACAACCAGAGGAAAATTAGCCAGCTTTCCATGAAGCTGCCACCCATGCCAGACTTAACCAAGGGTACTCAGCCCACTTTTCGAAGTGTTGTGGGCAAGGCTTTGAGTTCCCTGACTCCCAAAGCCAGGGAGTCAGCTACTCCTCCGTCCGCTAGTCCACCCCTCAGCACATCCAAGCCCACTGCACCGGAACCAAAACTGCCAGAGTCCAAAGATGTGCCCCTTCCCAAATCGCAGCCTCCAGTGAGACGTAAGATGAAGAGCAGCTCAAAGAGAGCTAGTTCCTCGGCAACACCTCCTCCAACTGGCAACGACAGGCCAGCACCCGTGCCCAATCCCGCTGGAACCTGGGGATCCGGACCCCTGCAGCCAGATCCGAAGAAGAAATCCAAGTAAACCAAGCAACCTCGCCTCCACTCTAACCAAATTTACGTTCCAAGGTCTTATTGTATTGATGTTGTTCGCCTGCAAAGAAATATATAGAAAAAAGGAAGCCCGGCCATCATCGAATTTAGCCAGACAAGCAAGGAAATGACGTTAATGGTTTTTTAAAAGCACTTAAACTTGGCGCAAAAGGTCTTCTCTTCCCCCTGGCCAGTTTTCCATTTCCTCAGCCATTTTCTCGGCGGAGACGGTGGATTGGTTAGTAACCCTTTCCAGCGACACTTACGCGCTTTGTTTAGCGCAGAATCCGCAGCGTAGAGTGGCCGGCTTCATAAATTCCAATTAATGCGTGGCCAAAGTTATTGGGTTACGTCTTCCAGGACCTCCGGGACCTCCAGGACCTCCGGTACCTCCTGCTCCATCTTCATCAACTTGCGGCACTGAGTGACATCCATTTTTGTTTTCATTTAGCTTATTACCGGGCAGACATGTCCGGCGTTCCGCCCGTAACTTAATTTGAGCTGCTAACCAGGCTGATGAACCCGGCATCCTCCGGCGGAGTGAAGTGGAGTGGAGCGCAGTGTTCCGGCCGGCCAATCTCGCCGGGATAATTACGGCCGTGTCCTTTCTGGAGCAGGCCATCCGTCCCAATGGGTTAATCAGCCGGCTCTTAGGACTTTGGAGCTGTCTTTTGGGGCTTGGTCAACCGCCGGCTCCAAATTAACGGAACCGAGCGTCTTCCTCTCCTTTGGCAAGTTTGGAAAAGTTGCCGCCCGCCAAAGTTAACCAATTTAGTGTCATTAACCATAAATTGCTGAACCGCTTAGCCCGAACGGGGTTAATCGGGAAAAGTCTAAAAATTACGTCAACTGCGTGAGCCAGAAAGATGATGAAACAATTTGGTTGCATGCAACAATGGGAAAAGTCTAGAGGATAAAAAGCGGACAGAAAATTAATAACCTGAGTTTAGTTTCTAAACTATATATCTGTGTGTATTTTCTACAGCAGCGTAACACAGAGTTTGCTCCTATTTATTTTCCATCTGCATCGAATTAAAGTCGCACTTCTTAAAATTGAAACTCTAAAAACCTCGTTCGAATTGTACGAGTGTTTATTGTGTGTCCAGCCAAGGGAGTCAAAATATTTTGAAAAGCCTGCACACAATAATATTTCAGTGGGGCTTTTGCGGCACTCGGAGCACAACATTCTGGAAATAGGGAGCTGTAGCTCCTATTCCCTGGTGGATGGGAGTGGCGGAGCCGGCGGCGATACAATCAAATAACCGACCATTCTTGAAAACACTGGCGGAAGAATGGAGGAATGGAAACACAGCTGCACCGGAGCAGAGTTTCCAATCGGGAGCAGACACTTTGTTTACAAGAACAGCAATCCGATTTGTTTGCCCACGCGGACCGACGTGTTCCGTCTGAAATTGAATAAATACATAAATACAGGGGGGCATGGGGCGGGGGGCTGTATTTCGATGGGTCCTAGAAATTACAATGAATAAGTAAGCGGCGGGTGCGATCAACAGGTAGCCAAGGAGCCACAAAGGTCCTGCCAGAGAAAAGGAATCCGAGTCCAGCCACAAGGCCACATGGCCGGCTCAATTGTAATGTAAAACAAAACGCTCGCATCCTGCGCTTTTCCATTTCCCCGGCTTTTCCGCCCACCAGCCATGCTCATTATACGGTCCGCCAGCTTAAAACTCAATAAAAGCTGCAGTATGAAAGATTACTTAATGAAATTAAGTGTAAAAAGTGCGAGAAATGGGGGTGGCGCCACGGAGAAAAGCACTCGACGGAAAAAGGGCGTCGAGTGGCGTGGAAAACTGAATGAAAGCGCCAGCGCCAGGGCGGCAGTAAATAATAATAAAGGCATGACTTACTGGGGGGCCCAGTGGCATCTCCAGTGGATCGGGAACTGTAACTGGAACGGCTCAACGTAATTCCCATTATCGGCTTAGCAGGTTGTGCCGCCAAGTGGATTTTTATTGCGCAGTCCGGCGAGCTTAAGGAGTAAAAGGCCCTAATCCTTGTGCACTTGATGCGAATTCTGAAGAATGCATCTTCGACTGAATTCCCCTTCTGTCCACCCAACTAGTTTTCAAGATGTATTCTTAGGAGGTGGAGGTCTTACCTTTTTTCATCCTTGCAACATGCCTGCAATTTCCTCGCAGTGTGTGGCACTAAGCGGATGAATGGCCGCTTGAAGCTGCTTCACTTCCGAGCTCCCAAGTGATTACCGCTATTAATGACAAGTACATTTTGCTACTCCAATGGGTGCTTGATATGGCCAGCTTTGACCAAAACAGTGTGGGCTAAGTGTTTGGGGCAGCCATGTGTATGTGGTATCTGGCCATATCAACGCACTGGGGAATCCCTTTAATGACAACAACAAGACATCGCCCCAACAGTGGTCCACTCCTTCGCGAAGAGTTAGGAATTGAGGTCAGTATTGGAAAAGGGTAAAAGGAGTGACTTGGGAGTGGACGAAGCCAGGAACGGCAAATTGCTGACCGAGGATCCGATGTTCTTTGGCGTGGTCTCGAGCGCTTCGTGTGGCATCAGGGCTTTCTGGTGCAGCCGGAAGCCGTAGAGCCTGCAAATGGAGGCGTTTCGTGGGAGGAACTGGCATTTCATTCGGAGAAGTACTCACCGGGGGACGTACTTCTCCAGAGGCGGATGGGGCTTCATGCTCGGTAGCTGCATGAAAAACATGTGCGGGAAGCTGGTCCCAAACATGGCTCCGTCCAGCAATGCACTGCGGGATCGCGGCACGAAGACGTCGTTACAGCGAGGACAGTAGACCTTCACGTGGGACTGGTTCCACAGGTCGGAGAGGCCCACGGGCAGGGTTTTCTGCCCCTTACAGTAGACCCGCGGACACGAGCCGAAGTCCCCCCTCTCGTACTTTAGGCGCATGTCCTCCACGCCTCGCGGCGACACGATATATCGAGCGTGGATCATGCCGTACAGCTGCTCCGCATCGGCGATGTCCAGCCCGTCGTCCCAGCCCTGGTTGTCGAACTCTTGATCCAGGACCACGTCCAGTGTCTCGCTGATGAACTCCAGGCCCGTCAGGTTGAACTTGTCCTGTATGAAGTCGGTGGGCACGCGGCAGAGGAACTCGTTGCCCTTGACCCCGAGGAACCAGCTGATCCAACTGACATCTCCCATCGGCTCGTTGTTCTGGCTGCAAGATTTTACTGAGCTGGCTGGGATTTGTCTAGGGCAAGCCGAGATACTTACAGGAACGACATGTTGCTACGTCATTCGTATAAAATGTAATGTGCAAGTTCACTTCGAAGTGACGTCTACTGACAAGGCCTTCTATGCCATACTGACATCCACTTGTCAGTTGGGCCAGGCAGGAATGTGGTAGAGTTCCGGCAGGGCAGCAGCAAGTCGTCTGTGTTCCAAGCCCTTAGTCGCCCAAAGCTTTCCACCCAACCCTGGCCACAAGCAGCGTCTGCGATGACCAGAACCTACTCCTGAACGCTGCTCAAAGGGAAACGGAGGCAACCTTCGATGAAGTAGCCAGCCGATGAAGGGTTAGGCGCAGAGGATACCCTATTAAAGCACACACCTTAGCCCCTGAAGCCCACTTTCGGCTGAAGCACTCGATTTCATGAGATGAGCGGGACCAAACTTGGAACGGAAGAAGTGCAGGTGGAGCAGGCCATCCCAAAGGGAAATCACAGCGAAAAAATGAGCTGTACGTAATGGTTCCGTTCAGAAAACGATGCCCTTCCCATCGGGGTTAATGGATATCCCGTGGCACCTTAGGAATTTATTAACCCAATTGACGTTCTGCCCGAAATCAAAGGCGAATCGGGAGATACCATTTCGATTGACAAACATTTTCTGCATGCGCACTTTCCTGTTTTTCCTCTGCAAATTCAATTCGCATTTTCACTCAAAACTTTTTAACTTGGTTGGCCGGAAAGGAGCGTACGCATCTCCGCTGTGAGCGATATAACGTAAACAAAGACGCCCTCGAGACAAATTAAGTGATTTGCCCGCTTTACACATTTTTCCTGCTGATTACTTTTCCCCAACTCCCCGGCCGAAATTGAATTGCCCAGAAGAGGAGAGCTCGGCCGGTTATCAACTTTTGATTGGTCATGAAAACGGCCCGGAGCCACGGCGGCCATGATGGCCATGATGGAACTAGGGAACTCGGGTCCGCCGATTGGCCTCCGTCTCGGCCTCCAGTTCCGCGCGAACGGAGCGCTCCAGATCGGCCAGGACCTTGCCATCGATCATACGCAGTGGCTGGCGGTACCTGAGCACCGCCACCTCCATTTGGCTGTGCTTCAGCGAGGAGACGCTGACCAGGGTGCGGACTATGTGCTTGACGGCCGTAGCCTCGTCGGCGCAGGCCAGAATCTCGTCCGCGTGCTTGTCCATGTAGTCGCGGACCGGCTGGCTGGAGCGACCGGTGGTGCTGGCCCGCCACTCGTAGAAGATGCCCGAGGGCTCCGTTTGGAACAGGTGCGGAGTGCCGTCCTCGTCGAAGCCGCCAACCAGGCAGGACAATCCAAAGGGACGTCTTCCGTTGCTCTGCGTGTAGTTCTGCTTCAGCTGGGCTATGTATCTGCAATGGAAGCACAAGCAGCAAAGCTATAAAAGCTAATCTCAAGTCGCCTGGGGGCTGCACTGAGGGAATAGTTCCCAACTTCTTTGCTGGCACAGCAAAAAGTATGCAAGGGTATTTTGTGGTTCGCTACCCAGCTCCTTCACTGCATACTTTTCCCCGTGCAGCGAGTGCTTCTGCTCACCGCGTTATGTACTCCACGGTCGCGGGCTTCTCGAAATTCAGGCGGTGGCTCTGGGCCTCCATTTGGGCGCGGCCCACCAGGATCCGTGCGTCTGCGGTGAGACCCGAAAAAGTCATCACCAAGTGGTCGTCGAGCAGGCAGATCTTGCGCACCACTCGCTCCTCCTGCAGTTCGCCCGCGGACCGCTTCTCCACGCCGATTACAATGGCGTTGTTGGTGCGCAGACCCACCTGTGGGTGGGATTGGGCCAATTAGCTAAGAGGTACGTCCCGGCGGCCTCAAGTGGCACCTACCACGGTGGAACCCCTGCGCACGGCCTCCTGGGCGTACTCCACCTGCAGCAGGTGGCCATCGGGTGAGTAAATGGTCACCGCGCGATCGTACCGTGCGGCCATTGGACTCGGGCTTATTTATGGGAAGTCCGATGGATGATGTATGTTGGTGTACTCTGTGTATGGGGTCGAGATTTTAAGGTATGGGTTCTATCTAGGCGCCTGCTAGGTGCGTAGAAGGAATGGCTCATCTGACAGAAATCAACAAAATCAAATCAATTTATGAAAACATAATTAACCCTTTGAAAGACATTGTTTTAATCGCATTTTTCCTGCAATGCATTTAACATAAATTGTACTTTTAACTAGCTTTCAACATAAGTTCTATAGTGTTCTCGCAGCACAGCTATGCAATTAAATCATTTTTCAATAATGAGGTAATCCGCTACAAAGGCAAATCAACATAATCGAATCCATAAGCGAATTAACAATTATCGTGTTAATCAGATTAGCGATGTCACAGCGAAATGCGGCAATTACATTAAACTGTTTCAGCCACATTTTGCGAATATTTCAGTCCGTCGGCCAGCGCAATTTTCCAACAGGACCCTGCCTGAAGAGGTCCTGTGTCCTTGGCACCTGCTCCCCGACAAACCTCGACAAAGCAATCCACGGAGGTCCTGCGCCTGAAATGCTGACAACAAAATCACAAAGTGCAACAAAAGCGCAAATCTCTGGCAAATGTAATCGTAATCGAAACAGCTTCATTTTGCTAATGTGCTTGGCCAGCGGAGAAGGAGGAGGACAAGGGCTCCGCCGGAGAGTCGTCCTTTTGCGACTCTCCAGAGCGCAGAGTCCTTCGTCCTGCGTCCTTCGTCCTGCCTCCTGATGCGGTGCTTAGTATGCCGGCAGCGCGCAGGTTGGCATAAATTTATATTTAACATTTTATGACAGCAGAAGAGGTCCTTTAGGTGTGGCGCATACTCACCAGGATTAGGCACGTGCCAGCCAAATATGGCCAGCTCCCAAAAACAAACGTTTCCAAAAGTGCGGCTGGCGAATAAATAAATTAAGCTGACTGCAAACAAAACGACCTGCAAATAGAATCACAAAATTGCAATTATTTGCCCAATTTACACACGTTGTCGCCCAGCAAAGGTTCGCAGTTCGTAGTTCGCCGTTCGCAATTCGCAGTTGGGAAATATGTTTTATGCATTGGCGGCCACGCGTTTTGTTTAAAATTGTATTACTCGCGCCGCGGGCCAGCGCTAAATGAATTAATAAAGCCATTTATCAAAATTGACAATCAAAATGCATTAGTCAGCGCAGAATGCGAAAACAATCACAAGCTGATTTTCCTAAAGCGTGCGAGTTAACCATGCAACCGCGGAAATCTTCAGGACCCATTTGAATGTTGCATGCTGCACACGAATTCGTCACTATGCGTAGTTCAATATTTTTGGGAGTAATGGTTGTTGCTTATGCTTTATTAGCTTTTCATATTTCTAGATTAAGCAACAATAAAACCAGGAAACTCTGGATAAGCTCTTTTGTTTTTAAGCTAACGCGCTGCATAAGCGGGTAAACTCAGTTTTTTCAATAACTAAATACACACTTCTAATGTGCAAAGTCCCCCATTAACAGCAAGCCCTTGTTCAACTTGTTAATTAAATAAGAATTTCGATGCTAAGACCATGGCTTCATTAGCACGGCGGAATGTTTTGGCCCCGGGCAATGTGCGTAAATTAAGTATACGCCGTGTTTTCGGTGCGTGCCCCTGCCGCTCGGCATTTGATTAAGCACTTCTGGCCCATAAATAGTGAGCATCGCCAATCGAAGGGGAATTGCCCCTGAGACAATCGAGCAGTGGAGTGGGTTTAGTTCCAGGGGAGGTGGAAAGCGGAAAAGCGGAAAAGCGGGAAAGCAGACGATAAAACCAGGCAACAACATGTGCTAAAAACAGCAAGAACTTTGGCGGGCAAGACCGAGGCAACTTGCCACGATTTGTTTGCTCCCAGCTTAATTTGTAGCGTCAAATGGTGTTGATTGTTGTTTTCCTTGCCTCTAACCCAGCAGCGCCCAAGCCCCGAAAACCCACTTAAGACCCCGTCCTTGCTCCCCTCCCCGTCTCCATCGAAACTAAAGACCCAATAAAAGTTAAGGACGCTGTTGCGGATAAACAAGGCTTGGAGCACACTTTCAAGTGCTTCCATTGTTCCCGAGCTCCCACTCCCACTCCCACTCCCTCTGCGATGTGTGGAAATTAATGACGAGCGATTTGAGCACGACGGGATTGGCATTGGGATTGGGAGTGGATCTGCGAATGGGAATCCGAATGCGATCGAGATGGAAGGGGTCGCGCCGCCCCGACGATGGTAATGTGTTTACATGGTGAAAATGTGGGCAGTGCTCGAACGCCTGTGGCATGTGGCATGCGAAAAAACATATTTCCGCAAGCTGACAATTAATCACTGTATAAATGTGCAAAATGTATGAATTTTATGGATGTTCCTGGGGTCGCAACACGGCGCATACCTTCTGGAGCTTATTGCTGTCTATATTACTTCCTTGTCTTAGCCATTCCACTGCAAAGACAGTCGTTTCATGATGAAATATTGACATAAAATTAGGCAGAGGCATTTCGTAGTATTAAGAATACAACTCACACACTTTTCTATGTGAGAAAGAGGTGTATTTTGTTCATTCAAAAGAGACTACAATAGCTTTAAACAATTTATAAGAGCTGCCGAGCTCTTTGTCGCCCCTCCAATCTCGGCCATTTAATCAGCAACAGACGTGGAACGTGTGTATTTGTTTGGCTGGCCAGGCATCAAGCTGACGATGGCAAAATGCAAATGACCTTTGACCATTGCCGGCAGACTGCTTCCGAGTCGGGAAACCAGGGGCACCTGGCTGCGTCTGTATCTCCACATTACGTATACGTAGCGCTGCGTGTGTCCCAGCCAAGTAAACACAGCGCGAGCTGAGTTGGGGCGCTCAGCCATTCACCTGAGCCCTTTTTAATAAACCTAGCAATGCACACACCATTGTTGACATAGTCCTTCCCGGGAATCCTGCGCGTCCTGCTGCTGCTTATGGAAATGTAGATGTTGTGAGTGCCCGGCCCCAAAGTGCCATTCTGCGTCAACGAACTTTGTCCTGGTGCACGGCATCCGCCACTCGGGTCACGGCTATCAAGTCGTTTGCTCCAGCCTGCGATAATCATCTCATCTTCCCCTCTTTCCATCTTGTCGGCGGTCAAAGTCGATTCTGGCGAAACTTGAAAGATTCGGCAGGAATTAGTCAGCCAAGTCTTAATTAAGCCGTATTAACCCATTGGCTTGCTGCAGATGTGGTCTTCAGTAAGTTTTACCTTATAGCTTCCGGTTGCAGAGCATTTTGAAGAGCTCATTACCACTTGAGGGGCCACGGCGCTTCGTTTAATTAGAAACAAGATGCTGCCGTGCTGCGAAGGACGTGGGTTGGCTAAGGACTGGCAATAATGCAATTTAGAAGTTTAAGCCCGCCCGCCGCCAATTGCAATTCCATTTCCAAGTTTCGAGCTGCGAGTTGCGAGTTGCGAGTTGCGAGTTCCTCTCACGCAACCGCGAATAAAGTGCAACCAATTGCAGCAAAGTGCAACTGCAACTCCATCAGTCAGCAGAGCGGCCCCGGTTTCCCGATTTCCCGCTCCCCAGCATTTGCAGACTACTGAAAGCCAAATGGCGACAAATGCCGCACAAATTAAGGAGGGCGGGGGAGGTATTGACGGGAAATCGAGAAAAATGCAGCTCGCGAAAGAAAATGGAAATGGAGGAAGTCGAGTCGAGTCGAGTGGGTTTCCACTAATGGTCAGCGAGCTGGAGGAAAGAGTGAGTGCTTCAGCTGTCGCGCACTTTCTTCTTATTAAAGTTGCAAGTCGTTCAATTTTTCAGTTCCGAGAGGATTGCACTGACACCACGCCCATCTATCATATCGCATTGGGCGGAATCAATCTGCGATGCTGTATCTAACGTCACACGGAACTCGCTATCGCAGCGAAAGTATCGCATTTCGGTGATATACGGCTATACGACGGTGGAGTTCGACGCCCACAGATTGGAGAGCTGGGACTCGAAACAAAGCCAGACGTGCGGCTAATTTATGCAGCATTCCTGGGGCAAGTTCAGGTGGCAAGAAGGTGCGCAAACAAAGCCGAAAGCCGAAAGGCGAAAGCCGAAAAACTAGCAAAACACCTTTAACGAACCCGTCGCAATAAACAAGCCAATTGGAGCGGCTCCAAATCAATGCTCCACCACTTGTACATACTCATGTGTCCTGGGAGTCGCAGGCGGAATAGGAAGGACCTGTCGATTTCTTGGGGCTTATGGAGTTTCCTGCTGCAACTGCACCTCGACACGCGACCCCATGCATATAAACATTTCAGAGTCTGGCGACATATCTGAGATATTTTTATGGCCATCGTGTGGCCACGCTTCCTTTTGGCCGGGCTAAAAATACACGGAAACGCGAGAGAAATGTGTCTGTAGAGCGCTCTTATCTCTGTATAATCCACTTTATATGTTCACACCGCCACACAAATTGAAAATAAACACAAATTCGGGTTACGGGCGAACCGAAATCTGCAACCCAGTTGGAGATTACCATTTATTGGGAATTAAAGCTGGCATATAAACGCAAAAAACGTGCTCCAGCAAAAACTCGCGCTGGCCATTCGGAGTTATTAGTTACATTTGATACAGGGCTCTCTTCTGCGGTCCTAGGGGATTAACAATTTAAAACGCGCAATGGAAACATTTAAAGAACCTTTTTCTCGACAGTCGTTTCCCTGTCAACCGGTCTATGCCTTTGCCATCAAAGTCAAAAAATGTGTTGTTTGTATGGTCTTTGGTACACAGCACAAGTTCATATATCGCAATAAGCAGTTAACATCCAAATTTCAAAGTAAAGTGATGCAGCGCATAGCTTCAGTGAAGTCAAGGAATCTAGGTGCATCTATTTCCGCATTGCACGCGGAAAAGCCCCACAATGTGGCCAAGACTACTCCAGCTGCTTCTAATCTACCATATCATAAGGTTTCCGAGAAGACGACGGAGACGTCGGAATCGAAACCGAAGGGCCCTCAAAATCGAAATGCAGGACTGACGAGTGTTGGGCCACAAGTGGTGAGAAAGGCCAATGTGGGTCTTACTCCCAAGCCAGGTGCCTCGCTGGGCTCCGGAGCCAGCAGGAGCCCTGCCTCCAGTAGGAGCCACCACTTCTGCATTCCCGTACGGAGCTGTTATACTGTGACCAGCCGCGCTCGCCGCTCCTACGACCACGGGGTCTTCCTGTACCACCTGTCCCAGTTGGAGCAGACGGGATTCGCCAAAAGTGCGGCGGATCCCATGAAGTCTGTGCCGGCAGCGGAGCTTCAACTGCTGCACAGTGGACAGCGGACCACCTACCTGGAGAGGCGGTACGCACGCAGCCCGGACGACAAGTACAACTATCCGGAGGCCACCAGCTGGCGATACGGCTGGTTCCACCGGGAGTCCGATCTCCTGCACAAGCGAGTGCCCCGGCGGGATTAGAACCCCATGAATTCAATGAAATTCTTCTCTTCATCAGGGAGTGAAAAATATTTGGCTTAGAATGCTTAGCTCTTGCTTTTAAATAAAATGTATATAAATCAAAAATGCACTGTAGGTAGATATTTGGCGTTCCTGCAGCAACTAATAAAAGGGAATAATGGCCAGCTTAGGCCAAATATTCAGTTGGGCTTGATTTTGGCCAAGGGCGGGGCCAAAAAGTTTAAAAGTTTATTAAGCCAAAAAATGCCCAAACCTGGCAAAGCGAAATAGCTTTATCAAATACGCTGGCATGCCCTCCACCCGGCATCTGCATCTGGAGTGCATCACCGCCTGGACGAGCTCATCCCGGGCTGCAGCACGATGTGTGGAGCAGATGCCAAGAGCCCGACTGACAGCGATACTTTCCTACAGGCCGAGCTCCGTTGTTTTGGCGCCTTCGGAAGTGCAGCAGTTTTTCAAGTTGGGCGGAAAATGGAAACGGAAGCCAGCAAGGACAGTGGCATTAGTCGGCTGCTCGAATGGCGTACAACGGGGCGTATGCTTGTTGTGTGCCATTTAAAGTGGGCCAAAGTTGGGCAACTGCAACTTGGCGGAACTCGTCGTGGCTGCCTCTCCTTTGATTGACTCATGCAAGTCGTCAACTTTTTAATTGTTTTGTAACATTTCTTCAAATAATTTTGCCGTTTTTCCGCCGACCCGCCAGTAGTGCAATGAGCATTCTCCGGGCTCCGTTGGCTCTAAAACTTATTAACTTCGTTCCATGGCGAAATGCTTTAAATGCACCCGCTCCGCTCGTCTGGTGTCCTCTGTCCCTGATTGTCTGCACTCCAGACAATTCATGGCAGATTTCGAGTTTCATTGTTGCATCCGCAGCACTTTGAGCTGCGCAAACTTTCGCCGACCAAGACACTCTGCCAACTTGCCCCTCCTGTCCATCCAGCACAACGCGCCACCGACCCCTCCGGATCACCGGCTCCTCGGATCCTCTGGCCTGTCTGCGGTTCCCGGTTGTTGGGTGGGTTGGTTGGTTGGTTGGTTGGCTGGTTGGCTGGTTGGGTTTGCCTGATTGCAAACAACAGTTCCCTCCCAGCGGAACTGAAGTTTATTATTATTTGGCTTGTTTCGCGTTTTGGCGGTTTTATTTACCTTTAAATAAATTTCCGCTGTATTCTTTTCCAGCGTTTTGCGTCTATTTGTTTTCGATTTCGCTGCTGGTCGGAAGTTTCCCATGTTTACGCACAAGCTGGGATTGATTAATGCTGGGGCACACACAAGCTACTAATCCTGCACAGGCCCATATCTAATTTATTTGCCCGAAAAGAGGCCAGCATAGTTGCGAGCCGGAGCCGGAGCCGAAGCCGAAGCCGGAGCCCTTCTAAATGTTTTACGAGTACCACAGTTTCTTGGCCCTCGCTGAATATGATGGGAATTTATGGGTCAGCGGGCAGGCAAAGATGAAATTTCGGAACATTTTGTGGTAATTTTTATTACTTCAATAGCCCAGAATATGATGCTGAACATGCACTGCTCCCCCGCCCGCTGCGCGTCGACCAAAACTAACTTGGCCGTAAAAGTTTGGGTTCTGCGGTTCTCGATTGCGAATCACGGCCGGCCAGTCGGCCAGTTGGCCATTTGGCAAGTTGGCAAGTCCGGGTTTTTGGGGGCGTTTGTGAAACAGCATCCCCCGATGGCCCCCGAGGCAATGCACAATGCAAAAATATAATTCTGAGCAATCAATGCGGTTCGTAAAAGCAATTGTTCGGTCGGAGTCAGTTATTTAAAGTCCCGAATGGCTATTCAGCAGTAGTTTCTGGAAAATTGGTGATAGAGCCGTTGTGAGAACGATTTCACAGATAATAAGCCACTTGCCGGCTCGTTTTCCCGTAATTGCAGTTGGCATTTGTTTTTATACTAGCTTTTATTGCGAAACACTTTTACAAATTCTGCTTTGCTAAGTCAAGCACACACATTATTGTTTAGATCTATCACGTGGTTTCAATTTCTCCAATGCCTCGCAACCTTTGGGTAATACCTGAAAACCGGTCGGCCGAATGATGCATATACATAGTAATAGAAGGATGATAGATGATATAAATCGTAAATTAACATTTCGCCTAATGATCACAATCGCTTCGCAAATTTTGGCCAAATGAAAAGGAGGTACAAACCACTTGCATCGTTTGGGTTTCATGTAAAACTAGGTCGTTGGAAATCAAGATATATGGGTAAAGTGTACATTCCTATGTATTTCTAGTAGTTTCTGATTTGTGCCTTACTTAGAGAAGATACCGTACTACAGCCACGCGTTAAGTATAGCAAACTCTCCTCATCCTGCTCCAGGATCTCGGACGTAGTTAGAAACAGAGTCGCCTTTTCGTTTCGATTTTCTCACTACTTTTATGTTAAGTGGTAACAGTTAATTCTTTGCATAGTCGGAACAATATGGGACACACGAGCAGCACCACTCCTCCACCTACTTCGCCCCACTCCCTACTCCAACACATCACTTCGGCTTAGGTACACGCTTAGGAGTTGTCTCAGCCGCTCCCTTCTTGGACTCCTTGGCCGGTCAGAGCAGCTTCTTGGCCGTAATCGTCGTGGAGAGGGTCGATGCCGTGGCTGTTGCTTTTTTGGACGTCGGTGGTTGCGATGGGGTTTGTATCGTGGGGGGCAGACCAATGTCCGTGGAGGGCAGGATCTTTTCCATTTGACGCTCGGCCGCCTCTCGAAGCGCTGATTCCGTCGCTGATCCGCTGGCAATACCGCTGCCACCACTGTTGGGGCCACCACCTGATATTCCGGTTGGACCGGACCCTGTAGAAGCCTTTGTGGGGGATTTGGGGTCTGGCTTTGAGTCCTTTGCCAAATCGTCCAGGTTCTTGGCGTTATCCTTCAATGTTTTGGCCGTATCTTTGAATGCGGGCTGTGGGAACTAAGTTGTTAGACCACTGACCCCTGTATGTCAGGACAAAAACTTACCTCTTCCTTCAGCTCCTTGGCTTTATCGGGCACGGTTTCCTCCTTATCACGCATCTCGTTGGCAATATCCTGAATCTCCTTGGCAGAATCGTGAATATCTTTGACAAGCTTGGACAAATCCTTATCCGCTTTGTCTACCTCAGACTTCAGTTTCTCAGCCTCTTTCATGCTCTTTGCAATGGCCTTTTCAATCTTCTGCTCGGCCTGCAGCACTTGCTCCTTGTCAAGCAGAGTGATCAGTTCCTCAATGGCCTTATCGCTCAGCTTGATGTTGTCACGACCAATGGACTCCAACACCTGTAAGGAACACCAAATCAAATGAGTTTATGCTCAGACTAAGGCACTCGCAAACTTTACCTTGCGAATATCGTTGACAGTCACCACGCCATCCTTGTCGGCATCAAACTTCTCCAGTACAGCTTCGATGTGCTTAAGTCGTGCCTCATCGCTGGTTTCCTTCAGCACCTTGATGTTACTCATTAGATCATCGATGTGCACGATCTCCTCGTGTCGTCGTCGGGACGCCAGCTTGGAAAGCAGTTCGGTGAACTCCTCCAGCTGCTTCTTGTCGATATTCGTGGCCTCGCGGTCGATGCTCTGCACCGCCTTGGTGATCTCGTTCACCGAAATCACACCATCCTTGTCCGCGTCGAGTTTGACCAGCAGATCCCCGACAACCTTGAATCGCTCCTCATCGGACGCCTCCTTCATTCGCCGGATGGTGGCGACCAGCTCGTCAATGTGCACCATTTGCTGGGGTTCGACCGTGGGACTAGACGCCACATAATCACTGGATTCCGCCTGCTTGATTTGATGCTGTCTGGCCTCCAGGTCGTTAAGCACATTATCGAGTTGGGAGATCATCTTGTTGACCCGATTGTAGAGTAACTTGGCCGCCCGGCTCTCACGCACAGGCTCCTTGACCACCTGTCGCACCTCTCGTAGCTCCTCCACATCCTCCTTATAGTCGGCCAATTCCTCCTTGAGTTCCTTGATTGTTTCCTTTTCCACCACGAGCTGCTTATCAGATGACAGTGTCTTCAGAGCCTCAGACAGCAGCTGTACATCGGTAGAGGAAATGCCCTTGTCCGTCTCGGACACCGAGGGCTGTTCCTTGTGATCCAGAAGATCCTTGGAACGAGCCAGATTCTCAGCAAACACATAAGGAGCGGGAATCTCCTCCTTGATGGCCGATCGTTTGGCGATGGTCTCTTCCCGCTCTTCCTCGCGCTCTTCGCGAATCTTGCGCTCCTCTTCCTTGATGATTTCGATCTTCGTCTTGTTGTCCACCTTGCCCTCGCTCTCCCCGATGGCGTGACGTGTGTGGGCGCCCACTGCATCTGGTAGCACGCGCATCGTCTCCTTAAGCTTATCGGTGGTGATGCTGTCGTCGGAAATGAGCATGGTTCGTGACAGGAGCAGCAGCGTAGGAGGCACCTGTTCGTTCAGCGAGAGATCTATCCACTCCTTTAGCTGAAAACGAAGACGCTCCTCCGTTAGGCCATATGCCCGCATGCCACGTGCCTTGCACGCCTGCTGCAGCTCTAGAAGGTCCAGGGAGTCGACACCTTCGCGGGCAATAACCCGGTCATCGGTGGCCAACGATCTTAGCTTCAGCCGCAGCTGGAACCGCAGCAGCGTGGTGGTGCCAATTGTGTTCAGTTCAAGGACGCGACAAAGAGCCGCCAATTGCTCCCGGGACAGTGAATCTAGGGTGATCTCATCGTCAAATCGCTTGGCGAACTTGATGATTTCATCGTTGCTCACTGGCTCAGTTGGATTCCGAATCTTGGTGAAGAAGGCCTCGAACTGCTTGGCCTCTTCGCTGCTATGCTCCTTGTGCTGAACGGGCATTTGATCTAGGGTCTGCTGCAAGAACTTGGCCACCTCGAGGCGGACGCTCAGTGACTGCCGCAGTTTCTCCTGCCGATCGGTCGATGTCTGGAACGTGGAGGGCAGCATGCCGGGAAAGAATTTTATGAACAACGGCAGCAGCAGCTCCATGAAGGGCACGATGATGAAAACCGAAAAGGGTATCAGGCGGAACAGATCAGAGGTGGTCCGCTGAAGCTGCTTATTCTCGCGCCGCGTGAGCGTCTTGCCGTTGAGCACCCGCCAAAGGAGCTTCGAGCAAATGGCCACGTCGATGAAGAGCAGGCGAAAGCCGTGGTAATAGTGTACCAGCTCATCCCAAATGCGTGTGCCGAGCGGCTTCTTTGGCTTGGCCACCGACTTGTCAGCGGTCTTGGCCAAAGATGTCGTTGAGGCAGTCGCCGACGTGGAGCCCGCGGTCGCCGTAGCGTTTTGACTCTTCTCCGAGGAGGCCGTGGCTGTAGCGGCTGTGCTGGCACGAACTGCCGCGGCCTGGCCATTGGCCACCTCCTTCATGATCTCCTCGACCTTCTCCTTCTGCTGGTTCTTCAGCTTCTTGACGGTCGCGTCGATCTTTGAGCTGGACGTCTCCAGCATCGTCCGGCTGGTATGTAGATGCCTGAATCCATACCTGGAGTAGTGGTATCCGTAGCTGACATGTGGCTGAAACCTTCTGCTTAGCTCCAGCACCGAAGTCGACGCAGATCTTCGCGGTCGTTCATCTTCTTTGGCGGGTTCATCTGTAAAGTTCACCGAGCTGCATGCGCAACAGTTCGATTTAAGAACTGCAAAAAGATTTGAAAAAGGCCGTTAGTAAGATAAGTACATAGTAGCAGTAAGATAAGTATAGCTGTATTTAAAAACTGGCAGAGAAGGAAACCGAACAATAGTATTCCCACAAAAGAATCTTTCAGGTTGATAACCCGGTTCCATGTGATTGCCATTCCTTGTTTCAATGAAAACAAGATCACATGAAGAGCCAGCGGAAAATGAAGAACAAAGAATAAAAGAAACTGGATGAGTTATTAATCAAAGCTACACGAAATGAGAAAACTTTGTAGTAGATAAGCGCCTTGCCCCTTGACCATGGATTTCTTTTTGGGATTTTCAGCGAGTTTGATAGTTGATAATAGAACGGCAAAGATTGCCGGCGACTGACCAGATAAATTAGCACCTGGAGTGGAGCTTACATAAATCGCAAAGCGAGAAAACCGAAAATTCACACAACCGGTGAGAGTTCTCTACCTCTATAAATACATGCTTAGCAAACATTCGGACGGCTGCGTCGACTGCAATTGTTTACAGCGCACTTTTCCTTTTCCTTTTCATTTTCATGTTGCTTTTTATTTGATTTTCCGATTCTTGGCAAACGCTCAAGGTAAATGATTTTGCAATTGAGTCAAGGAGGAGGAACTGCTGTGGAGAAGGTGAGGGCGATTCCGACCTATTTCTAGTATCGATGATGGTTTAGACCAGTGGAGAGTACATAAGGTTTTCTGCCTTATGTACAATGACTATGACTGTACTTTTCCGCAGGTGCCTCTTTGTCTGGTTTTTCCGGTACCTGTCGCCGATCCTCTTCCCTGGCAGGTGACTTCCTACGAAATCGAAATCTGTCGCTTGTGAGTCACCAGTAAAGAGGGGGCATAGGTATAAGCCCGCTTATAACCTTAAATAACCATGCGGCTTAAAGTGAAAGATGTTGAAGATAAAGAAATTATTATTATCAAAAATAAGCCATATGTATGGGGAAAAAGATTAGATTGTCAGTTGCGCGATCCAAAGTCAACAAGTTGTTGAAAACAATTCCAGTAATTAAATTAGCAGCTAAGTTTCCGAAACACTGATACGTCAGTAGGTCTCCGAAACCGGTAAGAACTGTAGGAATGTATGATACGTTTGTTGTTTGCCCGAAAGCAAATAAACTCGGATCCCCCAGAATATTTTGAGGCTACGCCTCTGCTGCTGTTCACCCACTGTAGAACTTCCAGCGCACGTCGCCGTTTCCAGCCAGTCAGCTGTTGCCTTCCAGCGAAGTGCAGTCAAAACAAAATGCCCGATAACGCACACACGAATGGAAAGTTTTCACGCGATTTCGCCTTTGCTTCCCCGTGTTTTGGCCAACTTACAGCGCTTGTAGACGTTCTGGGCCAAGTGACTCGTCCGCAGACTGTGTCCCTTGTGGCGCAGCAGGGCGTTCATGGCGGCGGCGGGCGGTGGCGCAGGGGGGCGTGGCTCGGCTCGGCCTCCAATCCGAATCCAAAGTATTTTCAAATGTAATTTTGAATTTCCGACAAACTGTCTGTGGATTGTGTATCTTTGGGTTCTCTGTCGCTCGCCTTCTGATTGCTTTTGCCGTATTTGGACTTTGTTTTTGTCTGCTGTCGCTTATATCGGTCCTCGCAGTCCTTCTCTGTTCCTCTTTCGCTGGCGCAAGTAACGGGTTCCTTCCCACGATTCTCGTCTGATGGAAAAGTAAATAGAAGGGGGAATTCTGGGTTTAGCCTACTGCTGATTTGGTTAAAAGTCAATACATTGATTAAATCCCAAGTTCCTTTCGACAGCACACACACACACCACCACACACACACACACACACGCACTGAGCTACGTCATCGACGCAATATCGCGCGATCTTGATTTGTTTTTGTTTTTGCCTCGCACGCTCTCACACGAAATTACACAACTACAGCAACAAATTTCGCAGTAGTTTCGCATTTCGTGCGAGTGACAACCGGTTAAATCAGGCCTGTAACTTGGCCGCTGACTATAGCGTGCCCGCAGTGCAGTTTATATATAGGCAATTTGTCATTCCTACCGTGCCAGTAAATAATAAAATCTAAACTAACCGTCTGTTTTCACACTCTTTTCACGTTTGACATCAGTGAGACCGTTCTGCGAGTGCCAAAAAATACCGACTGTGAATTGCCGCTTGTTAGGGGGACTCGTCTGCTTCCATCCGTGTAGAATGTAACTAACAATGTAAAAATAGTTATGTAAAATACACCAAGTAAATTAATGCATTTTAAACAAATTTGAAGAAATGCACGAAGAGAAGAATGGAATCAGAGCAGCTCAAGTGGCTAAATTTAAATTTTTGTATAGACCAGAACTTCCCAATACGAGCACTTCCTTGACCTAAATAGACCACCAATGCACTTCAGGCTAACACCCAGCTCCAATTAAATCCTATGACACTTGAGTAACCATTGTTCCATAAACAATGCATATTTATTGCGGCAGCTATTCGAGTTTTTCTTAATTCTGGCCAAGTTGCAGTTTACTTGATTCCGCACTCCAGAGCGGACCACTCGAAAATGAGGCTGAGCTTGTATCTGCTTATAGCCTTCGGTGTGGTACACTCGCACTCCGTATCCGTGAGATACATTCTGAATGCTCTTGCTGGAGAGCTGCACTACGAAGCGATTCTTCTGGTGGAAAGCTCGAGGGAAAGCGAGTCGTGCTGGAAGCACAAGGACGTTCAAGGAGCGGTGCCCATTCTAAGCTTCAACGGCAATCAAAGTTTGTATCTTAAGGATGATTTTAGTACAAATATACTGGCACTAGTTTGCCTGGACGGAAGCGAAGGGAGTAACATGCAGGCGCTCTATCAGAATCTCGAGGATATGCGCGACACGCCCACCATACTGTTCGTGCCTTCGGATTCCGAACTCCAGGACGTCTTCCTGGAGTGTCTGAGACGAAAAATGCTCAATGTGCTGGCTTTCAAAGGCTCGGACTGGGGGTTCGTCTACAGCTTTCGGGCTTTCCCCGAATTCCGAGTCATTGAACGCAATGTGAGGGACGTCCTTCAGTACTTCGAGCCCCAACTCGAAGATCTGGGTGGCCATACCCTCAGCACTCTGCCCGACAACATAATCCCGCGAACTGCGGTCTACAGGAGCCCGGATGGAAGTCGCCAGCTGGCTGGATATCTCTACCCCTTCGTGCGGAACTACGTGAGCACCATCAACGCCACCCTCAAGATCTGCTGGCATCTGGTTCCCGAGGACGGCATGACCCAGTTGGGGGAAGTGGTCAGGCTGTCGGAGATCCATGATGTGGATTTGCCACTGGGCATCCATGGCATTGAGCACGGAACGACGAGTCAGAACGTTCCACTGGAGATCTCCAGCTGGTTCCTGATGCTGCCCATGGAACCCTGCCTTCCTCGGGCTAAACTCTTCGTCATGTTGGGTTTCGAGAAACTAGCGCCAGTGCTGCTGCTGCTGACCATCCTGCTGGGCAATGCCCATCGGATTGAGAGCGGCTTGGGGCCCAGCTGGCGCTGCTACATCCTGGTAGACAGAGTCCTGCGAGGAGCACTGGCACAGCCATTCTTCCTACCCCGCAGGCTGTCCGTCAGGCTGATGCTAGTTTACTTCGTGATCCTGCTCAATGGATTCACTTTCAGCAACTGTGCCCTCACCATTCTAGAGACGTGGCTCGTGCATCCCCCACCGGGGCATCCAATCCGCAGCTGGGAGCAACTGCGCACCTTGAAGCTGAAAGTGCTAACTATTCCCGCCGATTTGGATACCATTACGAAAGCCCTAGGCAAGCAATTCGCGCAGAGGAACAGCGATCTCTTCGAGCTGTCCGACGCGGTGAATTTCCAGAACAGGCGTTTGGCCATGGACCAATCCTATGCCTATCCTGTGACGGGCACCTTGTGGCCACTGCTGAAGCACGTCCAGACCCGCCTACGGCAGCCAGCGTTTCGACGATCCCGGGAGCTGGTGCTCATACCGCTACTCATCTTGGCCATGCCCCTGCCGAAGAACTCCATGTTCCACAAGTCGCTGAATCGGTACAGGGGCCTCACCCAGCAGAGCGGCTTGTACCAGTATTGGTCCAGGCGGAGCTTCGGCGAGCTAGCAGCCCTCCGGAAGATCCACTACAAGGTGAAGGGTGGGCAGCAGACATATCGGGACTTCGAGTGGCAGGACTTTGGCTATGTGTGGCTGGGCTTCGTGGCAGGAGCCGCCGTGAGTGTCCTGGTGCTGCTTGGCGAGATCGGATACCACAGCTGGCAATTAGGACGAAACTAGCATTGAACTTGAATAAATACTATGACATGATATTCATTTTATTCAGGCATTTAGTCAGCCACTCCTGCTTGGACAAGGCCACTCATAAATGCAGGCCCTGGCCTGCCATTAAAGTAAGTGACAACTGATTGTTATTGCTTTCCGGCTCTGGCGGTGCAACTGAAGCATATCAGATCTTATCGCAGTAGGCAGTACCCTCTGGGAAGTGCAGCACGGTGGCAGTATGTGTTACCCGTTCGCTTCGGACAGTCGCCATAGCAATGCGGCTCGCACTGTACTTCACTTTCGCCTGCTGGGCAGGAGCACATGGTGGCTCCTTGAGAAACGTGCTGAAGTCCCTTGAGAACGAGCTGGGTTACAGGACCATGTTGCTCCTAGAAAGTAATTCCCAGCCCGAGTGCTGGAAGCAAAGCCACCTCCGCGACGGGGTTCCTGTTCTAAGCTTTAGGGCCAATGAGAACGTCCACCTAAAAGATACTTTCAACTCAAAGATACTGGTGCTGGTCTGCCTGAACAAAGGCGAGGAAGATACATTGCGGTCACTGTACAGCTATCTCGAGAACATGCGAGACACTCCCACCATTCTATTCGCCTCTTCGGAAAGGCACATAGGGGATATCTTCCTGGAGTGCTTCAGTGAAGGCATGCTGAATGTGCTGGCGTTCAATGACTCCGGAATGGAGTTCCTCTACAGCTTCCGCGCATTCCCAACACTTCGAGTGATGAAGCGCAGGGTGAGGGAGGTACGTCGGTACTTTGAGCCGCAGCTGGAGGATCTGGGGGGCTGTGTCCTGAAGGGCGTGCCCGATGGCATCATGCCGAGAACTATGGTGTACCGAGGTGCGGATGGGGAGCTCCAGATGGGCGGATATCTGAGCCACTTCATCCGGAACTACGTGAGCACCATTAACGCCAGTCTGCAAATCCGCTGGGACCTGTTCCCGGAGGACTTTGACTTCGACCTGGACACGTTCACGGGGAGCAATCACATCGACTTTCCTTTGGGCCTGGGCGTTCTGAGTGCCGAGACATTGCAGCAGGACATCGCCATGGAGCTGTCCAGCTGGTTCCTCATGCTGCCCATGGAGCCCGCTCTTCCTCGAGCCCGGTTCTTCATGAAGTTCGGCCTATCGCTGTACCTGATACCGGTAATCGCGCTCCTAGTCTTGGTGCTAAGCAACGCACATCGCTTGGAAGCAGGCTTACCTCCTAGCTGGCGTTGCTGCTCGGTGGGAAATACGGTGCTCCGGGGAGTCCTGGCACAGCCATTTGTCCTTCCGCAGAGGCTCTGCGCCAAACTAATGTTCGTCTACTGGCTGCTCCTGGTGAGTGGCTTCTTCGTCAGCAACTACGTGGTGGTCTACCTCACAGCCTGGCTCGTCCAGCCCCCGAGCAGTGATCCGGTAACAGACTTCGACCAAATGCGCCGCGCACAGCTGAAGATCCTTATGGTGCCGTCGGAAGTGGATTACTTGAAGTCCATCAGGGGAAAGGAGTATGTGGAGAAGCGCAGCGATGTGTTCCAGGCAGCCGACTCCTCGGATTTCCAGACCAAGCGGATGTCCATGGAGCTGCACTTCGCCTTCCCCGTGACGGGCACCTTGTGGCCACTTTTGAGGCAGGCGCAAGTCAAACTACATCGCCCCGTCTTCCGGCAATCCAAGGAGCTGGTCTTTCTGCCCTTCATAATCATGGGCATGACTATGCCGAAGAACTCAATATTCCTCAGTTCCCTCAAACGCTATAGGACTCGGACCAGTGAGGGCGGACTATATCGGCTCTGGTTCACGAAGAGTTTTTCCGAGCTGGAGGCCATCCACATGATCTCCTACAAGGAGGACTGGGTTCACGACTCCTATTCCGATCTCAAGTGGGAGGACTTTCAGTTTGCCTGGCTTGGCTTTCTTGGCGGAACTGTGCTGGGCTGCCTGGTGTTGCTGGTCGAGATTGGGTGCCACAGGTGGCTCTGCAGGCGCACTCACCAAAAAACCCCTACTGTAACCGTGTTCTAGCCATGACTTACCAATAAATGAGAAACGCCTTTTGTTTTTTTATAACACTTCCTGGTTCTCATGGGTGCCTCAATGTCTTGAGTGAGTTTCCGGCCTTCAATTCCGGCAGTCCAATTAAAATCAGTGACTTTTAGACACACGCGATTGATGGTCCCTAATTGCTCGACTCATTTGACTTGGCCTCCAGATCTTATCGTGCCACAACTCCGTGTGAAAATTCCGTCAAGTTGCAGTTTATCCCACCCAAGCAGTGTGAGCAGTCGCCCTAAAAATGCGGCTAGCCATAATCCTTGTGTTCCTGAGCCCGATTGGCACACAGAGCGCTTCTCTGAGCGGGATTCTGGTGGCCCTCAGGAAGGAGCTACGCTACACAACCATTCTCGTCGTGGGAGGATCCCCTTCGTGCTGGGGCCTGGAGCCCTTCAGAAGCGATGTTCCCATTATAAACATGAGGGGCATGAGCAACGCGCATCCGAAAGGTATTTTCAACACACGGATGCTGGCACTGGCCTGCTTGCAGAACCAAAGCGGAGATGCAGTGAAGTCGCTGTATGGCAACCTGGATGGCATGCGAGATACTCCTACCTTACTAGTCGCCTCCTCGGACGAGGAGATGCGTGATCTATTCCTGGGTTGTTTCAGCGAACACATGCTCAATGTGCTGGCACTGGCGGGCTCCGATACAGAGTTCATCTACAGCTACCAGGCGTTCCCAGCACTCCGCGTTATAAGGCGAAAGGTGGCGGAGGTTCAGCGGTACTTCGCTCCACAGCTGAAGGATCTTGGGGGGCATACAGTGACCGCACTACCCAGCAACATAATGCCGTGCACCATATGGTATAGGGATGCCGAGGGAAAGTGCAAATTGAGCGGATACCTGCACACCTTCCTATGGAACTATGTGGACAACATTAATGCGACTCTGAAGATCTGGGACGTCGTGCCCGAGGAGGGTAAGCTGCACTTCACAGTGTCGAGGCTCTCGAAGGTACAGCACGTGGACTTCCCGCTGGAAATCGTTTCCCTTTACAATAAGTCAGGCAGCCAGCAAGTGCCTATGGAGATATCCAGCTGGTTCCTGATGTTGCCCATGGAGGACCCCGTTCCTCGAGCGCATCTCTTCGTCAAACTGGGCCTGGAGAGGCTGCTGGCCATCATAATAGTTGTGGGTGTGGTGCTCGGCAATGCCCATCGGCTCGAGATGGGCCTGAGCCCCAGCTGGCGTTGCTACTACGTGGCGGATAGGGTGCTGCGAGGAGCCTTGGCGCAGACAATTATACTTCCGAGAAGGCTCTCCCCCAAACTGATGTTTATTTATTGCCTGCTCCTGCTGAGTGGCTTCTTTTTGAGCAACTACTACTTGGCCAACCTGACGACGTGGCTCGTACATCCGCCGGCGAGTGATCCCGTCCTGAAATGGAAAGAGTTCCGCTTACGGCAGCTGAAAGTCCTCATCACCCCCGAAAAGTTAGACTACCTGTCATTGATTTGGGGCACGGACTTCACAAAGGCCTACAGCGATATATTTAGGCTCACGAACTCCACGGATTTCCAGAGGAGGCGCATCGCCTTGGATCCCTCCTACGCCTACCCCGTGAGCACTAGCTTGTGGCCGTTCCTAGAGCAGTCCCAGGTGAGACTATGGCGCCCCCTATTCCGACGATCCAAGGAGCTGGTGTTCCAGCCGTTCCAAATCATGTCCATGCCGCTGCCTAGGAACTCCATTTTCTACAAGTCCGTTCTTCGATATGCTGCTCTTACCCGCGAAACCGGACTCTATGTCTTCTGGTTCCGGCGCAGCTACTACGAACTGGTGGCTCTCCGAAAGATCTCGTACAAGGAAGACGAGGGCAACCCGTACTGCGACCTCAAGTGGACCGACTTTCTGCTCGTGTGGCTGGGCTTCCTGGGAGGAACTTGCATGAATGTCCTGGTGCTCCTCTTGGAGGTAGCTCATTACAAGTGGCATGCGAGGAACGCCGCACTCTAAGCGGATTAATTGTACCTCCCATCCCGACTACCAATAAAGGCCACGTTTCCACGAATGAATGCCAAACGTTCTGCCATTGGCTTGGGTTAATGGTTACTGATTTAGTCTTGCCGGTCATGGAAATTTATTACTAACTAGCAATGGATTTGCGGCTATAAATGCAGGCCACTCAGAACTTTTTAGGGACTTTTTTGGAAATTAGCTAGGCCGTGGCTCCTAAAATGTGGTTCAATTTAAACACACTAACATTGGTTTCCTTGGGCTTCATTTGTGCCCAGAAGGAAGTGCTGAACGGTGTTCTAATGTCCTTAAGGCGGGAGCTGTCCTTTCAGACCCTACTCCTCCTCAAAGGCGCAGGACGCACCGATGTCTGCTGGCAGCACTTCGACCTCGACCGATACCCATACCCATGCCTGAACTTTGACTCTACGCAAAGTATTTACCTCAAAGGAAGAGTCAGCAGGAGGATACTAGCTCTGGTTTGCCTGGATGCCGCTGAAGAGATCGAGGGCGTAATGAGAGCCTTGGGTGAAAACCTGATGGATATGCGGGGCACTCCAGTTTTGCTTGTGCTCCGACTGGAAACCAACATCAGCAGTCTGTTTCGGGGCTGTTTCGCCCTTCAGATGCTCAATGTCCTGGCTTTGAGTAGCTTGCATCCGGAGTCTGTATACAGCTACCGCGCCTTTCCTTTCCTCAAAGTGGTAAGGAGAAGAGTGGACCAAGTCGATAGGTTCTTTGAGCCCCAAGTCAACGATCTGCAGGGATACCCAATCGCCACAGTTCCCTACAATCTGCTGCCCCGCTCTGTGATCTACCGGGATGAGGAGGGGCGTCGCCAGATGACGGGCTACCTCACCCATTTCTACAGGAACTTCGCCAGGAGCCTGAACGCCTCCTTGCGGGTGCGTTGGGATCTGGTTCCCCAGGACGAGACCCCCCGTACCGAAGCCACTGCCGCGTTGCTTCGCGATGGGCTGGTGGACTTTCCGCTGGTGCTGACCACACTCGCTCCGGAGCCCTTCTATCCCAGCCATGTGGGCGAGATAACCAGCTGGTTCCTGATGCTGCCCGTGGAACCAGCTGTGCCTCCCTCCAGTCTGTACCTCAGCCTCAGGGGCTGGCAGTACTTCTTGGGCCTGATGATCGTTTTGGCCCTTCTGTTGGTCAACGCCCAGCGCTTGGAGGCGGGCCAAGGACTCCTTACCCTGCGCTGCGGTAACATCTTCGGGGATGAGGTGCTGCGAGCCATCCTGGCCCAGTCCTTCGTCATGCCCAGCAGGCTATCCTTCAGCAGGACTCTACTCTACAGCCTGCTGATGATGGCGGGGCTCATAGTTAGCACTTTCTACAGTGCCAATCTAGCAACGCTACTCGTTCATCCTCCAGCTGCTTTCAGGATACTCAGCTACGACGACCTTCGGAGCGCCCGTGGAAAAATCCTTATCTCACAGCAGGAGCTGCCCACCCTGAATGATTCCGTGGGGAAGGAGGTGCTGGAGAGAAACCTGGACACCTTTGAAGTGACCCCTTCCGTGGTGGACTTTCTGGCCCATCGCCATGAGCTGAACACCTCCTTCGCCTACCCGGTCACCAACACACTGTGGCCCCTTCTGCAGCTCAAGCAGATCAGAATGCACCGCCCGCTCTTCCGGAGGTCGCATGAAATAACCTTCACCCGGTTCATGCCGGTCACTATGCCGATGGCCAGGAACTCCATCTACCGCGACGTGTTCAACCGGTACCTGAGCCGCACCCTGGCCAGTGGGCTGTACGACCTGTGGTTCCGCAGATCCTTCCAGGAAGTCATCGCCGTGGGAAAACTGAACTACACCACGGATCCCCCGCCTTCGCCCTACCACGATCTGGTCTGGGCGGACCTGTACTACGTGTGGATGGCCTACTTGGGAGGCACTGGGGTCAGCATACTGGTGCTAACGCTGGAGCTGTCGTGCTCCAAGTGGGCTCCCTTGAACCGCGTGTTGGGTAGCTAATTCTCTACTAAAGGGAAATGACTGGGAGACCAATCAAACCAGTTTCTCGATGCGATCAATTAAATTAAAAACTCGCCGGGTCGCAATTTCAAACACTTTTTGCAAAAGCATTTTTATTCAAGTTTCACATGTCTCTGCTCACTGCATCTTGATTTCATCGTTAAATGGTTTCCGTTTCTTGTTCATTTTCATTTTCATTTTTCTTGTTCATTTTCGATTGTTTTTAGGTTTGTTAATAAGTAGGTATTCGTAATATGTTATAATTAGGATTCGCATCAATGGAATTACATATATAATGCGTATATTATACGCCATCTGTGTCGTATTATCTGTGCTCCTTGTGGGTTGCTAGTCATTAAAATGGGACTGTCGGGGCTCACACACCCCAGTCCAAGCAAAAGTTCAAATAAACTTGGTTCTCGTGAGTAGAATGCAGTTCGAGTGCAGCTGAATGCAGTTCGAATGCAGCTCGAATGCAGGTGTGGTGTGTCTCATTAGCAAAGGTGCACAATTGAGTAAACTTGGTGTGGAGTGTGGCTTGTGGGGGGTCGAAATGGGGCGCGATCGATGGTGTGTTCAATTAATTTTGTAGGACTGAATTAACATTTCTTGTACTCTAAAAATTTAGCACTATAAAAGGGTGTCCTTTGGGCTTTGTTTCGTTTGTCGTTTATTTTGTTTTTAGGTAAATTCTGCAAAAGCAATTACCAAAGATGACCTTCGATTACAATTATAATTTGTAATAATAATAAGAAGTATGTCGCATTTGCTTGGCAAAGGAAAATAAATTTCATTTCATTTCATTTCTTTCTCTTTTGTTTTGTTTTGTACATTTGTGTAAATATTATTCAATTGCGTAATTGAGTAATTGCGTAATTTCTCCTGGTTGTCTTGTAAATTCATATTGCATATGTTCTGTGTGAGTTACAGTGTTACAGTGGAGGCCTAATCCTACTTTTGTCCTGGAAACTAGGGCGTAACCTCGCCGGCCCAAAACCTAAGCTCAAAATGAAGTGAAGTTCAATGGAAATAAATATGGTCAAATGAGGGTACGTTAGTTATGCCATCCTAAATATTGCCATCGTTATAACTATTTTATGTCATTTAATTTCTCCTCTTTTGTGTGTGGTTACTGTTTTAACTATACATTGTGTATATGTCTAGACGCAAAACTTTAATCTTACAAATTTCGAGTGAGTTAGCGTTAATATTTTCTTTTCTTTTCATTTATCTTTTCCTTGCTTTCGTTTTCTGCTCTGCTCTCGGAAACACTTTAAAAATTAAGCTCAATAATCTTAAATTATTTATGTATTTGCTTTCATTTCGGTTCACACGCCTGCCTACAGAGTGTTTTGAATTATTCGATCATGCGATTTCTTCGTGCCTTGTAGCCATAATAATATTCATATTCTAAAAGATCTCAAACATTGCACTGTGTACACTTCTTGGATTGGTTACATTCAATTAGTTTTCTTTTTGTTCGCGTTACATTACGGTCGTTACTGTCTGCGGTCCTGTTTGTGGTTTCACTTTAGTTTCTGCTACTTGAAACAATGTACAATAATTACAAAAATGTCTTGTAATTGCTAAAATTTTAATACTCATGTACTGTCCGCAGGAGTGGCGCTGGGCCCCTGCTACTTCCATATCCGATCTCTCCAGCTTTCCAGCTCCGACATAATCCTCGTCCACCTAATCTGCGTCTACTATATAAATTACGTGTAGGTTCGCTTTCGCAATGGTTGCACTTGATTTCCTCGTCAAAAGTATTAGTTATAGCGTAGGGTGTGTGAGTATTATAAACGCTTTTTAACTACAGCGTGTGGGTTTACTTTAGATATATGTATATGTTTATGTATATACGTGGAGTGGGTGCTTCACTTGTTAATAGGGGTTACATCAATTGCATTTTTTTCCGTTTTTCGATTTAGTTTTTTGTTTTTTTTTGTTTTGTTTTGTTTTGTTTCTTGGTTTAGTTTTGTTTTAATATATATTAGGTAAGTGTAAATATTCATATGTTGCCCAGGGCTTGCTGGGCGTAGCTCTAGTTGCGATCGCACGATCTAGACTTAATGCCAAGGGGCCAGTGTGAATGTTGGCCTGGTGTGGGTAAATACATTTCGAAATACGTGTACGCAATGTGTTCTTTAGGCGAGAAGCTGACAGCAAAGCCTCTGCCCACTAAATTCAACAGTAAAGACAAACATCTAATTCCAAAAAAACGCTAGTGAGTGCTAAGAAACTGTTGTCCTAATGCCTAGAAAATCCTTTCGATTGAGAGCTCCTCTTCTGCCTCTCCCTTTGTTTCTGCCCTGTGTTTTTCTATAAATTTCAACTGTGTTGCAAGACTTTTGCCTACATCTAAGTGTATATGCGCAGGATCTGCATCCCGCTCTTCTGCTGCCTGATGTCCGCCTAGCTGCTCGATACAATTTCTCGTAAATATCTATATAGGTTTATATATGGGTGTGTATTGTATGTGTGTGGGTTCCGAGTCAACTCCTAGCGATGTCCTTGGATCAGCTGCCTCCGCCGCCGCCACCGCCCCCGCCGCCTTAGTAGTAGAATATCTGGCCAGCCTTCTGGCGCTTGCGCTCCTCCAGCTTGCGATTGATCTCCTGCTGCCGCTCGGCCTTGCTGAGGGCTCTTGCCACGTACAAAAACTTGTTGTCGCCCAGCTGCTTGCCGTGCAGGCCAATTACGGCGGCCAGCGCCGACTGTGGGTTCTCGTACGCCACGAAACCGAAACGCCGGGAGCGCCCCTCCTCGTCCAGCATGAGCTGCAAGGATCGGAGAAAGCAAATCGATGATATAAACAAATCAGCACAGATGGGCCAGGTGGAGTCCTCCTCTTCCCCGCCGCCACAACTCCTCGTGGCACCATAGGCATGCGCAGCAATGTCGCAAGAGAACACCCAAGAGAGTGCGAAACTGTGCCACATGGTTGTCGTCCAACCACCCGGCCCCACTAACACCCCCGCAGGGAAGATGAGGTGACCAAACAACGTACCTTGTGACTGGTGATGCGGCCGTAGGGCTCAAACATCTCGCGCAAATGCTGCTCGGTGAACTCCTCGCTGAGGTTCTTTACATACAGATTCTTGAAGTGCGTGGCCTTCTCCTGCTCCCGGTCCCGCCGTGGTATGAACTTGACCACATGCACCTTCTGATTATTGCACAGCATCCCATTAACCTTCTCGATGGCCGCTCGGGCGGCCTCCTCCGAATCGAAATGCACAAACCCATAGCCGCGCGAATTGCCATCCTCGTCCTTGGCCACATTGCAGTTCAGGATGTTTCCGAACACCGAGAACGTGTCGTACACCGCCTTGTTGTCGATGGACCTCTCCAGGTTCTTGATATAAATCTTGCCACTGTCTGGAGAGCTGTTGCCTCCGCTGCCCCCGGTGGAGCCACTAGCCAGAGCACCCCCGCCGACTCCCACGCCCACATTGGCCGAGTGCGAGGAATTGGACGTGTGCCCGCTGCCCAGGGAGTTGTGGCCATGCCGTCCGAGAACAGCGGCGGCCGCCAGGTGGTTACTGGCTGCGTGGCCGCCGCCGACGTGGCTCAGGTGCCCGGCAGCGGCGGCGTGGTGGTGCAGCTGCTGCTGATGGTGCGCCGCTGCCAGCGTGTGGTGGTTCAGGGCCGGCTGCTGCTGGTGGTAGTTCGCCGGATTGCCGCGGAACGTCATGGAGTTGACGAACATGATGGCTGCTGGCTGTTTGTGGAGCGTGGTGGCGGCTAGTGGAGTGCTGTAGGTGCTGTAGGTGGATTCTGCGTCCTGGTGGCCGTGGCTCTGGATTTGGATACCGCTGTAGATGGGACCGAGAATCTTGACGGCGTTTTGTTCCTGGTCTTATCCTTTTAAATTCCCGCTCAACCTGCTGTGACCAGAATCTGCGTTATGGCCAATCTCGTCAGGTGGAATGCCCACTTACCAGGATTTGCACACGGAATATGACCAAGGATTCGCGGAGTTGAAAAAATCGTTTTTCTCTCGCCCAGACTCTTTTCAATGCTCTTTGCTCTCTCTTTCGTTTTCTCTCTGGCTCTTCCTTTCGCTCTTTTGTACTTTGCTTTTTCTGGGGGCTTTCACTTTTGGGCTGATTTTTTGGGGCTCTTCTGTGCTTTCGCGTAACACTTTGCGGTATTGTTTTCGAGTGGCACCTAAACTAGATTCTTCAGCAATTGTAGCAGTATAAAACCTGGTTTTTGCAGCTTCGGCGATGGCCCTTTATTATTTAATTGTATTTTATGCAAAAACTGTCGCTACTAGTGATTAGTGATGTTAAAAAACATCGATGCATCTGCCATCGATACGTGGGGCCGTGATGTTCTGGGCCGTACTATCGATGACTTCCTCGGTAGCGATTGCTTAGCAAGTGCACCCTCCTCAGTTAGCGGATTATCAGCTCCTACTATCGCCACCAAAGCCACGTTTACCAACACTGCACTATGCGCTCCCTGTTTTGGAAATGCAACCAAAATAGAATTGGACACTTGTTTACCTAAAATACAGTCTGCTTCAACAATTAAATGACGTGATGGACCAGAAAAGCGCATCGGGAAGTCGTTCGAACCGGCTATCCCAAGGAAAAGACACCCATGCCCGCGAACGCGCAACACTTGAGGTGGCCGAAAATCGGCGAAGTAACATCATTGACGACATGGCCAAAATACACGAAGCCGATCGCCAGACTAGCGCCGCCACTCGACGGGCTCAAGGTCTCGAGCGGCTTACAGTTGACAACAGTGGCTTCGTCGCCGTGGAGGACCTAATTTTGGCCTGCGCTGAGCCAACGCCCGAGGAGCAGGTCGAGATGATCATGCTGGACTTCTGCTCGTCTCCGACTTACGCAGAGGATGAGGATGAGCCTAGCTGTGAGACGGAGCCGTGGTTTCGATTTCGCAAGAAAAGGATCAGAACTTACGGGCGGAAGAGGGATCCCAAAGGCAACATGGTCGAGGGCCGAAGTTCCTCGGGTCTCTCCGTGCAGAGGGATCTCAATACTTCGTTCACATCTGTGGCTTGTGACCTAGACGCTGCTTCATCGCAGAGGATACACGAGGTCCTGTTAAACCTAAGTCAATACTTTTCGATGAGCGCGACAGATTCCAGTCCGACTCCTTCTGTCCCATCGCAAATAGATCTGCCAACCGAAGCAAGGCGAGATTTTGAGAAGCCCTCGAATTCTGAGGAGCACCGAACTAATCTTTCAGATACAAATTTGGAAGATGAGTGTATGAACACTGAAGTGATGAACTTGAGAGATGACCTGTTGGAGAACGGCTTTACCTTCGAGGCCTCTATCTATGACAATGAGCAGGAAGGTAGGGAGTTCTCGGTATTTATAGAAACGCATCGTAACTCTTTTCTTTTTCATAGTTCCAGGACCTCTGGCAGACACTCTTTTTGGAGATAGCAGGCAAGCGATCTCAATTACGCACCTCCAATTGGGTATTATATCGCAATTCATATTACTGTAGAGTCCATTAAAATAAACCTATATTTATAGAAAGAGGAGAATGTAAAGTATGGTCTGATGCAGACTCGGCACCGAAAAAGGCCGAAATGAAGTCACAAGCAGAACATCCTGTATATGAGAACACGAACCTAATATTGGAAGGCATCCCAATAAGCGAATGGCTAACTCCAATGGAACTGCCCGAGAAACACAAAGAGGTAATCAAACATATACCCGAAAAAAAGTTAAAGTTGGAGCCAAGTTCTCAGAAAGAGCATGAGCGTAGCAATCATTCAAATGAAACAAAGTTTAGAGCAGCCCCAAAAAAGGAAAGTGATATTGCAAATGCACTATTCAACGACGGAGAGCTTCTTAATGAGTTTCTTTTTAATGAATGGAACCCAATACAGTGTTCTGATGTCCCATCAACCTCTAAGGACGCCATTGAAGTGCCTACGAAAAAGACCGAGCAGCAACCAGAAAAGAAGACACCTAATAAAAGTCAGCCCTTAGGCAGTCATCAACTTGTTGGCTTTCGAAAAACGCCCTTCAAATTTATTGAGGTTTCGGAAGAAATGAAAATTAAGGGCGAACAGTTTGTAGACAAAGTTGTATCCAGTTTATATCGATCTAGTCAAAAGTGCAACTCGGTCACTGAGAAATACTCCGCTAATCATGGTCAAGTGATGGAATCAACAGAGTGTGTGGGATACAAAACAGCCTTAAGTAAGCCCATCGATGTATTGGATGGTAGTAACAAGGAAGCTGGCCATGTTATAGCAAAGTTTGAGGTTGGAGAAATAATTGCCAAATGCAGTCCTCTGAACAAGGAGTCCATAACAGAGTCCGAGTTTTCTGGCTTCCGTACAGCCTCAAATAAAGCAATTCTGATTTCTGAAAAGATGAAAATGAAAACTGCAGAGTTTATGGCTGAATTTCAGTCCGCAGAATCAAATCAGCAAAATGGTTATGAAGTCAATCAGCCAAATGGCATATCGACGTTTGTTGGCCCTAGCACTGCCTTAAATAAAACAATTGAGACTTCAGACGAAATGCAATCGAAGGCTACCAAGTTGGTCGTTGATGTTAAAATGGGAGAACCACATCAACCCACACATTACCCACAATGCCCTGACTCCAATGAATCAACGTTTTTTGGCTTTAGAACAGCGTCAAACAAAGCCATTGAAAATACAGAGGCGATGGAGAAGAGGGGAGCCATGTTTCTGGCCCAGTCTAATGCTACAGACCAACAAGATCAATTAAACGACGCAGAGTTCGTTTTCAGTGAATGGCAGCCAAGCGATCTTCCTGATGTTCCATCCCAGTCTAATGACATAAACTTAGCTCCAAATAATAAGAGGAATTCAATAAGCGTTGAAAAAAATAATACTGTGGATACGAAAGCCGCACCTGACAGCGAGTTTTTTGGCTTTCGCACAGCCTCAAATAAAGGAATTGTGATATCTGAAAGTACGAAAATCAAAGCTGCCCAGTTTATGAGTGAATTTAAAGCCGTTGGCCCTAGCACTGACTCAAACAAACCAATTGTGATCCCTGAGGAATCGAAATATAGTCCTGCCCAGTTGATGGGTGAAGAGGCGGCAGAAGACAGTCCGAACAAACCACCTTTTTGCGATGTACAAACCAAAGAAACTACCTCAGCTAATGAGCACTTCCATCACCTCTCCGTTGACCGTTGTGCAAAGGAAGAGCATCCGAGGACGCCCAAGAGGTCGCAGGAGATCCACTCCTCCCTGTCGCAACTAGCAGGCCTATCACCACTGGATCAGGCCACCAAGAAGTCCGTAATAGAGCGCCGGAATATCCTGTCACTGAAAAGAAAGCGAAAGATCACTTCGTCAACTGAAACTTCTGCCACCTGCGCCTCGCCCGCTGAGGAGCGATTCGCTCCAACGCCCGCTGCGGCCAGTACTCCGCTGGCTGCCAGGGATTTAAATCTCTCCAAGGAATGTACAAAGGATAGACAGCATCCGGAGGACATGTCCCCTATTTGCATGCAACCCAGAAGGAGTCGAAGACTTGGTTTGAGTAGAAGTCGCTATTAGTGTACATTAAGTGAGCATTGCTTTATACCCAAAAGATTTAAGCCGCTGGTCGACTTAAATGGGTAGATATTTAGTTGAAATAATCTATGAATGAGTCACATAGTCACAATTTATAAGTTATTGTAAAAAATTAAAAATAAATAAATTTCTTAATTTGAATGCATTTTTTTAGAGAATTGCGCCAGAAACATTTAGAGGTATGCCACTTCAAAATCCGATTAAGATAAGTTGAGTTATGGAGTTTAGAACTTCAGCCTTGGGGCATTTCTTCATATTTTTGAATTTCTACAACAGCATACATCAGAAAAATTACAAAAAAATTTCAAAAAAATAAATTTCTAAATTTGAATGCAGTTTTTTAGAGAATTGCGCCAGAAACATTTAGAGGTATGCCACTTCAAAATCCGATTAAGATAAGTTGAGTTATGGAGTTCAGAACTTCAGACTTGGGGCATTTCTTCATATTTTTGAATTTCTCAACAGCATACATCAGAAAAATTACAAAAAAATTTCAAAAAAATAAATTTCTAAATTTGAATGCAGTTTTTTAGAGAATTGCGCCAGAAACATTTAGAGGTATGCCACTTCAAAATCCGATTAAGATAAGTTGAGTTATGGAGTTTAGAACTTCAGCCTTGGGGCATTTCTTCATATTTTTGAATTTCTACAACAGCATACATCAGAAAAATTACAAAAAAATTTCAAAAAAATAAATTTCTAAATTTGAATGCAGTTTTTTAGAGAATTGCGTCAGAAACATTTAGAGGTATGCCACTTCAAAATCCGATTAAGATAAGTTGAGTTATGGAGTTTAGAACTTCAGCCTTGGGGCATTTCATCATATTTTTGAATTTCTACAACAGCATACATCAGAAAAATTACAAAAAAATTTCAAAAAAATAAATTTCTAAATTTGAATGCAGTTTTTTAGAGAATTGCGCCAGAAACATTTAGAGGTATGCCACTTCAAAATCCGATTAAGATAAGTTGAGTTATGGAGTTTAGAACTTCAGCCTTGGGGCATTTCTTCATATTTTTGAATTTCTACAACAGCATACATCAGAAAAATTACAAAAAAATTTCAAAAAAATAAATTTCTAAATTTGAATGCAGTTTTTTAGAGAATTGCGCCAGAAACATTTAGAGGTATGCCACTTCAAAATCCGATTAAGATAAGTTGAGTTATGGAGTTTAGAACTTCAGCCTTGGGGCATTTCTTCATATTTTTGAATTTCTACAACAGCACACATCAGAAAAATTACAAAAAAATTTCAAAAAAATAAATTTCTAAATTTGAATGCAGTTTTTTAGAGAATTGCGCCAGAAACATTTAAAGGTATGCCACTTCAAAATCCGATTAAGATAAGTTGAGTTATGGAGTTTAGAACTTCAGCCTTGGGGCATTTCTTCATATTTTTGAATTTCTACAACAGCATACATCAGAAAAATTACAAAAAAATTTCAAAAAAATAAATTTCTAAATTTGAATGCAGTTTTTTAGAGAATTGCGCCAGAAACATTTAGAGGTATGCCACTTCAAAATCCGATTAAGATAAGTTGAGTTATGGAGTTTAGAACTTCAGTCTTGGGGCATTTCTTCATATTTTTGAATTTCTACAACAGCATACATCAGAAAAATTACAAAAAAATTTCAAAAAAATAAATTTCTAAATTTGAATGCAGTTTTTTAGAGAATTGCGCCAGAAACATTTAGAGGTATGCCACTTCAAAATCCGATTAAGATAAGTTGAGTTATGGAGTTCAGAACTTCAGACTTGGGGCATTTCTTCATATTTTTGAATTTCTACAACAGCATACATCAGAAAAATTACAAAAAAATTTCAAAAAAATAAATTTCTAAATTTGAATGCAGTTTTTTAGAAAATTGCGCCAGAAACATTTAGAGGTATGCCACTTCAAAATCCGATTAAGATAAGTTGAGTTATGGAGTTTAGAACTTCAGCCTTGGGGCATTTCTTCATATTTTTGAATTTCTACACAGCATACATCAGAAAAATTACAAAAAAATTTCAAAAAAATAAATTTTTAAATTTGAATGCAGTTTTTTAGAGAATTGCGCCAGAAACATTTAGAGGTATGCCACTTCAAAATCCGGTTAAGATAAGTTGAGTTATGGAGTTTAGAACTTCAGCCTTGGGGCATTTCTTCATATTTTTGAATTTCTACAACAGCATACATCAGAAAAATTACAAAAAAATTTCAAAAAAATAAATTTCTAAATTTGAATGCAGTTTTTTAGAGAATTGCGCCAGAAACATTAAGAGGTATGCCACTTCAAAATCCGATTAAGATAAGTTGAGTTATGGAGTTCAGAACTTCAGACTTGGGGCATTTCTTCATATTTTTGAATTTCTACAACAGCATACATCAGAAAAATTACAAAAAAATTTCAAAAAAATAAATTTCTAAATTTGAATGCAGTTTTTTAGAAAATTGCGCCAGAAACATTTAGAGGTATGCCACTTCAAAATCCGATTAAGATAAGTTGAGTTATGGAGTTTAGAACTTCAGCCTTGGGGCATTTCTTCATATTTTTGAATTTCTACACAGCATACATCAGAAAAATTACAAAAAAATTTCAAAAAAATAAATTTTTAAATTTGAATGCAGTTTTTTAGAGAATTGCGCCAGAAACATTTAGAGGTATGCCACTTCAAAATCCGGTTAAGATAAGTTGAGTTATGGAGTTTAGAACTTCAGCCTTGGGGCATTTCTTCATATTTTTGAATTTCTACAACAGCATACATCAGAAAAATTACAAAAAAATTTCAAAAAAATAAATTTCTAAATTTGAATGCAGTTTTTTAGAGAATTGCGCCAGAAACATTAAGAGGTATGCCACTTCAAAATCCGATTAAGATAAGTTGAGTTATGGAGTTCAGAACTTCAGACTTGGGGCATTTCTTCATATTTTTCAATTTCTACAACAGCATACATCAGAAAAATTACAAAAAAATTTCAAAAAAATAAATTTCTAAATTTGAATGCAGTTTTTTAGAGAATTGCGCCAGAAACATTAAGAGGTATGCCACTTCAAAATCCGATTAAGATAAGGTGAGTTATGGAGTTTAGAACTTCAGCCTTGTGGCATTTCTTCATATTTTTGAATTTCTACAACAGCATACATCAGAAAAATTACAAAAAAATTTCAAAAAAATAAATTTTTAAATTTGAATGCAGTTTTTTAGAGAATTGCGCCAGAAACATTTAGAGGTATGCCACTTCAAAAACCGATTAAGATAAGTTGAGTTATGGAGTTTAGAACTTCAGCCTTGGGGCATTTCTTCATATTTTTGAATTTCTACAACAGCATACATCAGAAAAATTACAAAAAAATTTCAAAAAAATAAATTTCTAAATTTGAATGCAGTTTTTTAGAGAATTGCGCCAGAAACATTTAGAGGTATGCCACTTCAAAATCCGATTAAGGTAAGTTGAGTTATGGAGTTTAGAACTTCAGTCTCGGGGCATGTCTTCATATTTTTGAATTTCTACAACAGCATACATCAGAAAAATTACAAAAAAATTTCAAAAAAATAAATTTCTAAATTTGAATGCAGTTTTTTAGAGAATTGCGCCAGAAACATTTAGAGGTATGCCACTTCAAAATCCGATTAAGATAAGTTGAGTTATGGAGTTTAGAACTTCAGCCTTGGGGCATTTCTTCATATTTTTGAATTTCTACAACAGCATACATCAGAAAAATTACAAAAAAATTTCAAAAAAATAAATTTCTAAATTTGAATGCAGTTTTTTAGAGAATTGCGCCAGAAACATTAAGAGGTATGCCACTTCAAAATCCGATTAAGATAAGTTGAGTTATGGAGTTCAGAACTTCAGACTTGGGGCATTTCTTCATATTTTTGAATTTCTACAACAGCATACATCAGAAAAATTACAAAAAAATTTCAAAAAAATAAATTTCTAAATTTGAATGCAGTTTTTTAGAGAATTGCGCCAGAAACATTAAGAGGTATGCCACTTCAAAATCCGATTAAGATAAGTTGAGTTATGGAGTTTAGAACTTCAGCCTTGGGGCATTTCTTCATATTTTTGAATTTCACAACAGCATACATCAGAAAAATTACAAAAAAAATTTCAAAAAAATAAATTTCTAAATTTGAATGCAGTTTTTTAGAGAATTGCGCCAGAAACATTTAGAGGTAAGCCACTTCAAAATCCGATTAAGATAAGTTGAGTTATGGAGTTTAGAACTTCAGCCTTGGGGCATGTCTTCATATTTTTGAATTTCTACAACAGCATACATACATCAGAAAAATTACAAAAAAATAAATTTCTAAATTTGAATGCAGTTTTTTAGAGAATTGCGCCAGAAACATTTAGAGGTATGCCACTTCAAAATCCGATTAAGATAAGTTGAGTTATGGAGTTTAGAACTTCAGCCTTGGGGCATTTCTTCATATTTTTGAATTTCTACAACAGCATACATCAGAAAAATTACAAAAAAATTTCAAAAAAATAAATTTCTAAATTTGAATGCAGTTTTTTAGAGAATTGCGCCAGAAACATTAAGAGGTATGCCACTTCAAAATCCGATTAAGATAAGTTGAGTTATGGAGTTCAGAACTTCAGACTTGGGGCATTTCTTCATATTTTTGAATTTCTACAACAGCATACATCAGAAAAATTACAAAAAAATTTCAAAAAAATAAATTTCTAAATTTGAATGCAGTTTTTTAGAGAATTGCGCCAGAAACATTAAGAGGTATGCCACTTCAAAATCCGATTAAGATAAGTTGAGTTATGGAGTTTAGAACTTCAGCCTTGGGGCATTTCTTCATATTTTTGAATTTCTACAACAGCATACATCAGAAAAATTACAAAAAAATTTCAAAAAAATAAATTTCTAAATTTGAATGCAGTTTTTTAGAGAATTGCGCCAGAAACATTTAGAGGTAAGCCACTTCAAAATCCGATTAAGATAAGTTGAGTTATGGAGTTTAGAACTTCAGCCTTGGGGCATGTCTTCATATTTTTGAATTTCTACAACAGCATACATACATCAGAAAAATTACAAAAAAATTTCAAAAAAATAAATTTCTAAATTTGAATGCAGTTTTTTAGAGAATTGCGCCAGAAACATTTAGAGGTATGCCACTTCAAAATCCGATTAAGATAAGTTGAGTTATGGAGTTTAGAACTTCAGCCTTGGGGCATGTCTTCATATTTTTGAATTTCTACAACAGCATACATCAGAAAAATTACAAAAAAATTTCAAAAAAATAAATTTCTAAATTTGAATGCAGATTTTTAGAGAGTTGCTCCAGAAACATTTAGAGGTATGCCACTTCAAAATCCGATTAAGATAAGTTGAGTTATGGAGTTCAGAACTTCAGACTTGGGGCATTTCTTCATATTTTTGAATTTCTCAACAGCATACATCAGAAAAATTACAAAAAAATTTCAAAAAAATAAATTTCTAAATTTGAATGCAGTTTTTTAGAGAATTGCGCCAGAAACATTTAGAGGTATGCCACTTCAAAATCCGATTAAGGTAAGTTGAGTTATGGAGTTTAGAACTTCAGCCTCGGGGCATGTCTTCATATTTTTGAATTTCTACAACAGCATACATCAGAAAAATTACAAAAAAATTTCAAAAAAATAAATTTCTAAATTTGAATGCAGTTTTTTAGAGAATTGCGCCAGAAACATTTAGAGGTATGCCACTTCAAAATCCGATTAAGATAAGTTGAGTTATGGAGTTTAGAACTTCAGCCTTGGGGCATTTCTTCATATTTTTGAATTTCTACAACAGCATACATCAGAAAAATTACAAAAAAATTTCAAAAAAATAAATTTCTAAATTTGAATGCAGTTTTTTAGAGAATTGCGCCAGAAACATTTAGAGGTATGCCACTTCAAAATCCGATTAAGATAAGTTGAGTTATGGAGTTTAGAACTTCAGCCTTGGGGCATGTCTTCATATTTTTGAATTTCTACAACAGCATACATCAGAAAAATTACAAAAAAATTTCAAAAAAATAAATTTCTAAATTTGAATGCAGATTTTTAGAGAGTTGCTCCAGAAACATTTAGAGGTATGCCACTTCAAAATCCGATTAAGATAAGTTGAGTGTTGGAGTTCAGAACTTCAGACTTGGGGCATTTCTTCATATTTTTGAATTTCTCAACAGCATACATCAGAAAAATTACAAAAAAATTTCAAAAAAATAAATTTCTAAATTTGAATGCAGTTTTTTAGAGAATTGCGCCAGAAACATTTAGAGGTATGCCACTTCAAAATCCGATTAAGATAAGTTGAGTTATGGAGTTTAGAACTTCAGCCTTGGGGCATGTCTTCATATTTTTGAATTTCTACAACAGCATACATACATCAGAAAAATTACAAAAAAATTTCAAAAAAATAAATTTCTAAATTTGAATGGAGATTTTTAGAGAGTTGCTCCAGAAACATTTAGAGGTATGCCACTTCAAAATCCGATTAAGATAAGTTGAGTTATGGAGTTTAGAACTTCAGCCTTGGGGCATTTCTTCATATTTTTGAATTTCTACAACATCATACATCAGAAAAATTACAAAAAATTTCAAAAAAATAAATTTCTAAATTTGAATGCAGTTTTTTAGAGAATTGCGCCAGAAACATTTAGAGGTATGCCACTTAAAAATCCGATTAAGATAAGTGAGTTATGGGCTTTAGAAGTTCAGCGTAGGGACATTATTGAATTTCTACATCATCATAACATCAGAAAAAACAAGATAGAATGCTATAGTCGAGTTACTCAGCTAGTGAAAGTGCAAACGAGAAAATTTATCATTTTGTGGAATATCGGTAGAAATTGCGTAAAAAAATTTAAAATTCAAAAATTTAATCAAGAATTTATATACATTATATGGTCGGAAACGCTTCCTTCTGCCTGTTACATACTTTTCGACAAATCCAGTATGCCCTACCATAACTCTACGAGTAACGGGTATAAATAGTTAACGAGGTAAGCAACTGCTTACGAACTCCACGAAAAAAACTAGCAGAGACAAACCCAATCCCGCAGCCCACAAAACAAAGGCGAACAAGTAATAGTCCAGGTCGAATGCCTTAGCCGGAGGTTCATCATCCCGCATCAGGGTGTAGATTCCCTGCTGGATAAGCTCCCGGAAAGTGTCCGCCTTAATTTTGATGGTGATGCCGTGCTCCTGCAGGCGCCTCATGAACTCGCTGGTCAGCTCCAAGTACGGCAAGCTCGTGGACACACAGTAGGACTCGAGGGTGTACCCCACGCCCTGGCGAATCATGTTGAAGCGCGGCGTCTTCAGCAGGTACTGCTGCATCAGGATCAGCTCCAGGCGATCCTCGTACAACATGTAGATGTAGCTCTGGTTGAGGCCATCTCGGTACGCATTCAGTAGGGTGGCGTTCAAAGTCATGCTGTTCATGCGAAAGCGCTCGGGTAGGAAGGTTTTCTTCTGCATCTGACTCTTGTAGTAATCGTCGTGCAGACTGGGGTAGGGAGCCCTGACCAGATCTTCCAGCGTGTTGTACTCCTCGTCGTACAGCCCGGATGTGAGGATGCTGGAGAGCGTGGCCAAGTAGACGTTGGTCAGTATGAAGCCTCCGATCGTTAGAATGGCATGGATAGCCATGTCCCTCCAGCCCGCAACTCTGATTCTCTGGTGGCAGTTGTACAGGATGTGGCTGAGGCTGTACAGCAGGCACGTGCCAATCTCGATTCGTGCCCGTCGCGCGGTCAGATGCAGCATCAGGGTTCCATACAGTACAGTCGAAATCACGACCACCCAAAGGGTCCAGGCGAAGGGTTTCGAGTAGTACAGATAACTGGAGATCGGACGGGCGTGGGGAGCCATGAAGTACTCGTCGATAATCGAAAGTGGTGCTGTGTAGGCCACGTTCAAGTTGAAATCTTTGAAGTAGCAAACAATGTCGAGCCTTTTTGTGCGTAGCATATCAGAAACAGCCGTGTATACTTCGTATTCCGGCAAGTCGGGTATGGGTACACTTTCGATAGTGGCGTTATAGCGATACGCCAGCTCCTTGACCGCCGTGAACAAGTATCCTGCTCGCACCAAATCACCCTGGTCGTTGAAGTACTCGAAGTCCCGAGGAGCTAGTGTGCTTCGAAGTGTGCGCACGGGATAGCCTTGAAAATTTCGAATGATCCTTGCGCGATTCAAATACTCGGATACGTTTGATAGGCTCATCGGTTGAATGCGCGGATACGGTAGGTAGCTGTGCAAGCGCTTCCCCCTCAACAGAATCACATTCACGAATCCCTCCTTGAAGCAGTAAGCGTAGAGGTTCTGTTGCGCAAATCCTGGTTCTTCATTGCCCAGGAACACTATGTGCAGCTCATGGAGCTCGTGCAACAATCGTGGCAGGAGAATGGCAACCAGTTGATTCAGTTCGGGTCCAGACTCCTTCACACTTACAATGATTAGAGCTCTCTCCGTGAAGTTTCCTCGAAGTCTAAGATCTCTAGCTTGGCTCGAGTTGGAAGAGAGTAGAACTCTCGGGGTGTCCAGTTTGCGGAGTATCTCTGAGGAACACTCGGAACACTCAAAATCGATGAACACATTGAGCTCCGTTTGGAGTGCCTTATTGAGGTCTTGGAGGACCTGGACTTGGACGGATTCCAAGTCTGGAGCTCCAACCAAGCCCAGAAGAACTGAACCCAGTAGAAAGGAGAACATTTTCATCACCATGAGGCAGTGGGAAAAGCCTTTATAGGCTGCCTACAATGCCCACATGACAAGGCAAAAAGGTTGTCAAGCTGCATTTAACGTGATAATTGATTAATTGCCATCCACCCTAACAAAACTAAGCTCAATAAAACAAAGGTTATATTATTTATAGCGAGTAGCTCAAAGAAGTTGTAGGATGAAGAAGATTTCACATCGAACAATATGAAGCAATTGAAGCAGTTGCATGAGCCTTAGTTTTGAATTTCCCGCCCTTCGAACGCGAATGGCGCTTTCAAGCACTGGCAGCTCCATCGATATGTGCCTCCAGTTCTGGTCGTTGTCCAGCACTGCCATATGTGCAATTTTTATTCCCATTCCAGTTGGTAAGAAAAGTGTAATTGTTACGCTGCGGCAGTGAAATTTTACTATTATTCGATTCCCATCCCAAGTCACTGCACATTGGAGTGCTAGATATCGCAAGGTAACGCCACTTAATTGCCTTACGCCCGCAGACGCGTTTGTTTACGCCCCCTTTGGAGCAACAAAAACAAAAGGGGAAAGTTGTGTTTACGTTTTCGAATGCCAGCTAACGTATTTGGGGTGGTTTAAGCTGCTAACTGGGAACTTCCAGCGGAAAGACCTTGTACTTAAGTGTGATAAGAGCCCTGTGCTCCCGATGGCAATTAAAATTAGACGTATGTTCCTTCTGATAATCGTGTTTTTGTCTCAAACACCCACACACTAAACAGTGATTCTTACGTGTGTGTATATACTAAGTGGGGAGGCATTGGGGTGGACCCTTTCCACAGTAGATTCCCACTATTCAACTGGCGTTAGCTGTCAAGTGTGTAAACTATTTCCTCCCAGCTGCCCCAAAATTGAATCTGTGATCTGTGAGAACCAAGTAGCAGGACCCTAGACCCTTTAGTCCAGATATGTACATGTATACCAGCATATACCGCCCGACTTGAAAGTTCTCTTTCCGCACTCTCGCGATTTTAAGCCCCCTTTAACGGCAATTTGCCGCCATATATGTGTGTGCAAGTATAAAACTCGATTGCGGCTGCAAACAAATTAGTCTCAGCTCGGTTCGTATCATTTGGAAACAGTGCTCTCGTTCTCCGAAGAGACACGTCAGTGGCAGCAGCAAAATATAGTATTCGCTACTCTATCCGCCGTATTCCAACACCATATAACCTACTCCGATCTCCGCAGCGCAACTCAGACCAAGGCTAATCCGAAACCATGTCCGACGACTTCGATGGCTGCGAGTGCGTCTGGTCGCAGGAGAATGCGATGCAGCGGCTTATCAACTTCGTAAGTTCATGTGCGCGCAGCTCCGAGCTCCTGATCCAATGTCCTTTCTTACAGATACGACAGAACCAGAATGCCTGCACGGACACCGAGTGTTTGGATGGTCAGTATTAGTCACGTCTCCCTCTTTAAATATGGCTCGAACTATAGATCTGATAAGCTTTTATATATAGCGACTTCTATTCTATCGTTTTTAGATTTATAGTACATTTAGCACTTCTACTGAATCATCATCTGATAACGTTCATGTTTCGCTTATACCTAATGGTATTTACATTTTTATAACAATTCAGTATAAATCAGTGTCATGCAGGCTTTGTAATAAGTTGCAAAAAAGTATGCAGCAATTGAGAATCGCATATTTTGATTTTACTCACGGACTATTATATCCACCTTGCTAACTAATCCATCCGTTCTCAGTCGCCGGACGCACTTCGCAGCAGGCGCAGGTCGCCGGACGAAGCGATGACAGCGGCTTCTCCGTCGCCATGATCTTCCTGATCGTGGCCATGTTCATGTACATAGTGAACCCGAGTACCTGGGGCAACTTTACCAGCAACAAGCAAGCTGGCGGCCGACGCGACAATAACCAGGACGGCTCTCCGCCGCAGCCTCCTCCGCCGGCCATCAACTAGGTGACTCCGAGGACCCTTGCTTCTACGAAACCTGAGCATCCACAACACAATTTGCAAACAGCATTTCCTTGTTTTGTTATTTCTCCCGCTATTGGGAAAGAATCCACGGATAGAACCAGATCAACCGACTTGGTGCCATCCATTCGCACGTTTACACAGATTAGGCAAATTATACATCCCTTACATTGTACAAAACACTTAACCGCGCACTCTGAAACACACCGGCTTATCAACTAACATATTTGGACACTTTTTAAAAGACTTTGGAAACGAACCGCTTTCCGTGTGTATTTCCTTTGTACAAGAGGCTTTAAAATATTCAATATGAACATTTGGTGGGCGGGCATTGATGTGGTTTGTATTCTCTTTTCGCTGGACTCGTCAGTTCTCGTTCTGCAGTTTTACCATCTTCTCGCGGACGTTCTTTAGCAGACCCTTCATTTGTTCGTACTTTCCCGTGGAGTCGGGCAGGTTTTCAAAGTTGATCACATCGCTGACGCCCGCCTTAAAGTTACTGCCCACAGGCAGTCTATCGTAAACGGAGAACTTCAGCAACGGCGTGCCCTCATAAGACGCTTTAAAGGGAGTCGAGGGTGCTGATATGGACTGGCCAGTATTTCCGGACTCGGCATCAGATGGCGCAACCTCCATCTCTGACGTGTCATCCAGGTCGGTTTGTGACTTCGATTCATTCGCCGTCGTGTTATGCGACGTGTTGCCCTCCAGCTCTTGGAGGAGCTTCTCCTGCTGGGCCTTCAAATCTTCCAGACTTGGAGATGGTGAGCGCGCTGTCAGTTCGCTATCCTCGCATTCTTCCGGTGGAGGTGGTGGCGGCGGGGGCACTGATAGTGGCAGTGGAGGACCCTCTGTTTCGTCTTCTAGTTCCATGTCGTAGTCATCAAAGCTGGTGAGCTCCTCGCTGGGCACGGAAACGCTGTCGTGTGGAGCAGGCAAATCCACTAGCTTCTTGCGTTTGTAACCGTTGATCACGTTTTCGCCCAGAGATTTGATGAAGTTCGCCTTGGACTGGCTCTCGTGGAATGGCGGTACATTGTGGTGCTTAAAGTCCTGTGGGATTTTGGAATGAAATAAGGGTGCAGGATTCATAATATCAGCACTTACGTCGAAATATTTGGCATTAGGCTGGACGTTGAAGCCGGGATACTCCACTATTTTGTTGATGTCATATTTGAAGGTGTCAGACTCTCCGTCTTCGTCGTCGGATTTTGTAACTTCTGTACCCTGCAAGGAGGCATAGACTGAGTTCTGCTGATCACACGAGTAGCTAACTTACATCTGCATTAAACAGAGCTATGCCCGAGCTCTGCACCTTGGCCTCCTCCAACCAAGCGGGCGGATAGCCCAGTACTCTCATGCGGTAGAAAATGAATGGCAACTGGCCGCGACTGTAGCCCATGGCATGGCGGGTCTTAGTGCTAATCCTTCCGGGGCGTATGTGACCAAACCGCTGCTCTGTGTCGACGTGATAGCGCTCGGTGCGGCTGCTAATCTTCTTGCGAGCGCGCATTATCCTAGCATTGTTTCTGGGCTTGGGACAATCGCGCAGGGAGTGATCTGTGTCGCCGCAGTTGAAGCACGAGGACTGCGCCTTGGGTCGGAAGCACTTGTTGACCGCCTCGGCCTTGAGTTTCTTCCGTTCCGCTGTCTGCTCGTCCAGGATGTCGGTACTGCAGCGCTTGTAGGAGGGAACGTGTGCGGCATTCAGCTTGGCCGCTGGCTGCGTGTCGATCAGGAAGAGGTTTTGGGGCTCCTCCTCTGGAAAGGATTTGCTCTTCTCGAAGGCTGATATCACCAGTTCCTTTGGATTGTCCCGGAAGACCACTTGGTTGTCTGCAAAGGCGCCTTCCAATGCGACTAGCACTTGCTGCTGCAGACTGGCGAAGTGCTCTTCCTTGCTGAATCTCACTTCGAAAACCAGGGTATCTGCATCTCCTTCGGTGGTGTCCTAAACAAAGGAGTTGCTCACACTGCCTCAGTGTTGGACATATCCTAAGTTACTTACTTGAATGGATGTATCTGCGTGTTTTTCCTCAATTTTGGCGGCAGGTTCGACCTCTTTGCTGGTCACTTCTTCGGGATAGACGAACACCACATCGTCGTCTAGCTCCCCATCTTCCACGTCGGCCCCCACAATCTCCACGCTGTTTTGTGAATCGTCAAGCAGTATAACGCTGTCGTCCATTTCTGTTTAGAACTTGTTTTCCTCTGATAATTCAGATTTGTTTGCAAATATTTGTAATTTTTCTCCCTTATTGCAGAGTTGTCAGGCCAGCGCAAAGCACTCAATAACATACAATGCTGCTATCGATGTCAGTATGCGATAGGTGCAATCGATACTCGGCGCCTAAATTTGAAAATCGTTGCATATTTTCTGGTGTTTCCGATTTCGTTAATTCTAAATTGTATTCTTTTATTTCTAGGTGCTTTCGCAAAAAAATTATCAATATTGCAGTTTTATTTATTAATAACAATATAGCGCACTGCAAAACGTATGCCATTTTTATGCATCAGCTTACAACAGTAAATTAAGTTTAAATAGTGATTTACGCATGTGAGTAAAATATTTCCGCCCTTTTACATAACTAATAGATACATAATACAAATTATTCTGGAGACAACTTCTGATTTGGCGATGTTCAATCAAACTTCCGCCTTCGGATTCAGAAATTATGCCAACTTTTCTCAGCACATCAGACATGCGAGTGGAACCTTGAATCTCGGGAGCAGAAGACGTCATGTCGTGTCTGATTTGAATCTCGCGAGTCACCTGCTGAATGCCAATCGCATCGATCTCGGATTTATGTGGCTCGCACTTACGGGGAGGAAAACCCTGCTTCGCTGGTAATTGTGAATTCAACTTACAGTCGGGGAATTCTTCCGACAGAACGCGTGGAATGCCGCCGCCTGCCGTAGAAGAGTTTCGTCCAATTTGAATAAAAGCTCGCCGAGATTGGGCCATCAGTTGCATGCCAATGAGCCCCAGTCACTGATAGTGGACACTGGATCGCCATCCAGCATAAATAGGTGCCATCTTCGCTAGGGGGGCACACTCACCATGGATCTGCTCAAGAGGCACCTGCTGCTCCTGGCCATCGCAGCTTACCTGTGTGCCATCGTCCAGGCCACGATCACCATCCAGAAGGTTAAGCCAGCTCTTCCGGATCCCAGCCAACTGCTCGCCAAGCTACCGCCGAAGCCGGACTTCCTCAAGGATCCCTCTCAACTATTGGCCAAGATCGCGCAATCCAAGCCAGCTCTCCCCGATCCAAGCCAGCTGCTCGCCAAGTTGCCGCCCAAGCCCGCCTTCCTGAAGGATCCCAGCCAGCTCCTCTCAGCTCTGCCCTCCAAGTTCATCAAACCAAAGCCTGTGTTTATTAAGCCGGTGATTGTGAAGCCGGTGGTGGTGGTCCAGCCCGTGGCGGTCGGCGGTGGTGGCGGAGGTGGCGGAGGAGGCGGAGGCGGTGGTCACGGCCACGGACATCATGGTCATCATGGCAAGAACAAGATATAATTTACTTTCCCAACAGTTAGACAGTAAGGTGAATAATAATTTAAGTAAGAGTATGCATCTGTGACAAGTTCATCAACCTAAAAAACCACTTCATGAAACAAGTTAAATAAAATAAGTTAAATAAATACACTTAATAAAAGCGTGGGAGTAACAAGTTTCTTTATCAGTTAACCCTTGCTCTTCCATATGGCGGGCATCGAATGAGCCCCCACTTCCCTTTGAACGAAGGAAGAAGAAACGGAAAGGGGTTTCCCGCCAGTAAATGTGACCCAGAGCCTGGAGCCCTCATTGAGCGCATTCGATGTGCATAATGAATCCATCACTCGCTCGCCTAACGATGTCCCTTTGTGAGCAAATTGAAAGGCGGGACTGCTTTTCCAGTTGTCCTGTCGCCAACGCGGCGTATGAGCAATTGCAATTGGAGGGGCGCACGGGGCGGATGCGCGATGCTGGGATGCTGGAGTGCTGGGATGCTCGGCGTGGGACGGCACATTAGCACGCAGCAGCGGGCCAAGTGGCGATAAGAGCGCGTTTTAATCAACGTAATCATAATCATATGACCAGAACAGACATTCTGAGGCGGCACAATCGTATAATTTATACTGTTTTCTTGGCTTGAGTTCAGTTTGAGTTGTGTTCGAGTTTGGGTTGTCTTGCGTTTGTGTCTTGGGGCTCTTTGTAATCAGCCAATACTAACCGCGCATTATGCAAAACCATCGCCACCACCACCCCAAGCCCTTGCATCCGCTGGATGCGAGCGGCGTATAAAAGCGACTTGGCCAGAAGTTTCGCAAACATTTTGGCATCGCCTGAGTTTTGTGCTAGTCTCGTCGGGGAAGTACTCACCAAGTTCACTCCGCTCAAGTTCAATCCGTCAAGCCAGCGAAAGGACTTCAGAATGGTGAGTGCAAGGAACATGGTTTTCGCAGCCAGGAAGTGGTATCTCAATTCAAAGGAATGTCTTGGGTACAGTGACTCAAAAGTTCATGTGAAAATGGATGCGGTTTTTAAATGTTCTCTGCGGTTTTTTAAAGCTATTTCCCTTTTTAAATATTTCTTATTATGAATAATAGCTAAAAGCTCTTCTGAAATACTTAGTATGTGTATAGTAAGCTGCTGTTCCGGCAAAGAAGAGATACATCTTGAGATCAGGTTAGCACCCATCAGAACCATGTCCCAACCAATAAGACACTAGTATTTCGCGTGGGATTTTATGGCCACATGAACCCATCCACGGATCGATCGATTGATCGCTTGCGGTCGATTGAGGCTAAGTGTGAGTGTTGGGGCTTGCAATACTTTCTGAGCTGGCGTCTGTCCGGATCGGGTCTAAAAATAGATCTAGTTTCAATTACAGTGGAAACTCGTTTGGCGACAACGGCTGCGGGGAGGGAAAAGCCGCCGACTCGGGCGTTTGGCAATTGAAAATTGTTTGGAATTGCTATTTATGTTGCGGCGCGTCTCTCTAAATGGCATCGGTTATATCTGGATTTCCTAAGTGCCCATCACGAGTCAGAGTCACGAACTGAGATACATCTGCAGATCGTTTTCGCTTCGCTCTGACCTTTGCGAGGCTCTGAGAAAGTGCCTGAGTCGCGGAGCATCTTGGGGCAGCTTGGAGCCCGAGGCCCCAAATCCGAGATCCGAGATCTGACATCTGAGATCCGAATCTCGATCCCAGCTTGTGCCTGGCATTTCCTTACAATGTGTGCTCGACTGCCCCCACCCGTGTTTCCATTTTTATCATTTGCGTGTGCGCCGCTCATTTAGATCTGAAAGCGGCAATTAGCCCGCTCGCCTGCTAAACTGCAGCTAAATTGACCGACCGACCAACCGGTCAAAGTCAAGTCAAGTCAAGTCGAGTCGGAACCGAGTGCAGCGGTTCTTGTTTCTATTTCTTACCTTAGTGCGCCAGCATTATATAACCATCACAGCGGCGGCTTGTCCAGACCACCTCTGTCCACACATTTGCAACTCCACTGGCGAGCAGGCGCACGTAGCCTATTCTGATCGCACCTGGGGGCCGGCTATTGAATCACACTGTGCCACATTACAAGTTTGTTGACACCTTGCTGACGTATACGTAATATTTTTATTGCAAACACAACCTGAATGCAATTCATAGCAGAAGTGCATGATATATTAGCCGGGGCGGTCGTGAGCGCAGAATGCTCGTAAATCTAACGCGAACAAGCCTACAATGTCCATAATGCTTTTCATTCGTAACTAGAAGCGAGAAAGCTATTTTGTGGTAAAATCAAATCGCATTTATCTTATAAATGACTTCAGTCACAATAGGGCCATGGTAAAATATCACAGACAATTGTATTTGTTTTGCAGTAATACGGGTTAAAGAAGTTGAAGTTTTCAATATGATAGTTTGAGTAATGGAAGTTATTCTGTGAATTGGTCGGACTTACTTTTGGCTGCTGGAACATACGGACGGACGACCGCCGAAGGGAGAGAGAGATAGAGATAGTCGGGCGGAGGAACAGTGGGACAGAACGGAAATGGGTAATAAAGTGCGACGCAAACTTTACACACCCGTCTTGCCTCAAGCTCCACGCCACTCGGACTAAACTTCCAGCTTCAACTTCCCGCGGATTCTTCAGCACTTCCAAGCTGCAGTGGTGTGCGTGCGGGTGGGAGGAGCCACTCCCGCTCTCCCACTGGAAGACAGAGAGGGAGCAGCCTATGCTGGCGTTTTCTTCGCGAGAGCCCGACTTACAGTTACATGCTTCATTTTCAATTAGCGGACGTGCGCTTGTGTGCGTGTGTGACACGGTGAGCTAAAGTCAGTGGGCAGGGGCGTCGATCGTCGGATAAACGCAGTCGAACGGGGGCCAATTACCCGATAACCCGATAAACAGCGACCATGACTCGCTGAGTGTGTGGACATGCATATGGATGTGCATGTGGACTTATCACCCTCGAGCCACTTCCTTTGTTCGTCTAAAGACCCCTTAGAGGCGCTTGTCTCCTCGCTCGTGGGGCGTGGGCCGTGGGGCGTGAGGGGTGCGCGATCGAGCGGGTGGCACAGTGGGGTGGGTGGTCAAGATTTGGGGCCGCATTGTCTCACAGACACACAAACACTCGAAAGCGAAACGAAAAGCGAATCAAACCACTGGCACATGCGTGCTCTTTCGAGCAACAATCGTTCCACATATCCAGCGAGGGGCGCTTCTTGAGTTCGTCCCACAGTCGGCAAAATATACTTGTACGTATTTGAGTTCATTATATACGTTGCGGGCAAACGAAGTCGGCTTCACCATCACTTCCAATCATGTGCGCAATGTGTAACTTTAGGCGAACTCTTCGCGCAACCCTCGCGTGATGTTCGTGTGCGTGTGTGTGCGAGAGATGGTGTGCAAGGCAGAACGGTCCCCAGCACTTTGACATTTAATGCCTGCAGTTAGTCTGCTTTCGCTTCTCAAGCGGTTTGGGTTTTTCTTCCTTTCCTTTGGTCTCGCCGGAAAATCCTTGTGACGCGATCGCGTCCGTTGCCTTGCCTCGATCGCTACATACATATGTACGTGTACGTGTGTATATAGCTGAGACTATAGCTACGCCACCGATGTGCAAATGTTTTGAGCTAAAACATATACTTTTGTGAGCTGGATAAATACGCAAGAGCACTTAGTATCGCCAAAGTGTGTGAATAATCGGTGCGAACGTGGGAATGGCGCTGGCGTTGCAAGTTCGCAGTGCAGTTGTTGTTGTAACGTCCATGTGGAGTGTCAATTATGTGGAAATATATTTACAAAGATGCCCCCAGTGCGTGTGCGTGTGTTTGAGTGATTCTCCTGGCACTGAATGTCACTAAAAGAGAGCGAGGGAGAGAGCGCTAGTGTGGGAGAGGAAGTGTAAGTGGAAGTGGGGCTGCTCTCTTTCCAGTGCGTGTAGATCAGTTACCGCCAGCAACAACAGCCACAACAACAACAGCAGCAGCAGCAGCAGCAGCAGCAGCAGCAATAACAAACAAACAAACAAACAGGCGACAATTCACATTCATTCCCATTCATTGCTGCGATTATCGCCAGTTGTGCTTTGCTCTTTCACCACGCACGAACACGAACCAGTGGGTGAAAGGAAGTGAGAGTGGTGAGTGGAGAGTGGAGAGCGGAAAGAGCGCGGAGAGTGTCGCGTGTGAACCGTAGGAAAATGTGCGGGGGCCGCGGAGGCCGAAGCGAATGAAGTGGAAGCAGCAACAGTCGAGAAGTTCGCTCTGGGCACGCCCCCTTATGACGCCCCCTGTGACGCGTTATCAGCGGACACCCAACAAACACAACAAACACAAAGACCTGACCAAAATCCACACAAAATGGCGATAAACTCCAGTGCCAGAGAATAAGAAACGCCGCGGGCCCAAAAAGTTCGTTCCCCAAATAAAAAGGAGGTAAACAAACTCGTTTCTGCCCCACAACAACACCACCCATGCCCCCTGAACACCCAGAGAACCCGCACCACAGAACCCACCACAACCAGCGATAAGCATCCGAAGATTTGGGTGGCCCAGTCCACAGAAAACCCCGCACCAACCCCGAAACAAGCGCCTAAGGTAAGCTCAAGAACAATTCTTTGCTGCAAAATACCACCTCGCATTCCAGCACTGGGAAAAAAGGGGGTTCTGTTCAACAGAAGTGGGAAGTATCTAAAATATGCCACACAAGTGGTATGTGTTCTCGTGGTTAGGAAGTAAGTTCAATGACAGACTGCAAACTTCCAATAGACCCAGTCGCAGATTCGCAGTAGAATCCAAATACGAGTATCTTCGGGGATTTTTCTCGAGTATATTGTGATCGACATTTGCGAGTACGAGTATATCCGTTTGTTGGTTGTTTGCATTCACATTTAGCGGTGTCACACCCTTTTTACAAGTTCAGCTTTTGTGCTTTTGGATCGGGATCGGGTTCGGGTTCGGGTCTGGCCCACTTGGAGGTTAATAACACTGGGGCGGTCAAGTACAGTGGATCCGAGTGGCCGCCAATCCGAAAGTCCGCAAATAGTCGACGGCCCTGTCCCTGGCCCTGCATTATTTCTCCGACTAAGCTGGGGTATTAATTCGTGTAAAAAGAAATGGTTACAAGGTCAGTAGTTCGAGTGAGTGGCGAATTGGGGGAGATATACGTGCACATAGTAGCTTATCTCAATTTCGGCTGTACTTAGTTAAATTTGAGCCGGGCGAGTGGGCATATACGTATGTATATCAGTCAAGATTCTCTTGGGTCAGCTTCCGGTTCCGGTATTTAAGTCTGTAATGGGTGCTCCATTATGTTCGCTTGTGTGTGTGCGTGGCAAGTGTTGCTGTGCCACGGCCACAATGCATAATTCACATCTCAATTGATCAGCTTTCGCGTGTGGGAAACCCTATAGTCTGATCATTAAACTTGTCTTGGATGTTGAAAATGTATATTTATTTGATTGGGCTAATGATGGGCATTATGCCTGTCTGTTCTACATTCATTCAACAGATTTTGATACAATTGCATTGCATACTCTTCGGAGCACCAGAAGACCCCCTCTGGATAAATAATCTATAAATTCAATTCTCTTGCTAGGTTCCACTAAGGCACTAGTCCAAAACCCGCTAGACGGCTTGTATTACAGCCTCACCTTATCGGGAATCACCATCATAATATAAACGAGAACATCCACTTCTGTTATATAAGACCATAAACTGCCGCGGAACCCTAACCCATTGAACATTATTACGTCCATCGATCGGTTTTTTCCACCTGTCTCACTTCCAGTTTGCTGGCAGAACTGAGTCACCCAGAACAAATACGTGTAAAGTACCCCGGATCCTCTGACCCCAGCACCTCGTATATCGATTCGAATTATGCTAATTGGGCGACGATATCCCGCCAGGTACGGCAATGACCAAAATTGGCCATTAATTGTATTCGCTTCTGTTAAATAACAACAAGTGTGTGACTGGGAATGTCCGGCGGGGAAGGGGAGCGCTCGTATCATGAATTACGCCTAATTAGGTTTATCAATAAGTGCAGTCGCAGTTGGCAGACAGCCGACGGAGCGACCATCTACGCAATTCCGCAAGGTGTCTTTTTATCATCAATTTGATTAACACCCCTCATGGGAGATTCTGTTCTCTCGGGTCCGAAAGTGAGAAATTTCGAGTGGAGATCAGGTATATCTACAATATTGGTACGCTCTATTTGCTTTTAATAACAATTGACGCCCACTTTTAAATAACTAAATATTTGTTAAGTTATTCGGATCGAATCGGATCTACGAGTACAAGATTTTGACACCTTTAAATTGGCTCTTTATTTTGGAGTAAATATTTTTAAGCTGTCTGATATTTTAAATACATATTTTTTGAATATTTTTATGATAACCCACTGTCCTATTTATTTAGCTTTTATTTTCTTATATTTTATTTATATATATCTTCTTATTGGTAATGATTACAAGGTCAGTGTTAAACGAACATATTTCAAAAATGTTACAGAATATACATTTTTTACTGGGTATCATGCAATTATACAACCCAAGCCCTATTCCGTCACGAGAAATCACGCAAGTTGTTTTAACTAACCCAGTGCCCTTGGAAGCAAGTAATTAAAAATCACAGGACCTATTTCAAGCGATGTTCGCATAGTAACAGTTCCGGTTAAACGTAAAATACGACTCGTCATCGTTCTGCTGAGATTTTGGCCGACGATTTCACATTCTCGCGAAAAACAATGGAAATTGCTCTGCAATTACCGCTACAGATAATTACATTGATTAGCAATTAGGTATTACATATACATATGTACATGTGCATATATGCAAAGGGAATGCCCCATAGACCAAGAACAGTTATTCTCTTCCGCCGGCTGCGGAAGAGAGAAGGGAAATCGGGTGAGGTGGGGAAACGTAACGTAAACGTCTTTATGTTATACCTTGAATTATTGTACATGTTAAAATTCGTTTTACAAAAACCATACTTTTAAAAACTAACCACAGTTTTGATAGATCTTGTGGGGAGAGCGGGTCAAACCGATTCGCTCAGAGAATTTTCACCCGATTCGCTCGGATCGCTAATTTCACAGATACAGTCACAGATGCAGACGCAGCCGACAGACACAGATACAAATACGGCGAGAGAGCGCTGCCAGCAATCATTTAAAATACAATGTTACCGCCGAGTTGAATATTAGTCCTTAAACGCGAAGCAACAAGTAAGCATCGCATAGCATCGCACCGCATCGCATCGCACTGCAGCAAGTTGAGATTCAGATACTCCGGTTTCGCGTTCAGTTTTCTGTTGATTTACATCGAACCCGAAAGGCGAAAAGTGTGTGCTCGAGAAACGAAGCCGACAAGTGCTCATACAGCCTTACCCAGTGAAAGAGCAGGGTTTTCCGCGTGGAAAAGGCCGCACAAACGCAACGTGCAACCTGTGACCTGTAACCTGTAACCTGTAACCTGTGACCCCTGCAACCCAACCAATCCGTGCCGGTCGGTGCCCAGCACTGAAAATCGAACGCAACGCAAAGTTCCCCGCCGAAAAACAACAACCCGAATTACGAAAATGTAATAAACGTTAAACGTTTAATTATAAACAAAAAATACGGCTCGAACGTGGAGCAGCTTTCAAGATTGGCAGCAATTAACATTAAAGCGAAAACAAAATAAAAATCACAAATGGCACAAATCCGAATCCGAATCCGAGTCCGAGTCCGATCCCATACGGAAAAGTACTGGGAGACATTAAATAACAATTATGAGATGGCTCTGCTCAGGATGGCTTTTGCCCAATGTCCTACTAGCCCTTGCCAAATACCAATTGCTTATCTGTTTATCTGTAATCTCTGTCCGCTTGGCCAGTTGACCGAATTGCCAGAAGGCTGAGGCGTTCTGTATCAACTACCTGCTGGTTGTGGCCAACAATCTTGTGGCCCTTTTCGCACGATGTTGCCACCTTGCAGCAGCCATCTCCATCTCCATCTCCACCTCCACCTCCATCTCGATCCCGATCTCAATCTCGATCTCAATCGGAGTCTCTTTTGGTCAGCGCTTCTCCTTGTCGCTTCCCTCGTTCTGTGTTTTTGGTATTCATGCTTCCCATGTTGTCAAGCCACCAGAACAACTTTCGTTGATTCCCAGCCGATATTGATCCGGCGATGATGTCATAGGTCCCTAGGGACCGGAGTCGGCATTCGGAGCCAAAGCCAAATACCAAAACCCTGAGCGTATTTCTCCGAAATCTCGCGTTCAGTCGCCGGCGTCTATCGGTGCCCCTTCACTTTAATAGTGCGTATGCAACAGGAAATACAGTACATTTTATGCTGAGGACCGAGCAATACACACATTTTCCACTGCATTTCCAGTGTGCGATGTGTTTTTGTATCTGCTGTATTTATTTTTTGCGTGCAAACACTTCCGACATTTTAAATGCAGCCCAGCCAGCGAACCGGCTAAATAAATCAACATCACCAGATCAGCAGTAGCAGTAGCAACTGCAACTGCCCTGCTGCTTTTGCTGCTGCTGCTGCTGCTGCTGCTGCGTTGTTGCTGCTGCTGCAGCGGCAACCCGTTCATCTCCAATGCATATAAACGATTTTAATCAGCGACAGCAGCAGCATTAATAACAATAAATGACAATCAGCGATCATGCCAGTTTGCATATGGACTTGTAAGGAACGCGAACAACAAATTTAGATGTCAGTCCGCGAGACTGCGACTGCGACTGGGACTGCAGTCGACTTCGACTTTGATCGTTGATTGCTGCCAATCTGTTGCTTAAGCCGATCGGTTATCCAAATTGCATAAGAAGTGGTGATTCAAATCACATCAGACGACGCTGTCAGTCGAGGAAAAGCAGATATAAACGTATTCCTTTCGATATTTTAGATCCAATCAGATCCCCAATCAATCGCAACATCTGCGGCCAAGCAACTTACAAACTAGGAACCCAAGCTGTGTTAACCCAAGTACTTAAGCGCAAACAACAGTACTTAAGCAAACATTCGATTCGACATTATACAATAATTAGAAACCCAAACAACCGACTTCTTTCTCCTCGGGAAAAGCAGAGCAACACCCAGCAGAAAGGCTCCAGCTATGAAGAAGCTGTCACTAAATGTGAGTATCAATCTGTTCGCGCCACAAGAATTGACATCACCACTCGCATACTCGAACATGCATATAAAGTACTTGATGCAAACAACATGTTGTCGCAACAAAGGGCCTCCTGCCCGGGGCGTGGCTGGGGGCGGGGGAAGTGCACTTTTCAAGTTCAGCAACGGAACAGAACGGAATTCCGAGGGGAAATGCTGCTGGGACCGTGTCATGTTAATGAACTTGAAAAGACCAAGATCATCAGCCGGCCGGCGGAGGATGAGCAGCATGACTGAGTTGCTTTCCTCACTTCCAGGCGATGACGATCGGTGTTGAAATGGAGTGCGCAATCGGACGCCACGAGGAGGAGCAGCAGCTCCCCAGTTGCCAACTGAAGAGGAAATTGAATGGAGACATTCAGGTCAATTGACAAGCCAGAGCATCTGTAGTCCGATCTTAGAAGACCATAAAAGACTACCAGTTTTAGCC